TGACAAGAGAACAAAGTAAAGTTGAGACTGAAGGCAGCAGAAGAGGAGAGGAGCGAGGAATAGAAGCGATTCAAAGCAAAAAGAGGAAAAAAAGGGGAATGAAATCCCTCTTATGGGTGTTTGTGCCTCCTGAGAGGGTCACAGATTGAGGAGATGAGTGACCTTGTGGTCATCTGTCAGCCCCTCTGACTATGCTGGAGGCAGGATATCTCTCCAGGGAAAGGACACACTAGAACACACACACGCATGCACACACTTGAACTCACAAACCATCGTACAGTATACTGAGGAGAACATATGCATACTCCCACATTCTCACTCACACGTTTGCACAGGAACAAAACAAAAAGGATGAAATCATTTGGAGCACAACACAAAATACGTGTTGTGAGGCAACTGAAGAGAGACTGCACTCTTTGCAATGAACAAACAAGATCGCTTCATGTCACATCCTGAAGGCTTTCACTGTAAAAAACTGCTGCCGTCAACTTTTCTGTACTAGGCTGTCTCATACTGGTTCCCAGAGGTTTGTACACAGGCACAGTTTTACATATGTGACACTCACATGAGAGGAAAACATGTTTTTCTATAGATATTTTAAATGTAATATCGTGCACAGGCCAACAGACTGATTTTAAAGGACTTCAGACAGGGACAGGGATATCTGGCAGTAGTTAAAACTGCATCTCGTGCCCTTCATCAGCATGTAATCATGAAAACCATCAGCCTGCGGTCACCACTCAAAATGTATATAGAAAACTGAACAGTGAACAATTTTCATTACTATTTTATGCACATAAAAAACAAATGTAAAAAGGAAAATGTCTCTTTGAAAACGTTTGTTTCATGTTCTGTGCAGTCGCTCCAGAAATCAAATGGCTCTACACATTATCAAAGGAAATTATATTAGCTACAATACTGAACTTTTTTTCCCTCCTATGATTACACTGTATTTGTTCTCAAGGCACGAGGCCAGAGCTTCTTTTACACATATATATATATAGGATATATAAGATATATTTAAGATCACTTAGGCCTTAAACCTTTTCGCAGTGGGTCCCTTGCAATTATTTTAATGGGCTCTGGGGATCCTATGTTGTTATTAGGAGAGGAATGAAATGATCATCTTGGCTAAAGCAGCAGCTGACCACTAATACATTGTCTCATTATATCTTGTACTCTCATCTTGGATGGCAGCGCTGTGGCAAGGAAAGGCCCATTACGAGAGGAAGCTAGCATGAGGTAAGTAGTGCTCTTCATAATGTGTGGGACAAAGACATAACCTTTGTAGTTTAGCCTCTGTAACACCACCATAGTGGATTGTAAATCAAACAATCAATATGGGGCAGACTAAAGTGCAGACTTTCCGCTTTAATTCAAAGGGTTTTAGAAGTTTGTTTGCTCTGGGTTTTTTGGTTTTTTTTTTTTTTGCATGAATTGTTGAAGAATTACAGACATTTGAATCTACAGTCCCCCTTTTTTAGAAGTTCAAAATGAATGGGACAATGGATCAACAAGCTGTTTCTTGGCCAGTTAATGTCAGATAGGTTTGATAACTTTTAGAGGTCTGCAGAAGGGCAGTTCTGAACACCCAACAGATGCTCAAGAAAACTTGACCTTTGACCTTCACCTTGAGGTCGAGGTCACTGAGATTCTAACTGGTCCAAGATGTTTAGCAGATGAATCCATGGTATCAATTTCAAAATCCTAATCGCCTTGTTCTCGAGTTACCACTTCCACAAACTTGACTGTCCACCCCATCTGCCCGCCCGCCGGCATGGTGACAACACCCCAGTCGGCATGTTTATGCTGAGGGATAAAAAAGGAAGTGTCGAGCTCTCCAGGGCCAAAATAATAAAATACAACCTGACACACTATTTAATAACAAAAACTCAATATCCTCCATAATCAATCAAAAACCACTATCTTTGGCTCCTCAGTCACTAACACTGGAATTGAACAGATAACGGACAATTAACAGGTAACAACTGGCAGTATTTGTGATGAGGGGTGTGGCAGACCCAGTCTGAAACCAGTGGATCTGACACTATGATAAAATAGTACAAAGCATTAAATATGACAGTATTAAGTGGTCTTTTCATATCACCAGGAACTTTAATATCGCTTAAAGATAAACAGACACTATATGTACAGCTGCAGAGCGTGCATTAAGCAAACATGTCTTGGTACAATATTTTTCAGCTGCTGTTGCCTTTGGGTCAATCGAACTTGCTCACTGCCAGGTAGATCCCACTTTTCCTCTCTTGCCTCCTTGCCAGTAGTGTTCGCATCTCTCTCTACACCTCCTCCATTTTGCTCTCCTGCAGTGTATTTTCTGCATGTTTCCATCCGGCTTGACTGTGTTGGCTTCTTCCTCTCACTTCCCACCCCTGAAGAAAACTCTCTGTTGAGTTTGGACACACTGAAGCGTTTCTGTTGTCGTTTACTGGGAAAACAGCGCAGTGAGACTTCTGAATCAAATTGTGAAGCCCATGAAGGTTCCAGTCCTGTACTGCTTATTAAAATATGGCAAGTGCCCAATAAGGGAGTGTCTCTAACATTTTAAAATCTGGGAAGCAGATATTTTATCAGCCTTGTTTTATGGCGAGCCAACACATGTTGGCCTGGTTAGCATGCTGAATGCCAAAAGTTAAAATACCATTCGACACGCCGTGAAAGGAAGACTAAACGTAGACCAAACCTGACTCCAATCTGAGGAGGCCTGATTGTATATTTTACAGTATAGAAAAATAAATGACAAGGTCCTGTTCATTCCTGTTTATTTCCTCATGTTTATTTGGACGAAAAAGCCCCCCACAAGTGTTAGAGACATTATCAGACAGAAAACAAAATGTTTATGTCTCACATATGCACGGTTTACATAAGCATTATTGTATTGTTGCTTAAACAACACAGAAAATCCCCAAACACTTGTGGACGTCATGGAGGAAGCTCGGGAAGAATGGAGGGCGGGTCAAGACAAAGGCAAAGAAAAGGCCAAGATTTTTTTATTATTATTGAAAAGTGGGAGTTTTTTGAATGCTATGCGCGCACTAAACATGGCGGTTTACAAACGGATTACAATGCTTTGCTGAGGTAAATCAGAAATCTGTCTATCGCAGGAATCTGCAGCGTGCCGCGTTTACATCATTGCTCTGACGTTTCACCGGATTACTCATGTCGTGTGGGTTTGTGATCAGAACTCCAAACAAACAACCTGCAAAGGCAGCTGCTGAACACCGTCGCAGCAGGAGTTTTATCACAATAGTTTCTCAAACCTGGAATGCTAATTTGAGATAAAGACAAAACTCTGTAAACACATTACCTTGGAAACAAGCCCTTGGCAAAAGCCTTTTTTTTCTCCCCCCTCTGCTGCAATGCTGATGTTAATTTTCCACCGCTGCCTACAGGATTAGAAGTCATCAAAACGCGAGGAAGAGTTGTGAAACAGCGCTCACTGTTTTGAATCCAATTTCAACATCTCATTTTTGAGCAGAGAGAAAATAATCAGCCTTTAGATTCCCATTTTGACTTGTTACAGTGCAATCTAATGAAAACATTAAAGATCTTTATGCTGTTAAGGAAATACAGGACAAACTGGCAGTGTTTCCAGTACCGTAGCAGGTATAAACCTTTCTATAAGCTCCCTGTGTTTCACTTTCTCCCTCCCCTGTTGATTCCCCATAACTCACTCACTACTTGTCCTCACTCCCTCCATCCATCTTTCCCTTTAACCTGTCCTCCCAAACCCTGTCACCTTAGCCACACTCATTTTCCTGTTTCTCTTCAATTTTCTCGCCCAAGTTTTACGGCCCTTTTCTCGCTCTTTCCCGTCCCTGCATCATCACCTCCCTCTCTCCTCCTCTGCCTCCATCCTTCTGTCTGTCTCTCGCTCGCTCGCTCTCCCTCTCTGACCCAGAGGGCCATGTTTCGCTGAAATCCAATCCTCTCTCTTTTTTAAACCTGCTGTTCCATTTCACTCCCATTTTGTCACACTGCAGTGCACACACAATACCCGCTCCTCCCTAATTTCAACTCTCCTCTCCGTCTCCTCACACACACACACAGATGTGATCACACTTTCATACACTGACATTAACAGACATTTGCGCAAAGGCATGAGAAAAATTGAAAAAGTGAGTGGGGGAGGGGGGAATCTTAATTAAGCCATCAATCAAGCTTGATGCTTATGATTGGATTCATACACAAGCGCCCATACACACCTTCCAAATCGCACGCCCACACTTGCAGCTCAGCGGCCATCCATCACAGCTTCACTGACTCCGTTCAACCTCAACTCAGAACCAATCACACAGAGGTTAGGGACTAACTTGTGCATGTGTGTGTATTTGCGTTACAGAAAGAGAACTGACACTGAAGTGCATCATGTCTGTAAAGCCCCTTTCAGCAGAGCTGTGGGAGAGGCAGAACACAGTGAACTGAGATCTGTACAGTTCACTGTCAAACAGTTCTGACTACTAATAGTATGTGACGGAGGGTCAGCGCCATTCTGAAACACCACGCACAAACACACACATCTCTTTTAGTACTTTAGCAATGTTATTCTATTGAAGGCAGGAAAGATGGTTTTTATTTTACCTTTATTTTGAATAAATACGTCCAAAAGTACAGCAGGGAATACAATGCCTATGCAAAAAACATTTTTTAATATGTAATAAACACAATTTTCTTGTGAGACTGGAAGTAGCAAGACTTACTGACAGTTTTAGTGTAGTAGTGTTTCTTGGGATCCAAATAATAATGCATGTATAGTTTATTAACAGTATCACCGCTGTTTGTCTTTTAGCTTTTTATTCAGTTTTAGTGTCGTAGCACAACCCGAGAAAGCATCAGTTATTCTTTGGTCCTGTTTTCCTTCACTCTGGTCCTTTCCCTTGTACTCTGTTATACAAATGATATGATATAAAGCAAATGTGTTTTAAAAGGTTTGGTCTATGAGCTAATGCGCGTCACTGAAAAATTACCCTGACATATCAGAGTGCTAACAATCCATCTGGTTTATTTGTTGCCCTGGTCAGATACTGAGCACAGAAAATCCTTTTTCTCTCTGTGACTCTCGCCACAACCAGATCCCGTCCTCTTACTGCTGTTTGAGAAAAAGAGCAGCTCCACACTGTATCCACTGGTTGGGGTTCGCTCCACAGGGCAGAGAGATGTGCGTGACCACCTTCACCCTCTCAGAGCTGGTATAGAGAGGCAGACAGATACTCTCCTCTGCTGCAGTGCAGGCAGCAACAGAGTTCTAGGATGAAGTAGAAATTTAGTGTATGAGCGTAAGTATGCACAAATACTGTATAGTCACAGAGTTTCATGCTAAATGATTAAAAATTGACATATCTCACAAACGTGATAACAAATAAATGACAACTTTCTGCCACTGCAATGTAACTGATTAGATAAAACATATAAAACTTCAGTCATTGGTCAGTGAAGACCTGGCAAACTCTGGTCACTAGGGAAAATGTGAATTCCTAGACCAGTTGGCGAGTGGTTGCTGGAACTTGCTGGCTGCCTCTAGGTTAAATCAGTCGCAAAGAGAGATCAAAGCAATCGCATTTCAGTGTAGCCTCTTTGCAACCAATCTCACAGCAACTACTCGCCAACCAGTCGAAAGGTCTCAAGACCAGCCTGTAGAGCCCAGTCAACCTCTTAAGTCTGACATCATTAGCCATTTCTTAGCCCAGCAAAGAAGGAGGATGAGGATTAACTTTTTTCCCCTCAATAAACGTTCATGTGCGGGTCCCCGATAGGCAGAGACAAATGCAATCACATGGTAAGAAGAAGACGCCAAAAACTGACCCAACTTCAGCAAGAGAAGACCTGAGACGATCCATCTACAACATGAGTTTAGACATTAATATGCTGCTGCATGGTTTGGATGACTCGCTATGAACAATTCTTAAACCTAAGCTTGACGTCCACACTGAAATTTTAGTCAGAGCGATTCTTTTCTGGAGCACTCATATATTTGGTGTCCGGCAAACCAAGAGTCTGTGGGCTGTAGTTACGTGGAAGGGTTTTAAAAACTGACCATAAAGACATGTTGCACATGAATAGTGCTAATAAAAAGCCAGAGAGGCCGACGATGACCACTAATTCTTTTTAGGGACTGACAGAAGATTTTTAAGACCAATACTAATATTCGGTCTTTTACAAATATGGCAAACAGACAAATGTTATTTATTTCATATGTTATTTATGAATTGTTACTAAAATAATTAACAATCCAAGTTAAAAATAAACATGTCTCAATGTCAACACTGAAGCTGTATAGCGCCCTCTGTTGGACAAACTATGCAACATCAACACTGAAAAATGTTCTAACGCAGTTAAAAGACGATCCTCTCGTCTCTTCATTACTTTTTAAATTAGTATTTATCAGCTGTTACATGTTAGCAAATATCAGCCATATCAGTCAGATATTTGGCTGGGCTCTACCTGTGTGACTGAAGCCTAAACAGCAAAAAACTCCCATCTGCACAAATCCCCAGAGCGTCCTCCAGACTTTGTGTAATTTTGATAAAAAATCATATTTCCACCATAACGCAACATCCAAGGTCAAAGAACAAGTACTTCATTAACAGAGTAGTCAACTGACATGAGAGCACCTGGCAACTGTTTAAAAAATGATCTAGTCATTTGTGTCACTTTTCAAATAAAATTGCAAACAATTGCTGCCAAAACCCTAAAATGTAAACAAAAAGAATTCTGTTTTATACAATTTATTAGCTTAAACTGTACATGTTTGGGTTTTGAAAGACGACGTTGCTGTGGGCTTTGGAAATCTTGAACAAAACATTTAAGATGATTACTGTCAGGTGCTGCACAGTGTGGTTCTCTCTTTTAAGAACACATGCATACCTGTGGAACCCAGGCCATGTAGCACGTAGGGACAGCTGACACGCTGGGAGAATCATGCTGGTTCTCACAAAGATGGACACCATCAAAACTGCAACCCTCCAACTGGAGACCTCCAATCTACAAAGAAAATGCAAATGATAAGATGAACAAGAGAAACAGACACGCGAAAATGGAACAACGGGAAAACAGCTACTCTGTGACTTAAACGCTGAACACTGGTGGGAGCCCTTCCCAGATTAACTAGCATGCTACATACTACATGAAAGAGACATCAAGTGAAGTCAGTCTAGTGACTCAGGGATTTTCCACAGTAGGACAGACAAAGGGAACTCTGGCGTCAAATCAGACACACACATACAAGTACTATATCACCATAATCTGGGAAAGAAAAACCCAGAGAGTGAGAGCAAGACACAAATCCAGAAAATGTTTTTACATATTGTGTGTGTGTGTGTGTGTGTGTTTGTGTGTGTGTGTGTGAGAGAGAGCTCATTGCTTCACAACAATTATATCCTTTCACTTTCTCTGTCAGACGTCTGAGTGTTTTCCCCTTCCCTCCCTGCAGCTGCAGCCTCTTTGTCAGCACCAACACCCTTTCCTTCTCTCTTTGTGTATTTTAACTAAGCGCATGTCAAACTGTGCCAATTTTTATTGGCATGAGAGTAATAGAAGTATTGTCTCAAAGTATTATATTAAAGACAGTCATATCACCCTTAAATCAGAGCATAAAATGAATAACTGATGACTGAGAGGAGTGCTGCACAGTTCTGTTTGGTCAGAAAGGATTAGAATTACACAATATATCCAAAACGCACCAGAGACCTGAGCTGGCTGCTGTCAGCAGCGGCCTTGTCCCTAATAAAGGCTTTATTCACACCAGGGGGATCTTTGCACATTTCCAAAAGTGCAGTTTGGGTTAGCTGAGTGATCCCCATGTCCCAAAATCAGGCATAATTCTGGGTAACGTACCCTTCTTAAAGAGTTGAGTTCTGGCACAATGGCTAATTCTTTGCTTTTCTTTTACCCCTAGTCTCTCCTTTTTCTTCAGTCTTGTAACTCCTGCCTCCTTACCTGCATCTGTATCTATTCTTGCTGTCTTCTTCTCCAATAATTATCACTCAGCCAGTGTACCTTGGTTATAGCAATTGTATTCTTCTGTAGATGGAGGTGAGGATCTGATGTTTGCATGCATGAGCAGTAGATGACTGGCTTTACCTTTACTTGTAGTTTTGCTTGTGCAATTGGACTCCTCCATGACGAAACAAACACCAAACTATCCATAGAACAGGACATGGTCCTTAAAAAAAGCAAAATGAATATATGTATTTTTAACATTGATATATACACTTATTCAATCCCCTATGAAGGTGTCCAGTGTGTGTGTGTGTGTGTGTGTGTGTGTGTGTGTGTGTGTGTGTGTGTGTGTGTGTGTGTGTGTGTGTGTGTGTGTGTGTGTGTGTGTGTTACCTGGCAGTTTCCTGTCTCAAAGCATTAAGAAAGGTATCAGGGTGAAATAGCTCAGATAGATCTAGGATGTCTGACAGGAGTGCCTGTCTATTTGCATGTTCCACCCAACTCTGTATGAAAAGAAAGACAGAGAAACAGAAACAGAGAGACGTGTAGACGCAAAGATTAATGAGCCAAATACTTTGCAAATTACAAATAAAGACTCAAAGCTAACACATAATGCAGGCATAAAATCTGTTACACAAAGGCGTCACACAGTTTTATGTCACATGGAAATACGACACAGATTTGAATTCTAAAAAACGTGTTTACGTTACATGCTTGTGCTTCTCATAAAATAAAACATACAGTTAGATCCATGTGCTTTTGGGGGTTTTTTTGTGTGTGTACCAGAGCTTATTCTAGTTTCAGTTAAATAATGACTATGGGCTTAAAGTGTAGCACAGCTTTAATTGGAGGGGTTGAACAAAAAACCAAACACAAACAAAAAGTGCATGAACCACAGTAGGTGTCTTTATAAACAGAGGCTCAGATGTAATTGGATACATAATTATAAAGCTGTTTTATGGCCAAGTGTGGGCTACATTTTTTCATAAATTAGGTAGGTCAGAGGTCCGGATATAAGCTGAAGAGTGGAAGCTGTTTGGGTTAATCCAAAATATGCTGTCAAAGGAGCACTCACTGCAGGAGGAACAGGCCGTCCTCAGGCTACATACACTAAACAAATCCAACAGAGAGGTAGCAGGGACTTTAGGAGTGGTCAGATCAAGAATTGAGTGCATTTGGGACACACCGGTGAGCACCGCAACATAAAAAGGTTTAGACATCCACTGAAGATAACAGTGCCAGATGACCACAGGGTCCTTTCCTATGAAAAAAACCCTTTAGAACATTCAGCCGAGTGGAAGGACAGTCTCCAGGAGGGGACATATCATTATCCAGGTCTACCATAAAGAGAAGCATATTCATTACAAGATGCAAACCAGTCACCAGCCTCAAAACAGAAAGAACATATTAGACTTTTCCATAAACACAGCGTAGGACTTTGTTCATTTAAAAACTGCATTGTATATTTGTTTGGGTCATCTTTCTCTAAAATTAAAGCTTGTTGTGATGATCTGAAACAGGTGAATGTGACAAATATGAAAAAAATAAAAAAAACGAAAGAAAACGAAGAAATCAGGAAGGGGGCAAATAGTTGCAATCCATCAGGTTTTGAGAAGTAAATTAGCGGAATATTCTGCAAAGTTAATCACCTGGTCTGAGTCGATCAACAACAACTGAATGGAGCAGCAGTAATGGCCAAAAACATACACACACACAGCAGGAAAACCATTATTTGGGGAGGGCCACGAGTGCCACACTTCAGGGGATCATTTAAAGAAAAGGATTTTTACAAAGTATTTATTAATATGTTGATTTGTCCAATTACATATTGAACCTCTAAAAACACCAAACTGTTCAGAAAAACATTTCAGCTAATATTTTCATTCAAACCTTTAAATAAAAGGTGAAAGGTTGAGATTCAAACTCATATTCATCATGTAACTGTAACTTGACCACATTTTGGTGAACAGCTAAAATAATAAATAATGTCACAGTCCAAAAACACATGGACCCAGCATGTATCTTTCAGTGGAATGGTTCCTAAATCGGACAGAGTAATTTTTGTCTCAGTTATTGTGTATTTGTAAAGTGAAGCCAAAGGGTTACAAAGGAGAGAATAAAATGCACAGCCTAATGTGGCTAATAGACCATTTAATGCCTCACCTTTTTATCACCGCATCAACAAGCTGATAAAACTGGAACACCAATTATGCACTAATGGGAACATAATACACATACAGACGCACGCCCACAAACCTCGCAAAGCCCAACGCCATTTTATGAGCGCGTGGACAGGGTTAGTGGTGTACATTTACTGAAGCACTATTCTGAGGTACAGTTTTAATGTACTTGATTAAGGTATTTCTATGTAATGCCATTTCTATTTCTATCCTTCTCTTTTAAGTAATGAGTATGTTTTTCAGCACTTTGTAAGAGAGTAATTAAATACAAAACAAGGTGCAGTGCTGCTTTTCCCAAAGTATATCTGTACAAGGTCTGCGCATGAGACCAAAAACCATGCAGAATATTTTCTACAGCAATTTCTTAACTGTATTTATAATCAAGTATTAAGATTTGCCACCCCAACTTTAAAAATAATCCTGGAAACACTCCCAGATTCTTGGGTTTTGTGCAAAAACAGTAAAATAAAATAAATGCTTAACCCAGACAAACAGTGATGTTAAACATAATTCTTTGTGTAACTCTGCACAGATGGACTTGGAGCTTTGTTAGCCCCGTCCAATATGTTGATGCAGTCTGCTATATTCAGCAACATCTGCTTTGATTAGATGTCGGCCATCTATTGTGTCACAACAAAAAGGGATAAAAAAAATTATTAAATTGTGTGGCAAGCAAAAATACTTTATTACTGGTAAATGTTGCAGAGCACAACTGATTTCACTGTGCTTTTAAACTTTATAAATACAAAAGATTATTTAAGCCCGATTGGCTTCAGCTCTAAGATTTAATGTCAACTGAAGAAAAATGCTGACAAATGGAGGCAGAATGAGCAAACATTTTATCTGTCCAATAGAGATCCAATCTCTTTTATTAATAGATTCACTTTTACCACAGAATCAGTCTGCACTGGCTTTAGAGATAAACTGAGATGAGCTTTATGTCAAGAAGAAATGTGCATAAATCCTAGCTTCACATACACACAAGTACACACTTGCAACCGGGCGCATGTGGGCACACATAATCAAAGCGAGGCATGCACCAAGAAAGATTTGGGTGCATTAATAATAAAGCGAACCGAGTTGTGCTGATGTTGCTCATGCTATTTGTGCGTATATACTGTATGTGTGCAAGCATTTGAGTGCTGTCAAGGTCGTCCTGTTCGTCTGGGTGCACTGCTGTGCTGTTGGCTTTTTATTCTTCAGCAGCTCCACACAGCTGCAGCTCTGGAAGAGTCCGCCTTTATTGCGCTGATTAGCTAATAGAATACAGACATGCTGCAAACAGAGATATCACTCAGTGCTGATGGGCAGAAACAGACAGTTAAGGACAGCGCAGCCTCTAGACAGACACATACTAAGACAGATGGAGTGTAGGTAGACAGGGAGGCTAGAAGACAGGGCAAAAAAAAGAGAAAAAACAAAAATCGAGTATCAGGCAGACATACACGCAAACAGATGGGTAGACAGGCAGGCCAGCAGACAGACAGAGGCAGGGAGGCTCGCCCACGCAGATAATGAAATGCATCCACACAGAAATAATTTCTGAACGTGAGGGTGTATGTGTGCATTCTAGTCTGCCAGAACATATTGAAGTACAGTCAGACACAGTTGAGCGGAGATAGAGAGGAATTTCCGCCAGAACCCTTATTTCCTGGCACCAACCTAAGGCTGACACTTCCCAGAACCTCCTGCTTTTATAGAATAATCCCCTTTTATTTATGTACCCCTATTGAAAACAACAAGAAATTTTCTGGCAGCGTTTTAATAAACACATTGCCTAGACCACCCTGTATGTCATAACGTAAAGTACCGCAAATTCAGCTTAAAGGCCTCTTGTTGTTTTGAGATCCGTTTATAAAAAGTGGAATTCCACTTCATATTTTATGATCTCTGAAATGCGAGGTTCTCTTTAAATCCTTTGGAATTAAAATTTTTAGAAAAGAAATCTGTTAATATTCATCACTGCTGAATGACAAAGCTCTGGGTAGGATAAATGCATGATGAATTTAAATGGATCCCTCAAAGGCTGATTAGAAAACTCTTATACTTCTTAAGTCTCCTTCCGTTGAGAGCAGCACTACAGAGGATTCTCAAGGCCATCTCAATTTTTAACTCAGGCCATCAGAAAATACCATGTGTTGTTGAGGACAAAGGTGCTCTTATAGTAGTGGGCTCTTGTGAATTTCAGCCCGTGAAGAAATAATTAAAACTAAATGATAACAACTGTTACACACTAAGGTGCAAAGCCTTTTTCTTTTGCTTCTATGGAGCCACAATTTCTTTTCATTTTTCAAAGTGATCTCAAGCAATAGTTCTTCACATTTTTTTGAAGGTCTTTCAGTGTTTTTCTTTGGGCATTGGCTGCTTTTACGCTCAGTTTCACTCCAGTCCTTGTGCCTGACCATTTTCAGGGAAATGTTACTTTTTGGTTGTCAAGCCACTTAAATACTGACCTATTATTCATTCATGTGTAGAAAATGACACCTAACATTAAGAGATAAACCTGTGCAAAGAACCAACACATTATTTACAAAAGTGGAAAAGACAACACATATATTTGCACGAACAAGGTGATTCCAAAAGAACAATTAGCCAAAAACGTGCCATATCTCGGAACGGTGTATAGAGTTTCGTTAAAAAGCCTGAGCGAACTGGGTAAGTAGAGTACAGGACTGTCACAGTCCTCTATTTCATCTGACCCTTCAGTTGATCCATCTACTGAAGCCTCATCAGAATTGCTCTCTGTGGAAGGGTAGCTATCAAGGAGCCATTCTTGAGGAAGGGAAACAGGGAGAAAATGCTTAGGTATGCTAAATTACTGGACTGAAAATCAGTGCCAATAGGTCTTTTGGAGTAATGGATCCAAATTAGAAATTTGGACAACAGTGAGTGTATATAGCCATTTATAATACATGATTGAAGCTCTGACATGTGGCTGTATTTCAGCCAGTGGGGTTTGGGATCTTGCCAAAATTTTATGTAATTATCAACACTGCAAAGTACTATCAGATAATGAACCACCATGCAATACTATCTGGAAAGCGTCTGATTGGCAACAGTTTAAATTTTCAAGCATGATAATGATCCCAAACACACTGCCAGTGTAGTAAAAACATACCTGGAGAGTAGAAACACACAGTAGAACACTATCAGTGATGGACTGGCATTCCCAGAATACCGACTTGAACATTATTGAAGCAGTGTGGAATCATCTTTATAGAGAAGAGAACAAAAGGAAGCCAACATCCAAAGAAGAGCTTTGAATATCCTTCAAGAAGCCTGGAGACCTATTCCAGAAGACTACTTAAAGAAATTACAAGAAAGCCTGCCTAAAGATGTTCAGGCTGTGTTACAGAATAAAGGTGGCCATAACAAATACTGAGCTTTGTGCCAACTCTTTTTTTTTGCCTTATGTACTGATTTTCCATATATTTCGGCACCCATTTCCCATTGTAGCATTAAGCCTCAAAACATTTGCACTTTTCCATCCATCCATTCTCTTCCTTTTATCCTTTTCAGGGTTGTGGGGGTGCTGGAGGCTATTCCAGCTGTCTTAGGGCGAGAGGCAGGGTACATCTAGTACAGGTCGTCAGTCTGTCACAGGGTTAACATATAGACACACACAACTATTCGCACTCACATTCACACGGGGCAATTTAGGGTTTTCAATTATACTAACTCCATGTCTTTGGACTGTGGGAGGAAACCAGAGTATCTGGAGAGAACCCACGCACGAAGAATGCACTATATTTGTCATGTATTGCATAGCATGTTAATAGATGTTTGTCTGCTTTTTATAAATATTCTTTTTGTGACTGTGGTGAAAAGCAGGTTCCTAAAGAAAGACAGCAGATTATGTCTTTTTGCTATACCATCCATCACGTGTTACCTGTATGGCGAGGGCCCGTGTTACGACTGCTCTGAGGTACTGCATTGGCTCCTCTGGTCCCTCCCATTTATTCTGCCATGTTAAAGGACACTGAGACAAGAGGAAACAAGCACAGAGAATAAAGGTCAATGCAAGCAATAATAAAAGCAAAAATCACAAAAATGAGTATAAGCAAAAGAGTGATGTAAACCATGTTTTTTAAAAAACAAAACAAACAAAAACAAAACAGGGGTACTCTGCAGGTTTACTCTGCCACTATGTGAACCTGCCTCTATGTCCTTCTCCTAACCATGCTGGCAGCCAAGCCACAGTTAATCTGCAGGAGGACTGCAGCAACATCAGCCCCTGTCGAGTTGCCTTGACACGATTCAAAATACAAATTTAACAATATGTGTAAGTCACTGAAGGGCACGCTGCGCCCAGCTACATCCTCACTGTGGTCCAGCTAAAATGCAATCTATATTTAAGTTTCTGTGATGTCACTGGTGACATCCTCAATTTCTGTCATGACATGCAAAAACAGTTACAGCTGGGTGATACTGAGATAAATCTCAGACACTATTTTATATATTGTAAAAATACTGAATATATTTGTGACTTGTTACAATGCTAACTTAAACTTTACAAGTGAAAAATACTCTTGTGTTCATAAACAGTACTGTCTGTCTGTCTCCTGATGTAAGTAACTGTTGCAGATCCACAGACAGTCTTGTCTGTGCAGCAATATCTGTAATGTCTTAATTTGGAAGTCACAGACAAATGTAAAATGTTTGCAGGGTTGGGAAAGGAAAGCTTTCTCAAGAGAAGAATGTTAACTCCTGAACACGTTAGGCCGTGTATGTTACCGTTAAACAGAGATCAAAGATTTGACTCACACACACATGCACAAACATGCACAGCAGGAGGCTGAGAATTGAGAATTTGGTGGTATTTAGGCATGAAAGCCATAATGGAAATAAAAGAGACTTTGCATGTCTCTCAGCTGCAAGTCAACCATTCACTCACTCACTCTCCTGCTGCGGGGATGGGTGTGTGTATGTATGTGTGTGTGTTGCACTGAAGTGTCTTAGGAGGAAAAACGTGCTGGTTTAAGTTAAGTCACTGCCATTTGTGGGGTACAAATAAGTGTAAAATGCTGTTTTAATTATTATTTTTTAACAAGATAAGGGTGGCAGAAAACAGAGACACAAACCAAATGTATACAGGAGTGCAATCAATATACACCGATCAGACATAACATCATAACCACCTACCTAATATTGTATTGGCACCCCTTTTACTCAATTGAATCCTGGATGCTCAATTGATTGAAATCTGGGGAATTCAGAGGCCAAGTCTGCACCTCATACTTGTTGTTGTTGTGCTCTTCAAACCATTCCTGATCCATTTTTGCTTTGTGGCATGCCACATTATCCTGCTGAAAGAGGCCACAGCCATCAGGGATTACCTGATATGTTAATGAAAGTGTGTACAAGGTCTGCAACAATGCTTAGGTAGGTGGCAGGAGCCAAGATTTCCTACCAGAACATTGCCCAAAGCAGCAAACTGCCTCTGCTGGCTTTCCTTTTTTCTGCATCCTGGTGCCTCCTCCCCAAGCGAGCAGTAAACACACACCCGGGTCATGCACATGATATGCATCAGACCAGGCCAACTTCTTCCGTTTCTCCATGGTCTAGTTCTGATACTTATGTGCCATTGCTGGGGCTTTCAGCAGTGGATATGGGTCAGCATAAGCACCCCGACTGATATATCCCGCCCACTAACAGGTGCCATAATGAAGAGAAAATCTGTCTTAATCACGTCAGCTGTAAGTGGTCTTAATGTCATGCCTGATCGATGTACAGTGGGGCAAAAAAGTATTTAGTCAGCCACCGATTGTGCAAGTTCCCCCACTTAAAATGATGACAGAGGTCAGTAATTTGCACCAGAGGTACACTTCAACTGTGAGAGACAGAATGTGAAAAAAAAATCCATGAATCCACATGGTAGGATTTGTAAAGAATTTATTCGTAAATTAGGGTGGAAAATAAGTATTTGGTCACCTCAAACAAGGAAAATCTCTGGCTCTCACAGACCTGTAACGTCTTCTGTAAGAAGCTTTTCTGTCCCCCACTCGTTACCTGTATGAATGGCACCTGTTTGAACTCATCATCTGTATAAAAGACACCTGTCCACAGCCTCAAACAGTCAGACTCCAAACTCCGCCATGGCCAAGACCAAAGAGCTTTCGAAGGACACCAGGAAAAGTATTGTAGACCTGCACCAGACTGGGAAGAGTGAATCTACAATAGGCAAGCAGCTTGGTGTGAAAAAAATCAACTGTGGGAGCAATCATCAGAAAATGGAAGACATACAAGACCACTGATAATCTCCCTCGATCTGGGGCTCCACACAAGATCTCATCCCGTGGGCTCAAAATGATCATGAGAACGGTGAGCAAAGATCCCAGAACCACACGGGGGGACCTGGTGAATGACCTGCAGAGAGCTGGGACCAAAGTAACAAAGGTCACCATCAGTAACACACTACAACGGCAGGGAATCAAATCCCAGTGCCAGACGTGTTCCGCTGCTGAAGCCAGTGCATGTCCAGGCCCGTCTGAAGTTTGCCAGAGAGCACATGGATGATACAGCAGAGGATTGGGAGAATGTCATGTGGTCAGATGAAACCAAAGTAGAACTTTTTGGTATAAACTCAACTCGTCATGTTTGGAGGAAGAAGAATACTGAATTGCATCCCAAGAACACCATACCTACTGTGAAGCATGGGGGTGGAAACATCATGCTATGGGGCTGTTTTTCTGCCAAGGGGACAGGACGACTGATCCGTGTTAAGGACAGAATGAATGGGGCCATGTATCGTGAGATTTTGAGCCAAAACCTCCTTCCATCAGTGAGAACTTTGAAGATGAAACGAGGCTGGGTCTTCCAACATGACAATGATCCAAAACACACCGCCCGGGCAACAAAGGAGTGGCTCCGTAAGAAGCATTTGAAAGTCCTGGAGTGGCCTAGCCAGTCTCCAGACCTCAACCCCATAGAAAATCTGTGGCGGGAGTTGAAAGTCCGTGTTGCTCGGCGACAGCCCCAAAACATTACTGCTCTCGAGAAGATCTGCATGGAGGAATGGGCCAAAATACCAGCTACTGTCTGTGCAAACCTGGTAAAGACCTATAGTAAACGTTTGACCTCTGTTATTGCCAACAAAGGTTATGTTACAAAGTATTGAGTTGTATTTTTGTTATTGACCAAATACTTATTTTCCACCCTGATTTACGAATAAATTCTTTACAAATCCTACCATGTGGATTCATGGATTTTTCTTTCACATTCTGTCTCTCACAGTTGAAGTGTACCTCTGGTGCAAATTACTGACCTCTGTCATCATTTTAAGTGGGGGAACTTGCACAATCGGTGGCTGACTAAATACTTTTTTGCCCCACTGTATGTGTTGATAATATGTTGAATAACTACTTTTTGGTTACAAACCCAAGCTACTATGATGATTATTAGTATTGGCCTGCGAATTACTACAAGTGGTACTGAAAATCTAACTGATACCAGAGATTACTTCACCTTTAATCAAAAAGCCATTTCCTCATCGGTCACCATGTCCTGATAATCATGCTCTTTCTACCAAATGAAGGTAGGGGTAACACTTTTTCTGTCTTGCAGCACTGCTTATGACTCTCATACAACCCAAGCCCCCCATCAGAAAGTAGGTAGTTTGGGTTCTTTCCAATCATGTAATTATTTTTTTTACTGCACAGCTGAGAGAAAGGGCAGCAGAGCTGATCCCCTCAGAACTGTGTCTGCTACACTTTTACATTATCACAACCATAAATGGAGCATTTTTCAAATGCATAAATCGCATCATCAGCTCATTCTAACCTTCTCTGATTTAAATGGGGTTAATTAGTAACAGTCGGTTATAATAGAAGCCCAAATGCAAAATGGCATTAATCCATGTGATCTGCTCATTGTATGCAACAGTATTTCCTGTAAAGACTCCAATCTAATTCATATTCTGTTTTGTTATAAAAGACACTAAATGCTCACTTAACTGTGTATCTGTTGTATGTAATTAGGATTTTTTCCAGTAATATTTAAAAAATTTAATGTGTAATACAAATTCAAGGCCTTACCTTAAGAAGCACCCGCTTTTATTTTACCAGTGCTATATCTGATCTCATATTTTAATTTTCTGCTTGTGTAAAAATGCTTCTGTTTGGTTCAATTTTCAGTGACATTTGTAGTAGTAGTAGTGCCCAGTCGCAACATAAGAACTTTAACAAAAAGAAAAGAAAAACAAACAAACAACCCCCCCCAAAACAGTGATTTTCTCAGCACCAAACCTGGCCACAGTGAGACAGAAAAACTCCTCAGTCAGGCACATGGAGGACAGCCAACTGCCTTGAACTTTTGGTGTGAGGGAAGAATATCATTGTCTGTTTAGTTTGCCCCCCTGGAAACCTTGGCTTTATATAGTCATAAATAACTGAAGCTGTACATACGTAATTACTTACTGCTTGGACAGTGATAAAGTTTCTTTAAAATACTGAGGTTTAAAATAATGTTAGAACCAAATATTATAGTCACGTACTGTAGCATTGCAGGGAGAATCGCATTTAGGCCAATTCACTCAGGGGCTTCTTGTCAGTGATGTAAAAATACTGCCAGCTAGGGTCACAGAAGTCATCAGGTGTTTGTTAAAAAATTTAGCTGCCAGTAAATTCGATGTATGCCGAGAATTTTGTGTTTCTGCAAAATGTGCAGCAGGAAACATAACAGCTGCTGCTGCTTTTTCTATGGTTCAACAACCTTTTTATACTCTAGGCAATATCTTTTTTGGCAAAACTCTGATTTAATTGTCAAGCAATGCTCCCTCTCTGGGAGAAGCTTCACATCAGAGAGCTTCAAACAATATTGTGGGTCAAAATTAACGATCTTTTTTTAATATAAAAAAAAGAAAAAAAGCTATGATAAAAAGTTATGACACTGAAAAAATTCTCCTGATCTATACAGCTAACAAAATGCATTTCTGTCTTTAACAAAAAGGTAAAACACAGTATCTTGATTATGCATATTACAGAAATTAAATCTTTAGACAGGCCATAAAGGAAAAGGCTCAGAATAGGCTGAACAGAACTCTTATAAAACTTGTGTAAAAACTGTGATTGCATCTGTTTCATATACAGCACTGAGGAGTTACATAGGTCAGTTAAAATGGACGACAAGGTATGATCTTTTAGGAAAACAATGTAAATAATGTTAAAGGTTAAACACTTAAAAGTGGAAATCAGACTTTAAAAAAAAAGTTTTTATTTAGACCATAGTGTGCTAAAAGCTGATGGACAGTGTTTTGGGGTTTTTTGTGATACCGAATTATAATTGAGATATAAATTAGATGTATATTAGAGATATAATTATAAATTATAAAACAAATGGCTTTGTTTTATTTTATACATTTGTACAGTTCCCATTGATAACTGACTTAATTGTAATTACATATATTTTTAAACCACTAACATATTTTATTATTTTGAAATTCGGAATAGATTTTAAATATCAGAACATGATAAAAAAGTCCAGTCTTTAGTAGGTCTTATAAGGTACACATAACCTGAGATGAACTACAAAGCATTACACATTACACAGTGACATTTATTAAAACAAACAAACTACCCAAAATGTAGAAGACGTGTGGAAAACGAAGTAGACCCTTCTTGTTTCAATAGCAACTAAGAGGGTCAGTACCAGCAAGGTGGTAATAAACCAATGCATAGTGGTCATCAGCAAGTACGAACACTAGGGATGGGTACCGGTGTCCGGTGCCATGATGGCACCAGTTCTGACATAAACGGTAGTAACCAGACCGAAAAGCAGCGCACATTTCGGTGCTTTATTTCGGTGCTTTTTTTTCCTGAGCTGTGATACACTTCTAGCCAATCATTTTACGTTTCCGAGGATAGTAGGCGGGCCCAGGTACGTACGTTCTTTTAGAGCAGAGCTACAGATTAAAAATGTCCAAGGCGAAGCGGTCAAAAGTCTGGTTGTACTTCACAGCAAAATATGCAAACTCAGCAGCCTGCAACAAGTGCTTTAAGCTGATACTGTGATACTGTCAAAGGAGGTAACACCTCAAATCCGATGAAACACCTGGCGACGCATAGCGTTTTTTTTAAAAGCCCAGAAATGCACCGTATGATAGCTTGCTGCGAGACCTCACACCGAGCACATCTACTGCGGGTGGGTTGCCTGTTATGCAACATCCCCCAAAAACACGAAGAGGAGAGTCCTGGCCCCTAGCCCTGCCAGTGTAGCAGAAATGATGACGGCCGATGATGATGGCAGCAGCACCCGTTCTTCTCTGCGTGAGTAGCTTAATGTTGTTCGTGTGTAATTTACGTTGAGTAGGCTAACCATGTTATTAAATTAATGCATGTAAGGTGAACTAGCAAACATCATCATAGCTACATGCGGCTGTCTTCTTGTTTGATGGCAGATACTCCCTTCACCCTGGCCAAAAAGGCTAAAATGACCAAAGAAAAAGTGGAAAACAGTTAAACATGAGAGGTTTTGAACAAAGTTTGTGTTTTTTCCATTGTTTAAGCACTGCTTCCAGCCAAGAGTGATACTGTATATGCCCCATAGCTGCAGAAAAAGCTAACATTGTTATCTTTTTACAAAAAACAGCTGAACATGAGAGGTTTTTGGACCAATTTTGTGTTCTCCATTCTTTAAGCACCGGTTTAAGCACTGTTTGAGCACCGGCACCGTTTCAAAAGTACCGGTTTGGCACCGGTATCGGATAAAACCTAAACGATACCCATCCCTAACGAACACCTCTATAAAAGCAAAGGTTCTGGCAGTTTGCTGGTCTGGAGCATGTTAAAAGAAGCTTTTGTTGTTGCCCATCAATCTAGGAAGAGTTATAAGGCAATTCAAAAGATTTTAAAGTCTATTTATTGATAAAGATTATTCACAAGTGGAAAACATTCAAAATTGCTGCCAATCTTCCCATCAGTGAACATCTCAGCAACTTCCCCCAAAAATCACACCGTGCAATGCTCAGAGAAACTGCAAAAGGGTTGGATCATAGATTCTATAGGTTTCAGAATATTATCTGTTGTTCTTTGAATAAATGAGACCAAAGTCGAGATGTTTGGCCATAATTTTGTTTGGAGAAAATCATACACAGTATATCGGCACAAACACTAACTGTCAAGAATGGTGACAGAAGGGCGATAATTTTGGCTTGTTCTGAAGCCACAGGACCTGTGCATATTGAAGTCATTGAGTTGACAGTCAAATCCTTTGTATTGTTGTATTGCTGTTGTTTATCTGAAGTTGCATTTTCCTAATTTGCCTGGTAAGAACCACATGATTTTTTATTATGTCCTGATAATATAAAAACCTTAGAATAGACAGAGGGTGCACTTTACTTTTACCATAACTGCATATTAAAAGAAAAAGCTAGCAAGATAGAGAAAATGTAAGGAAATCAAAGATTGGAAAATGTGACAGATAAAGACTGGAGCTGGTCGAGAGGGCAACGGAGATACGACTAAAAAAACCTGCTGATTAATACAAAAAGAGAGAGAAGGCAAGCAGCGAAACAGGAATTATGCCCAAGGCTTCTCTCTGGAGATTACACACAGAAGGAGTGAAAGGTTGGATGTGTCTCTTCTTTTCTACCTCATAATATCCCCTTTGTCCCCAACTCAGCCTGAGGACATACAAGGATACATATTGTGTTTGCTACATGTCTACATGTCAGCTCTGTATACTGTGTATGGGCCTGTCCCTGTGGCCTTCATTTCACCACAGAATAAAAAGAATTGCAGTCCCCCTCTAAAACAATATGGTAAAAAGAAAGCTTTACTTTACATTGTCACTGTCACTGAAGACAGAGCTAACTGTGTATTTTATGGTAAGAGTTAGAAACCTTCAGCAGCATTGTAGAAAGATTTAAGATAAATGTGAGTTAAAAGATGCATTGCATACAGCATTTGGGACTCTGTGTGCATTTGTAATACTATCAGGGTAAGGCCTTCCATTTTATTTTCAATTGTATTCCACATTTATTGCACTAAGCCCCATTTAATAAATCATCATGAGAAACATTAAAAAAACTCTAGATAACACATGTACTCAAAAGCATAAAATAGCACATAGAGTGTTAGGGTTGAGTTTCTCTGTCTTTTGCCTGTCTTACCTCTTGATTTAGTAGGGCAGTGGCCAGTTTCTGGACTTCTGGAGTTAACAGTTGAGTCCCTCGGATGACCTTGCTCAGTGCGGCCAGAGACTGGTGTATACTCTGTGATGACACTTACAGTTTACATACAGTACATACTGTGCAAAAAAATACAATCATTAAAGTCATCAAACTCATTAAAGATATATGCTGTACACTCAAGCCCCAAAATACCATGACATTCATTCACATGATCCTGACCACAACTGTATGTTTCATAATGAGGCAAATGGCTATTGGATGCAGGTAGTGATCAAGCCTGCTTCCACTGATTGCCTTGGTTCATTTAACCCCCCCCAACAAACAGATAACTGTGAGTGTCTAGAAATGAATAAAACTATTCCATGAGATAAGTAACATACTTAAACAATCAATGAAGGGAAATTAGCTTATGCATCTCCATGGCTTTTAATCTTAATCAGTTTTTTCAGAAGAAACAAAGCAAGCTTTATTTACATACAAGTCTCAGTCTTTTACTCCATGTTGAATTAAACACGGTGGGTACCACTACCTAACCCCCCCCCCAAAAAAAAAAAAAAGTATTCGGATACTGTAATTATGTGGTAGCCCATTTTGAATGTAGCTATCATTTCTAATGTTTTTACCCACCTGGACCAAGCGGATGGCATTGAACTGTTCCAGAGAAATGAATGAAAGGACTGGTGATTTCTGACTCTCTGTAGGTGGGTCCACCTTCTGGTGGATTAGTGTAGAGCCCTGATAGATGAGAGACATGAGAGAAACTATGAGAGAGCTATAGCTATTTGAGTCTACTTGTTCCAATACAGAAATGATCACTGTACATCAATGTGAAGTTGTTCAACGTGATCACCTTCATCCTATGAAAAAAATATTTCTTTCTGACGAGTGCTCTCTTTCAAGATTACAATGCTCTCATCTGTAGTTAACTGTATATAAATTGCACTGACGTGAAATGACAGTGCTCTGTACCACAATCATCGAAACAGAATGAGGGGATGGTTCCACCCAGTAGAGTTCATAAGACTTTCTGAGGGGCTTTTAATGTGTTCTAGTTCAGTGTATGGAACTTAATGTTGATTTCTCATTTCATTTGCAACATGTATTGTCTACATAATACTCAGAGTAAGATGTATGTTCACTTTAGGAACTCCTGCTACATTAGCATGCTATCTTTCCCCCCTTATACAGTACAATGGTAAAATATTATCTATGGATTTCCATATGGATCATTGTATATATGCATATACTAAATTCCTACAGTAACATCATATTACTAAACAGAATTTATTTTCTTGCTCCACACAGTGCAAACACAGGGGTGGAGGTTGAGCACTTGTTTACATTAGATAAACACTTTGTGTTCTGTATACAAAGTATACCATACAGTATACAAATAGGTTACAAAAAATATACAAATAAAAAATAGAAAAGCTTGGATTTTGTTGTAATCTATTAGAACCATCACACTCTATACCTGGATTCTATTTCGCTTTCCTTGCAACAACTCAGTTAGAGAAAGAGGCAAAAAAAGAGAGGAAGAGAAGGATAGCAGGACCAAGGGATGAAGACAGACAATGAAGAAAAAAGCTGGTTGGACGGGATTCAGATTGACTAGAGCTAAGCTATTGTTTCCATTTAAAAATGTAACTAAAAAGCCAAATAAACAGTCTCTGCTGTATCATGCTCTGCCCATGTCTTTCCAGACTACATAATGATTTGCCAAAAATAAATGTGTCTGTACATTTCCACACACACACACCTCTCACATATTTTCCACAAACCATAAAGGTTTGCACACACAACCAATGCACACGTGCAAGTACGTGCATTTAAATGGCACACTGGGAAGTTCAGATCCACTGAGGGTCAAACAACAAGGTTGGTTGATGACAAAGGGATAGTTAATTGAAAGCAGCCAGAGGTTGATTGTGATCTATGGAAAGCTTGCTGGTGACATAATGGCAACAATTAACACAGTTAACCATTTTCCTTTCAGTAAGTACAAAACAACTCCATCTACAAGAGACTGAAAGAGCAAGAAGAGAGACAGAAAGAGAGGAGACATAAGTGTAAATGAGAGAGGAGACAGTAAGCATGTGTGCTTGACAGCATGAGAGGCAGAGAGAGGAGACTGATACACGGTGACTAAATTGTTAAAGGTGGAGGCAGATGTCCTTTTAATTTGAAAACGTGCCAGTCTCCAAGCAACTGCACACAGCAGTACTTCTTGGCCAAGCAAGCCACTGTGTGTGACAGCCTTTGACAGCACTAGTAATATCCGATTACTTCCCACAACTTTTAATTAGGTGTCACGACCCTTGTTGTCTGTTGGTTTTGTTAAGTCCCTTTGTGTTCCTAGTTTTTCCATTACCCCCCTGCCTTCTGTATTCCCTGTCCCCTGTCTTCATGTTTAATGTTAGTCTTCATGCTTCAGTTATTTTAATTGTCTTTGTGGTAATGCTGTTTTACTTGGAAGGTTAGTTGTCTCACCGTGGCTTTACTTCCTGCTTTTGGGTCTTTCCCTCTGCTGTGACCCTCATGTTGACCTGTTTTGATTGTATTCAAATGTGAACAGTCTGCCCTGTCTGTGCATATAGCCTTGCCTCTCCCCTTCTCCATTTACTTCCTGTATATCTACGTATTGTTCTTTTTTGTTGCCAACTGGACTGTGTGTTTCTCCAATTTTTGATCATTCAATAGTTTTATTTAATTTGCCTCAGAGTCATGCACTTTGGACCTCCACCCATTTCTGATATTACAACTAGTTGTTGTTGATGTGCAGTGACAGTAGAAATGCTGCAGTATTAGTACGGTTTGACTTTTTAAAGTTAACTAAATCAAGGCAAATGAAGTCCTTTAAAAGCTACAGATGCAGCTTTCCAATTTGGTTTGCAGGAAAAGGGCAACAAAAAGTAATGGGTCAATAAAAAGTCAATATGAAATGGTAAAGACAGCTAACCTGGTTGAGTTTCTTCCATAAGTTCAGGATAGGTGACAGTCCATTTGACCAGAGCTCCCTGTCAAACTTTGAACCTGTTGCGACTGAGCGACTCAGGATGCGCAGTTGAGAAATTACCTGTAAACAATTAAAACACAAAGAGTCAGTGGTATGCTGCATGTGCTCCTGTAAGAATAAACGGCCTATTTTTTTAAAACACCACCCATATAATTTGAAGTAGGCACATGAATTTTGACTCCCATATGTAAAACCCAAAACACTGTGTCAGGCCCTGTAATGTTGAAAAAAAGAAGAAGAAAAGAGAACCATAAACACGCCTCCTTACATACCTAATCAGCCAAGCTTAGCTTCAGGATTAGAATCTTGGACAGTACTTTTATCTAGACTCAGTGTGTCTGTGTGTGTGTTTTGTGATAGTGCAAGTTTCCACTTATGTCTGCGTTACAAGTAAAGCAGCTTGTCTGATAAATGACTTTCATTTGGTCCAGGAGAACTCTTTACTAACATTTGTTTTATCTTCTCTGCTCAGGAGGAAAACGGTATATATGTGCATTTGCACACATGTCTGTTCGAGTACATCAAAGAGGGAGATGAAGGTAGGATTAAAAAAATCCTAATCTAAAATTGAATTGACAGCAATATGAAGGAGGTTGATATCAAATATAAGGTGATTCAAATAGTAATTTAAATATATTAAGATAACCAAGATTTTAATAAGCTGAAATTTCTGCCATAATTGTCTGGGGATAAAAAGTTACTGGACATTACACAACTTCATGCAGTCAATTTACTCAGTTTTTCACATTATTTCAGTATAACAGTATTCTAGTTTAGAGTTGTTAATAAGTCAAGCTGATTGATAAATTGAGCATAACAGAGTGAAAATCACAGATGCCACAGAAGGCACAGATGTCATTATATCTAAATATATAATCAGAAATGAACAGAAGCAGTATACGAGAGAGCTTCTATGTGTATATGCAAGATTTGGAGAAATAAATCTCTCTGCATTTAATGTCTTTTTTTTCTGTTATTGTAGTTGTAATGACACAATGATACATTTTCACATGCTAGTTTTATCCAAAGTGCTTATCTTTGACATTGTGCATAAAAACTATGAATGCAGGAAATCATACCTCAAGCCTTTTGTAAAGACATTTCAAACCCGTGTCAGGTAATTGGTAAGATTAGACATTTATATTTAATGGTTTCCACAAAATCTGCAGACTTTTCCCCAGGACCTCTTTAGTGTATGTGGTTAACAGCAGAACTCAAATACAGTGAGAGTAAAGAAGGGACACATTTTGGGGAAAAGGGAGAGAAAAAGAGAGAAGATGAAAGTGACAGTGACAAATGACACCAGGATGGGAGACAATGACATATGGGGGAGATGGGTAGAGAAAGAGACACAGTAACAGACTCACATAAGTGGTCTTGTGGGAGTCGTATGAATTAAACTAGGTTGGTGGTTCCAGTGATCAGGAGACCACGCTATGAGTGAATTTAATTGTATTAAAACCCACATGGGGATTGTCCTTACAATCTGTAAAGGTTGCGTGTGGTTGAACTGAGGATAATTACAATCAGAAGACACAAAAAAAGGAGCAGCAGCTACTTTCAGCTGTTCACTTATTCACAAGGTTTCGCCACAGTGGGAAGTTCCACATGTTTGATTTGACAGTTGTTGTTTTTTTTCTTTTAAATGCTGGATGTCCTTACTCATCCGAGTCCAGAAGGATTTGGGTCATCTCCTGGAATGAATGGATCTTTTGCTTGTAAACTCCGACAGTGTGGAATCACTTAAAATCACAAGATATGCAAAGTGTAAAAATCTTCTGAGAAATCAGTATCTGTATCAGTAGAGATCTTCAATGCAAACCACCAGCGACCACAGAATTACGCTATCGGTCAAAGCAATTATGAGGAGAACTTTGGTGCAGCAAATCTCTCCTAGTGACAGCCAGCAACCAGTCGCCAACTGGTCAGGGAATAGACATTTGTCCCTAATGCAATGTTGACCATCTCCGGACCTGTGTGACTGAGACTCTACCTGATGCAAATGTGGCCAATCTCACATTGAAGGTCATCATCTCAGACACTGACCTAAAATCTTCAGTATTTTCAGTGGACTCTAAGGGGCACAAGATAAGATCATCTGAATGTTCTCCTTCAGACTCCTCAGGACGATACAGTAGATCTTTACACTGACAGTCTCATCCTGGGGGTCAACTGAATGCTGCCTTTGAGCTTGGAAACTGCAAAATCTTCAACAGAAAACCGCTTGGTCACAGTCAGTGACGATCCTTCACATGAAATTTGGGTCAGTTTTAACAAGAAGATGATGCTAGCTCTAAGTTTGATGTCAGTGGTAAAATCACAGAGGGCATAAAGCAGGAAGTGGCAGTAGCAATCTAAAAATAGCTGAAAGCTCTCTGGATATGTCCCAGAACATGATCTTGAATGTAGGATGAGCAAGATTTTAAAAAGATCATACCTTGTACAAACAGAAAAACGCAGCAAAACGAGCTCATTGTAATGTCATCGCAATGTCACGTATTCCATTTTCATTTCATTCTTGCTTTGGTTCTATCAGCATGTTTCTTACGAAAACAATGATTTGGTTCTTTAAAATAAATGAACCCTTATATGTGCTCATGTTTTGGTTACTCATCCAATTTACACTAAAGCATCTTTATTTTCAAAAATGAATTCTTAACAACGATACCAGGCTTGAATGGAAAACAATGGAAAAACATATACATGTTCTTTTCTGCACAAACGACAATGATAACAAACATGCTATTGTAAAAAAAAAAAACTCTTTCTCTAGTGCATGCAACAAGCAAGGTTTAATTGTGGTGCGTGTGTCACATTTATACTATTTCATCTTTCCTTTAGGGTTAAAAAGATCTTGGATTTTGCTTCCTCTTATAGATTTTGTAGCATCTGGCCAAAGTCCAGGCCAGTTCCTCAAAGACAACTGGCTCTTATGCAGCTTCCTTCACATGTATTATAGGTCAACCTTTCTACCATTTCGACATTTGCACAATATCACAAGTGGCAGAATCAAACCAAAACATATTTTTCTGCTTCACAGAAAATCTGTAAAAGAATAAAAATCAATAAGTCTCAGCCTGAAAAAAATAATTACCTGAATGTGTAAAGTAAACACCAAAGACAGGTTCTATCCAAACACTACACACAGATTCATATATTACATAGACTATATAGTTTGTATTATTAGATGTGAATATTGCAAAATTCAAATGATATGTTCACAGTCAGTGAACAATGCAGCCATGCAACCTTCAGTCTATATCCTGCTTCTGTCTTTTAAGATTTTCATCTCCCTCAAACTCACACTAACACACACACACACTGAAATAAAACATATTGTGTGTTTATGTGAGACTGTGTTACACTGTATTACATCAGAATCTGCAGTGACCATAAACCATTAAACACATTCACACATACACACCAGGGTTTTCCATCCTCTATAAAGGAAGAAAGTACTTGGCAGATTCAACTTACTATGCAGATTTTGCTCAAAGCTCCATAGGCTGAAAAACACCAACATCCATTTTAATCAGCTACAATCATCTATACAAACTGTCAGACTCAATATCTGTGAAGTAGTGGTAAATGTATTTACGGCTGAAATGTTATTAGAAACCCTCAAGTTGCTTCGGTTTATTGTCGTAAATGAACAAAACAGATTGAGTGCAGCTTTTGCAGAGTTTGCTTATATAGCTCAACGCAAGAGCTAACACAGATACACATCAATCTTATCTGATGCAAAATATATAAAATATTGCCATACACTTGTTCGGATGATAAACGTCAACTTTCTGATGTTATCAAATGTTCCTTAAAATGATAACTACATGCAAAAATCATCATATTGTGAAAAATGTTATTTTGAGATTTGCATGAGACATGATATTGAAATGAATGAAATTATGGTTTACAAAATTAGGAAAAAAATATTATCAATGTTATTATTTATGCAATTAGTTTATGTAAGAAAAATATTTTATTAATTATAAGTCATATTAATATGGTATCAAAACTAAACAGATGGTTCACAGTTGATTTTATCACTGCCATACCACCAACAAACGCATACATTCTTTAAACTGAATTATAAAGTATCATAAATACAAGTTTCAACTTTATAATATCCAGGGTTCATTTATTTTAATGTTTAATAAATACTGTGTAATGAATGTATAAACAGTTTTATAAATGTCAGCTGCAACTTCTAATGACATCCTGATAGTGTTTACAAACTAACTATTAACCAAATATTAAACATTTTTAATTGCCAATGACTTGTTGCCTTGACAAGAACAAAAGTTTTTGTATTTACTGTCAATGTGAAAGTTAGCGCCGTAGTACATTGAGTCTCAAATACCCAGATCCCTCGTCTCCTAGGCCAAAAGCAGACTATGCTTGATAAGTTTTAAATGAGACATCTACGTAATTCTACATGCAACAAACTTTCAACATCCATCCATCCATTCGCTTCCGCTTATCCTTTTCAGGGTCGCGGGGGGTGCTGGAGCCTATCCCAGCTGTCATAGGGCGAGAGGCGGGGTACACCCTGGACAGTTCGCCAGTCTGTCGCAGGGCCAACACATAGGGACAGACAACCATTTGCACTCACATTCACTCGCACATTCAAACCTAGTGGCAATTTGGATTATCCAATTAACCTATCCCCACAAACTTTCAACAACCATAGCTAAATGAGTACTTACAGCTTGCAGGTAGTTACATTACATGAGAGTACGGTATGTGCTTAAGTGTACTGGGCATTTTTTATGAGCATGCGGTACTTTTGAGTCTTTTCTGGAGAATATTCTCATTCGTTGTCATTGTTTTGGAATGTTGCAATAATAATAAACATACATGTGAATAAAGCGAGCATATTTGTCCACCCGAATACTGGTAAAATTCTGTTAAAATACATGTAGAATAGATTAAAACATCTGCTATAATTCACCAGGGCGAACGGGCAATCATATGATTCATGGTGATAAAATATTTAAATCAACTAAAAACCCTAGCCAGTGGGCAAAGGCGGTATTTGTCATTGGATGATTGGAAAACAGACATGAAACAAACGCCCAACAGTTAGCAGTAAGAGAAGGGGTATCTTTAACCAGACTGCCCTGAACTCTATTTTTCCAAACTGTGTTACACCTTCTGCTCAGCTTCTCTGTGGAGAAGGATATATGCTGCAGCAGAATAAAGACCCTAACCTCAAAGCTTTGCACCTTCTGCTTGAAGATCAAAGAGGAGGACTGACTTCAATGATTGTGACTTTTTGACAGTCACCTGACCTCAACTGTACATCTATGGCGGCACTTGAAAAAGTGGAAAAAGCCAAGTATTCCTGACATCACAAGGAGCTCTTTGGAACACTGTCAAATCACGCTGAGATAACATGGCTTATCATGTGGAGTCTACGCCAGCACTGCCAGGATTGCTGCTCCATCCCTCCAGTGGAGTTCCACTGACTTATGGGATCAGTGCCAAGGCGCACTGAAGCTGCTCTAGTGACACATGTTGACCCAACACCTCGCTAAGACAATTTGAGTTGATTTTCTTTTCATTTTTCATCTGTATACATGCAAGACTGATGTGAGCTGCAGGCGATATGAGCACATGTGCTTGTGTGAATAGGCAGACTGCTGTGTGTGGGTGCACCTGGGAGCTGACGATTCTCTGGGAGGATCTCGCTATGTTGGCAGGCAGACCAAAGAATGCTGGCCTGTCATCCTCTGGGAGATTCTCTATTACTCTGCGGTAGTCCTGGGAAGACACGCAGACCCATACAGGTCACACATTGACACACCCATATAAAGAGAGAGAAAATGAAAGCATTCTGCCAATTTATATCATGGCTTTAAGACAAAATACATTTTTCCATTTCTAAGCAACGATATCAAATTGAAAAGTAAAATCTTGTGGCATGCTTGTTAGATTTCTGTGTGGGTGTATGGGATTAATAATGCAATACTGAGCTCATTAGGGTGTGTTGTTTGTAACAGTTTGATGCAGGTTTTTTAACAACAAATATTTGCCTTGAATAGGGCTTTAAAAGCCTAAATTACTAAACTGATCTCCCTCATCACTCACTGCTAAATGCTAAATTCTAGCAATAGACTGTCAATTCAAATGATAGATTTCTATATTGATTGTTTTTTTAAACAAATGACCTCTCAGTGATTCTGTGGAATGAACTAACTTCTGGAAAAGAAAATATAAACAGAAAGCAGAGCAGCAGAAAAACAGAACCACATAACCACTTACTTGAGAGTTATTGCTGACATTTATTTGTAGTGGCTACTTTATAAACCAAGCGAAAATGAAGCTAACACCAGACAGAAGTTAAACACAAACCCCAGCTAGTGAATCTAATCAACCGTTTTTGCTTCTTTGTCACTGGACGTGGGCTCATGAAGATGTAAACAAACTATATAAACTTTCACCTTAAGCTTAAAGATGCATATATTTCTAATGCACGTATATATCTTAATAAAAAGTATATGTACAACTAGGTGTTACATGATGAGTGTTCCCAAAAACCTACCAATATGGCACAAGAGTTTGGGAGGCTTATCTGAGGTGGAAAGAATCCTCCTCTGCTTTTTCTCTGTCCAGCAGAGTGGGAGGATGAAAGGAGACGTGCGGAAAAGAACTGCTCAAGGTAGGAGCGCAAGATGCGGAGGTCAGACGGGTTGTCAATACGTCCCCCATAGATAGCATTCTCCAACAGACCATGGACAAACTCCCACTGAAATTGTTTACCACCTTAGAGATATCGAGACATATAAATACACAAATAAAAAGCAGGGTCCACACAGAAGGTAAATAACACAGAGATGCGAATGCTGAATTGCCCAGGGTATGCTCTTTCATAATTGGTCGTCAAAGAAACACTGTCATAAAAGGCAATCAAAGAAACAAGAGATTATCATGTGCAGACAAAAATGCAGAGCTTTCTGCTGAATTTACACATTTCATCGGCGTCCTACCTTCAAAAAGCCTGTCGATAATCTCAAAGCCAGCACGAAGGTCTGACAAGGAAAACTCATAGAACTTTGTCCAGCCCTGCAGATAAATCAGAGATAAGCGTACAAGTCAGTACAGAAATGACAAATGAAAAGTGACAAAAAACCTCTGGACTTTATTTAGATCCAAAACTCCATCGAAATTTAAAATCCAGATGGAACTGAAAGTACAAAGTTTAATAAGTCGATAAAACACACATTTTCACAGCACTGACCATTTCTGTAAAAACAAAAACAAACGAAAAAACATTTTTATTTTTTAAATTTGATTACATCACTTCACTTAATCACCTGTTGTAAACTGCCCACTGTAGGTGGATGAGGTGAGAGGTGGAGGAAAACTGTGTGGGCATCTTTCAGTGATTAAGTGTATGTTGTTTGTCCAGCAATTGTGTGCCTGAATGTGCGTTCAAAGACTTTTGTGGGACACGTTTCGCAGGGCCTAATAAATTCGCTTACAGTATAAGTGTCAACATTCACAAGTTTGTAGGCTTTTGTATTAAGAAAATGCTGCTTATTGAGCCACTGTTTAATTTAATGTATGGGTTATATTTGTGCTTACTGACTGTAAGCACTTCAGATGGTGTGCTATAAAATCAGTAATTTACCAGACATAGCTAACCAGTCAGCTTGTTGTCCTTTGGCCAAATGTTAATCATTCATACACACACACACACACAGACGCAACTTTACAGATTCCCTTTCATTAGGAATATACACAACCTTGGAAATAGAAGCCTGTCCGCTTTGCTTCATTTTAATTCTACTGCCTTTGTCTTTTTAAAAGAAATATTTTTTGCAGTGGCATGTAAAGAGGATGAAAACAAGAGAATAAATGAGATGGGGAAGAAGAACAGTAGATGAAGCAAGAAGAAAATGAGTGATGGTGGAGTGGACAAGAGGCGCTGCGACTGTTTCAGTAATTAGGTGATCATGTTCTTGGATGAGAAACAACATTACCATCTCAAATGAAAACACTTACCAGAGATTCAGTGACTGAGCAAGAAAGAGAATGAGAGAGATAAAAACAGCAAAAGAGAGACAAGAAAACTGCAGACAGGCTAAAACAAATATCGGGGGCCGGAAAGGAAAATGGATTTTAAATAAAGGGGAATGCTGGCAGACGAGGTATTCTATGATTGGTCCTAAATTTGAGAAATGCATCAAGTACCATATACTGACACATAAATGACATCTTAAATTTGTTGAAGTCTCTTTTTATCTTTATATTTCATTAGAATGTACTCAGATTGCTTAATGTCAAACAAACCAGCACTTCTAAAGTTAAGAAGCTTTTTTTTTTTTAGTTGATTGGTTCATAAGGACACACGAGGAAACAAGGAAAGGTAAGAATCAGCCAAGACTGATTTCCAGTGAATCTCGTTTTGTTAGGATTTGAAAGGAACAAACATAATAATACACACCTTCGGTTTTTTCTTTTATAATGTTGTACTCAGCTGTACACGTCAAAAGGGTACAAAAGTCACAATGCTGCATTAAGAAAAGAACAAGAACATGCTTACTTTCTCTCCCCCGCACACCTGAAGCTGTGTGAGGTAGCAGTGAATGTCAGACTGTCACTTTACGAAAGCTATTTTTATGGGTTATTTCTGCATTCATGCAGACATTTTAAACCTTCAACTCTGATTTAATACATGAAATATAAAAACAAGAATTAAATACATTTTTGGAGTTGTTGATTAAAAAATTGTTATTGGTGTTTTTACACACGTTTTAAAGCTGTTTTGGGATTTTGGCATTTTAAAATTCTAATATCTAAAAAAACTCCTTGAGCTAGGTCCTTCAAATATTTTAGGGTACGTGATTGTATGAATATGGACTCTCAGGAGTGTCTCAGGTTAACATATAAAGATGGATGCTTTAAGTCTACAGAATATTTCCATATCCAGTCTCTGACAGCAGATTTGAAGGCCTGTGGAAACCTGATTGTTGTGGGTAGGCTGGGTGGGCAGATTTTTTTTTTTTTTTTACTTACAGCTTCTCATAGACAAGGTGCATAACATTAAAAAAACACAGTCAACATCAGGTAAATTATTTAACAGATATTAAAGCTTGGTTGTGAGATAAAACATTCTTCCATCCATCTTCAGTGTGACATTCCCAGAATGTTTTTACAAAATGCAAGTTTCTATTAATATTACATCCAAAATTTGGCATGGCATTCTCTCTCATTTTCCTATTTTTGGCCTGAGGCTCTGAAATTTTGTATAATTATCATTAATAAGTGTATCATTCCTTAAGATGTTTTCAGTCAAATCAGAGATCGTCATTTGGAGGGATTTGATGAAGTGATATGGAATGACCTCAATACATCAATGCCCGAAACTGAGAAAATAAACAGCCAGATTTTATCTATAGAAATGGTGATTACAGAAATTAAACAATAAAATACTGATAAATACCTCTAAGCACTTGCTTTTAAATAACATATCAGATGCCTTTATTCTCATGCCATGGTCATTTTTAACCTAAAAATCTCAAGTTTGGGCATTTGTGCTTTCCAGCCTTTATCTGGATTTCTTTTGGGAGCCTGGATGACCATTTCCAAGAGCACCTCAAAGGACTCAAATCCAGCACGTGTTCCTACTTCAATACTGCTTAAATGCTTTTATATACGTTACACATTCTGAACTCGCATGGACTAAAAAAGCTCTACTTCCACTATGTGCCATGAGTCAAGACAGAGTTGAGACAATTTAATTTCCTTTCGACTGGCCACCAACATCAAAAGTATTCCATACTTCACTGTCTTTTATATTAGAAATAGCACACACATTGCTCTATAAGCAGTATGCATGACAAGCATCAGGTGCCTCACCAGTGTGGGGTTTATTGACCAAACTCAGTGTGTTGGCCAGCAGACTGGGTTACTACAAAGGCTTATATTGGCTGGATGTAAACATTTACACATGCATGGGTACATGCACACAGCCATGCACACACCCACACACACAGAGAGACTCAGTTTGTGTGTTTGCCTAACAGAGCTGTCATGCTTTTTTCTGTTTATTTCTTTTGTTTTTGTAGGTTTTTATTTCACATTAATTTCAGGTTTACAATTTTTAAATGTTCATTCATGTTCAAACCTACATATTCAGCAGGGAATCAGGTAGTTATTTCTCCCACTGTATACTCTTCAATACTACAAACCCACTGAACATGCATTTTGGAATCTAATGTAAAATCCTTGTCCCACAGATGGCATCTCTGTATGTTTTACAATTGATTTCAAGATTTTACTGATTTATTGTGCCCAAGAACTACACAGCAATGATGCTGATTCAATATAAGCTGGTTTGGAGCCTTGGACCCTCAGGTGGGTACCTTCTGGCTGTCCCAAAGTCAAGGATTTAATCTAAAGGTGACCCTTCATCTTTGGAACCACCTGCCTGCAGAGATAAAGCTTGCAGAGTCAGTGACTTGCTTTAAATCCCTTCTTGAAAAACATTTCTACATAAAAATGTGTTCAAAGATTATTTTTATTGCTATGTTGCATTTCTTTTTTCTCTTTTATAATTTGTAATTGATCTGTTCATGTTTTTTATTATTGCTTTAATAGGTATTAATTATATTAACATATTTCGTATTTCTTGTTGTTTGAAGTCTGTCTTAAATTAACCATCATTTCATGCCTTCCTTGAATACTGGGCTTAATCTTAAACCACTATTTGAAAAAGGTATTTTCCAGATACTGATAGGTCTGGGAATGAATTTTGGTCATCCTAAATTTTTAGAAACTCATAGCAGCAACCTTTCACCACCCCTCTAATGTGACATCCTTTATCAATCGTTAATCCGGCTACAGGCCCATCTATCAGGTTAATTATATTTTATATAGTTTAGAACCATGTTGACTATTCACAACAAATATTTTTAATTGTCCAGTGTCTGAGTAGGTTCTCAGTCATCCAGGTAATGGTAGTCCTTAAAAGCTTGAAAAAAAGAAGGTAACTCAACTTCTTCAAGTTTGTTTAGATGTTTCAGTTCTCATTCAGTTCTGAACAGAAGAGCCTCTTTAAAGTTGTTTAATCATTTTGTACGCCTTGATTAAATGGGTTAGACACCCTCTCTCATCAGAGGGACAAATCATTTTCAAATGATTTGGAATTTGAAAATGTGCTGTGTGCGTAGTAACAATGACAAGGTTGGAGTACTCACTCACATGACGATTAAGCACTAAGAACTATGATTATGTTAAGTATTTTACCTGTGGGATGTAGTTTCGTCTCTCTTGACAGACGGCATGGAACCAACCCAGACAGAAAAGAGACTGGGCTCTGGCCAGAATACCTCCTGCACACAATCAGTCACGACGTCACAACACAGAAGCTGTGATTCTGGTTCACATGACAAGCTGCTAAAGCTAATAGGCAGTGATATCACAAACAGTGATTATACTAGTGCAAGAACACGTACTTATATTATAATCAAAGAAAGTGAACTGTCATTTTACAAGACAGATTATTTATAATATAAGCATCAGGTCTACTTGTCAGCTATCTCAAAAGGCTGACACATGATGAGTTCAGAGATGTATATTCTACTCTGACGTATCAATTTCAGAGACGAGAGACAACCTTTACTGATCTGCTCTGGAGTCCAGGACTCATATGTCCTCAGCAAATTCTTCTTTAATCCAGGAGGATCCTGGAATTGTGAAAGAAAGATGTTGGAGGAGGAAAAGTGAAAGTGTGAAAGGTGTTAATCCTGCACATTATTCACATGTAAATTCAAAGCTAAAATTGCAAACATAAAAAAACATCCTAAGCTCCAAACACATAAATATTTTGAACAAATGCATTCATACACAAAATACTTATGACCGTAGCAAAAATCTGGCAAAGTATGACAACTGCGAGACACTGAAAAAAAATCATAGCAGGAAGGCTGAAAATCCTTTCTGCACTTATTAACTGTAAGGTAAGTTATTTGTAGCCCATCAACTGACTTATTAAAAAAAGGAAGAGCTAAATTAAATATAAAAATAATTCTTTAGTTCGACAGTGTTGAACATATAATTAACCACAGGAAGGACTGGAACAGAAGCTTCTTGACACAGAGTACTTTGGTACTCTTGCAAGAACAGATTAGACTATACACAGAACTACTACATGTGCACATAACTACTGAATATAAATTATATAAATGTTTTGGTATAATTTAGCTGAAGCATCTGCCACATGATCCAACACATATTGTTCCTCTAAACAGTTCTCTGAACATTTCATTCCTCTGCCAACAATATGGCCCATTTGAGTTAAAACCAATCAGTATACATCGACTTTGTTCAAACATAAACAGCTTAGCTGAAGATCTTGTACACCATCTGGGGGGTTTCACAATGCACACTGCCAGTAAGGCGTACACAGAATTTGCCAAAGTTGATCAATGTACTGGATAAGTTGCCAAATCAGTAGATTAGATATATTTGTTTAGGTGTAGCACAAATCAACCAGTTAACCCATTTAAATAAATATTACATACATATATCAGTTTATAGCTTCAGATATTAATGTTAACACTTATCCTGGAGCCGAGACATTTTGTATTGCAGTAAGCCAGACTGTGTTATAATGTGTATAAACACATGTAAACTAACAGATTTTTCCAAGTGTTTGTGAAGAAAAAGAAAAGATGAAAATAGGGAAACAGACAGGAAGTTCATGCAGCATGCTTGGCTGCTGAAGCAGCTAACCCCATGAGCACAACTCGAATCAGAAACACACAGAGCACTAAAGCAGCGTCACTAACACACAAACTGCAGGCTTCTGTATCTCCTGGCGTATTATATGGAGTAGGGGAGATACAGATAGATAAATTCTGTTTCCAAGGATGATTTGAGATACTGTATAAAAAGTGGTAATAAGTATAAGGATATGTAAGCATGTGTACAGAATGCCTGCAAAAATGTGTTGGAACAGCTCTAATTTGTGCAGTGGGTTAAAACACCAAACTTATGGTATTGGATGTGTATTTGTGTGCGTGTGTGTATACCTCATAAGTGATCTTAAGGCTGGACTGCAGCAGAATGGGGGGAAATCTGGGGTGAACTTCTGCTGTCAGCCAAAGACGGAAGCCTGCTTTGGGCCGTAGCACATTTAGCTCCTATAGAGGAAAAAGAGTGTGCACATTAAATAGATTAATATATATACCAATAAATCAATGCTGAAATCTGAGTTTTATGACATGCATCCAGCACCACTGCTTCCCAACCCACATATCTGTGCAAATCTTAAATATTTCAAACTATAAACCTTACTCAGTGGTTGACATGATGAAACGAGTGCAAGAGTCTAAAAACGGCACCAAACTCAAGAAATGCGCCAGTGTTGTGTCTATGCAAAAAATAACTTAGCACAGAACCAATGTTAAATTGTATCTTTAGGCACAAAATATTGTTGAAAAAACTCATTACTTTCAATTTCTTTGGCTGAATATTTGAAAAGTGCCTAAAACACAGTTTGACAGGCATAAAAATTGTATTTTTGTATAAACACTATGATTCCAAAAGAGCTATTAGCTGAAAACTTGGCATATACCAGCCTGGTGTGCTGTGTGTCATTAAACAGTTTGGTATGGTGTGCCAAGATTAATAAATAAATAAAAAGAGAGGAGTAGAGGACCAGAGAAGTGATGGTTGGCCTAAAAGATCTACATCTACAGCACACAGATAGGATCTGAAAGTTATGTCCTTAAGAAATCTGAAAAAAAATAAGCAAAGATCTGACCCAGGAGCTTGGAGATGCATCGTAGCTGGATAGAAAAACACACACTGGTACATTATCACACACGGATTGGCCTCCCAAGAGTTCAGAATTTAAGATTATTGAAGCAGTATGGAATGATCTTGACAGAGCGGAACAACAGGCAGCCAACATCCAAAGAAGAGCTTTGAATGTCCTTCAAGAAGCCTGGAGAACTATTCCTGAAGACTACTTAAAGAAATTACAAGAAAGCCTGCCTAAAATAGTTCAGGTTGTGTTACAGAATAAAGGTGGTCATACCAAATACTGACCTTTTATATTGTATGTTTGCAAATTTCAAGAAATCACTGCACTTATTTTCCTAGCAAAATATAAAGAAATGAGAGGTGCCTCAAGACTTTTGCAAGGTGCTGCATGTAGGGAAATTATACTAATTAAACTAGACTTTTGAGCAGTATACTTCAAGTAAATACATTTCATCCTTTCATGTTTTCCGTCTGTCTTTTTATGTAATTGTTTCTCTTTTAGAATCATTGCACTGTGATAAATTCTCCACAATGACAAACCCATTCACTTCACATTCACTTTTCTTTTTCTTCTTTCAGCATCTTTTTTTCTCCTGACTCCATTACTCTCTCAATTTCTAGCTTTCTTTCTTTCACGTCTCCCCTTTACATTCCTTCCCCATCTCTTTCTATTTTTCTCAAAGACTCATGGTTAAAAATAGCCTGCTGGCACCTTAGGGTCTTGTGTCATCTGATCTCATACAAGCACAGACACACACACACATACAGTCAAACTGTAATCAATGTGTTTCTGCATCATTTAGAGCTCAAGTCATCCTCATGACAGCTCACATGATCCCCAAAAAAATCAAAGACCACAAGAACTGATGTCCCTTGAAGAAATACTTGATGTCCCCCATTGTATGTGGGTGTGTATTGCGTAAGTGTGTCTACGCATATGTCTGTCTGAAGCGTCGTCAATCAGAATTCCACTGCAACAGATTATAGCGTTGCAGGATGGTGTACGACCAAGAAGAAAACAACGAGGAAAAGAAAATGTGTAGATGTGTGGAGAGCATAAATCTATTTTAGTATTCACAAATCAAAATCTCTCTTTGTTGGAATATATCCACACTGTCCAGAGTGTGAAAGCCAAACCACTCATGCACAAATAGATAAACTAAATAGGCTCTGAATCAGCACACCAGTGATAAGAATTATCCTTGTAAAGACACAGATATCATATTTCGATCAGTTACTAATTACATCACAGCAGATATTCTGAAACACATCACTGGCGGTATCTGATTTATCATAAAAAGTGTGGATCAAATTTTGCCATTGTTTCCTCATACTGGAATAATACAGACAGAAGCAAATTTATTGCAAGAGTGAGGGAAGGATCCATAAGTAGACAGATGGAGTGACTGATGTAAAAAATTAGACAGAAAATAGCACAAGTGGAAGAATATGAGTAGACAGCAATGAGAGGACATCTGCCCTGCCAACTCAGATTATGAACACTGACCACTCTTCTCTGCAGTCTCTCCACCTCTATTTCCATCTCTTTAAATGGCCAACTGCTTTAGTGAAGAAAGGAAACACCAGAGAGACAGATGGGCAAGAAAAAGAAGCTGGAAAACATAGAGCGGGAGAAACGGTAAGCAAAAGGACGAAGCTACAGAAACTGAAGCGTATACTAAAACACACCCCCTCTCTTGTTAGAATGTTGCGGTTCAGTTCATTTTCCCTGTTTTTTTTTTCTATTTTCATCCTCAGTTTCTCCATTCTTTCCTACGCTCCTTGCCTCCCTCGTTCCTCACATTGCGTCAGCTTTTCATTTCAAGCTCGAGTGCTGAGGCCCCAACTACATCGGTAGCTGCGCAAAGAGGGAAACAATGAAACAGCGAGAGAAAGGGAGAGACGGAAAGAAAGAGTTATACTTGTAAAATTTAGGGAGGGGTGTGAAAACCTGGTGAGAAGATGGCTGGGGTATAGAGTTGGAAACAAATAGAAAAACAAGCAGATAAATCCAAAGTGAAATATTAGGAGAAGAAGTAGAGGAGAGCTGTAATAAGCCATGGTTTAAGTCACACTCAGGGAGGGGGGCGCAGAGCTGACACGTGGGATCTCTTGGCTATCTCCAAGGCACGCACACAGGCACACATATACAGGTGAGGGCTATGCACAAACAAACACAGACACGGGGGGTAATCACAGCATGAAGTGGTTCCTCTCGATATGGTACCGTTATCATCCTGCACTGTCCCCGTTGGGTTAGGCAGGAGGAGACTCAGATTCCCACTCTTCGGTTTGGTCACCTGTTGCTCGACACTGTTATCAACAACCACTACTTAAGGACACCAGGTTGTGTGCCTCTTCAGAGTGGTAATCGGGCTTTTTTATGGCTCCCCAGCATTCTCGCAGATTTTCTAGTGTAATATTCTTGTTTTCCTGCTTTTCAGTACTTCCCCAGTGGCCAAAGAGTGGCTCCCCACTCAGTGCAACTCGCCTGTTTCCATCGAGCAGGTCTGTTCAACTTCACTGAAGAAGTCTATGTCTCAACTCACCTGCCTGCCTGCCCAACCTCCTATAACTAAAACCAATCATTCCCAGACTTACAAATTACTCCTCTCCCAGTGACTAACCTGCTCAGTCTTTTGGATCTCTGCACGATGACATCTTCTCTCCTTGAGTCAATAAACCAGCTAAACTTTGAAACTGTCTGCTTTGGGCTTTGCTTCCCATTATCGCTTTTTTTTTTGGCATCTGACAGATGTGGCCTGCTACAGCAACAAAAAAATGAAACTGAACCCCGGGAAAAAATAAAATAAAGAAACAACCAAAAATTTGCAAGACACAAAAGAATCCTATTTATTGTAAGATAAAAGCCCATCTTCCCTGAAATTAAAATATACAAGACATCACAACATGATAATCCACACATACTTAAAGCAAGATCCAAACACATATACACATAGACACACACACGTAAATGTCCAGAGAGACAAATGTAGAAACACAGCGGCATAAACAACACCAAAGAGTCTATTGTGGGCAGGCAGAATAGCAGAATACAAAATGTGTATGTGTAGACAAAGGACAGAAGGTAATTTTAGATATGGAAATTTAGGCAACGAGCAGAATGTGTTCTTGGCTTTGTTTTTGTATGTAGCAGTTTTGTAACATTACAGATAAACACTTACAAGCTGGAGTGAACCCCCCCGCCACCCCCCTCACACACACACACACACACACACACACACACACACACACACACACACACACACACACACACACACACGTTGATGTAATGTAATATCATTTTACATTAATGCAAAGCTAGTTAATAAAGTCCAGCTGTTGACTGACACAAGTTCATATCCATGAATAAATAATCTATTCAGACTAACTAACTGACCCCTTTTCAGGTTCTATTGTTCAACCATTATTAACCCAAAAAATAGTTCAAAATACAAAAAAAAAAACCTCACTCAGACGCATGAACACAGATAAAAGCTAACGGCTGATCCTCTGGCACTAACACAGACAAAAACTCACTGAGACAGAGTACTCACTTTTTCCAGGAGGGGAAGCCATGCGGTGACAAGGTGAAGGTTTTTCAGGCAAAGCCAGTCTCCATTTCGGGAGCATTCTCTGAGTGTAGCTAAGGCTACATCAGCCTGCCCCTGACCCATGGAGATCTACACAGAGAGGGAGAGCAGGAGAAGTGGGGGGAGAGATGGAGGGGTGAGAGAGAAACAGAGAAATTGGTATGAAACTTGATTACTACACTGTAATAACTCACAAGTTAGGCACATATCTGATTCAAGTGAGATTATCACTGAGTTTCAGCTTTTAAATTGTGATAATAACCACATTGTATTACTTCAGCTGTGTAAGAGCATCTTTTCTCAGACTTATATGCCAAATAAACATATGTCAACAACTATTTAGCAACAGGACATTTTGTAGCACCTTCTGTTTTCCCCTTTAAGGTGTGTAGTATATTACTAGATTCCAGGCTAGACTAAATTGAATGGGCTAGATTCTATAGTTGTGATCTTGCTGTTATGATAAGAAAAAATCCACCTGCACTTGATAATCTGCTGCGACTTCTACCATTTTATACTGTTATTCGCTACCTCATGATAATTGTCCCTGCCAACAGTTTCGGCTGCTAGTTCTGCGAGCTCCTGGGAAGGGTCTGCCCCTGGAGAGATGATGATCAACACTGGCTCCCATTCCATTGTCTCGGTGTAGAGACGCCGCAGATTCAGAGGAGGGGGTGAGAGCTCTTTCATAGCTGCACAGAGGAGGAAAAAGGGAGTAGGAAGATGACAAAAAGAGTCAGAAAAAGGATCTGTAAAATGTGTGTCAACATTACGTTCAAATTTGATACGGTACTCAGAGTCAGAGTAAGTGGATATATTGTGCAGGGAGGATACTAGCAATGTATAGAGCAAGGGCTGAACACAGCAGGAAAGAAGAAATAGAGGGAAATGCTAGTACATAGCAGCAAAGCGGTATTTGGTGAGGGCAGATGGGTTAGAAGGAGACATAGATGAGATAGACAGGGAGACAGAGAGAAGGAGGGGAAGACAGCACCTAAAGGGGTGGTGATGTGAAGAGAGGTCTGGGGTAAAAAAGAAAAAAGGGAAGGATGAGGGAAAGTGGAAAGAAGGAGGTAATGGAGAAAGGGAGATGGGGAATAAGAGGAAGACACTATGAAAGACAGAGAGAGAAAGTTTAGGAGGGTGATGTGCTATGCATATTGAGTACTAGGTATGCAGCAGAATTCACCACACAGAGAAGAACACCTTTTCAGCCCCCTGGTGTTGAGAAGCCAAGCTCTTACTATATCAGTGTGTGTGTGTGCGTGTGGTGTGCAACCCCTTATTGAGAATACTTAAACTCTAATCCCGCTGTAATATATTGAATCACATATCAGATATGGGTTAATAGTGACACACATGCAATGATCCAGGCACGCCGAGCACGAGTGGCTGTGTTAGAAATTCCTCTGTGATGTTTTTTGTGCAAGTATCAGCAGATATTGCTTTCAGATACGAGCGTGCGCACACAAACAGACACACACACGCACAGTGCTGTCTTCTCTGGTTGGCGCAGCTGCCCCATCCTGAACATTCTTTTGGTGTCTGCTGCCAAATGCAATCTGCTGCACTGAAGTACACATGCATGCACATACACAAGGTCTTAGTGGAGAACATCGCCGAGTGACCTTTTGCCGCATCGCTATGGCAACACTAAGAAAAACAGTTCTCCGACCACATGGCTTGTGATGTGTCTCTGCAAAGTAAGGGAGAATTGGCAGAACGTGGGCCTGCACAATTACATACACAACTACCTTTGACGTGCGCAGGTAATCAGTATTCATGCTGCAGACCAGCATCCTCCGTCTGAATAGCAAAGTTCACCTTGGCCTTTACAACATGCTATCAAAAAACAGGGCTAAGATGAGCCTGGAAAAGGACAGTACTGGTCTCTCTGTGGTTCAAACAGTGCTGTTGAGGAAACACTGAGCGACTGTGAAAGAACGGTGCTCACATACAATCCTTGGCATTATGAGCATTCAAGTCTTTCTATAAAAATTTCATTATCTTTCTGTCAAAGTCACTATTTTTGTGAAAGAGGTTTTGTGTGTTTTGAGAAGTTGTATGAGCAAGCACCGAGTCTCTATGTGTGTGTGTCTGTTGTATTCACTCAGGCATGCCTGGGTGTGTGAGAGCAGTGCCCAGGCCTGGACTGGAGGGATTGAGTGAGATTAGCTGTAAGAGGATTACAGACCATGCCTCATTAGCATACTGATTTACTGCCAAAAACACATACACATAGACACAAAATCTTCTTCTCTTCTGTTTCTTTTTCATCTGTCTGTCGCTCAAGCTCTTTCAAATATACATGCACTATTATCCACCTCATCCATTGTACACGCAGTACACTGTTATCAGTGGGTTACTGCGCGTGTAAGGATTGTGCAGATGAACTCTGTATAGTGATTTTTTTTAAAAGTCTACCTATGTATAAAAATAGATACACAGATGTGATACTTGTGTTTGAGAAATAAGCTCAGTCCACAACAGAAAATAACACCACTAAGACAGAGAGATGGAAAATACATACACACACCGGACCCTTTATTAGGTACACTTTGCAAGTATTGCCTTCAGAACTGCCTTAATTATTAATGGCAAAGATTTAACAACATTCTTTTGAGAATTTGGTCACATAGTTGCTGCAGATTTGCCAGCTGCTCATCCATGATGAGAATCTGCCGTTCCACTACATTTCAAAGAAAGCAGTTTGAGATTATTTGAGCTGTTGAAAGAAACCATCAGAAGATGGGAACAATGTGGTCATAAAGGGATGGCTGTGGTCAGCAACAATACTCAATTAGTCAATTAGTAAGAGGCCCAAAGTTTTCCAAGAAAATATTTCCCACACCATTACACCACCAGCTTGCCGATTTAAGGCAGGATGCATCCATGCTTTCATATTGATTACTGGTCCTACATCCGAATAACGCAGCAGAAATCAAATCTACTCAGACCAGCAGGGTTTTCCAATCTTCTTCTGTCCAATTTAAGGGATCCTGTGAAAATTGCAGCCTCAGTTTGCAGGTCTTAGCTGACAGGAGTGGTACGCAGTGTGGTCTTCTGTTATTCTAGTCCATCTGCATCAAGGACTGATGTGTTATGCATTCAGTGATGTTCTACTGCATAACCTGGTTGCAGCAAGTGGTCATCTGAATTACTGTTGGTTTCCTTTAGCTTGTAGCAGTCTTGCCATTCAAGTCTGACCTCTACCTTCAAGGCCTGGATCTCACAATTTTGATGACCAGTTTAAACTTCAGCAGGTCGTCGTGATCATACAGCAATTTGCCTAAATGCAAATTGCTGCCATATGATTGACTGATTAGAGCTTAATAGGTGTACCTAACAAAGTGGCAAATGAGTATACATTTCAGTTAGGAAATTATTTTGGAAATGTTTGACATTCACTGCATTCTGATCATATGGAACTGACAACAAAATGAAATGAATTCAAATGATTTTATTGTCAGTGTAAAATTTTTATCTGCAATTAACAACAATGCCAGAAAATGGAAAACCCACAGGGGTCCACATCCATTCCTTGATAGTTTAATGCACCGGTGCAAAGGTGACTTGGAAATGTTTGCACAACCAAGCAGACATTCTGTTATGATAGATATTTGGTTAAGAAAGCAAACTACAGGGACGAGTGCTTCAGACTTGACATGGGGGTCATCGATGGAAACTTTGACAGATAAGCACAAGGACAGTGCATAACTCTGACCTTAAATTCAACAATCTAGTGAATTCCTCAAAGAGCGAGCAAAGCTGTACCCAGAGATCACACTGCTTAAGTGCAATATTTCCACTGTGTGGTTTCACAGGTCAAACAGAGAATTCAAGTATAGTTTTGGTTGTTTTGGCTGACGCTTTGGTCTGAAACTAAGGTATTGGCTATCCTCGTGTTAGAAAACATGACGCAAAACAAGAGTTACAAAGATATTTTGGATGCGTCTGTGTCAGTAGGAGAGAGAGAGATGAAAAAAGAGCACAGACAGAGATTTGTGTGCATGTGTGCGTGTGTGTGTGGCATTTACTTAAGGACAGTGACATTCTTGCAATGATGAAAGACAAATAAAGAGAGGATGCGAAGGACTATTGTGAAAAACTATAAAAATCACACCATTGATGGCAAGTGGGAAAATACGGCTTAGAAGTCCTGAATAAAAGCCTTGTCTGAGAATATTTTGTTTGAGTAGAGTGTGAAAGCAGAAGGTGCACTTGAAAAACAAAGCACCTTTCTATATAGTGGAGTGAAAGCAGAAAAATACTTTACTGAAAGGAATAAAAGAGGACATCTTCATATGTTTATATCTCATTATTCACAGCAATCACAATAAATTTCAATGTGCTTCAGTTTATCATTTCAGTCACATTTTGGTTTGTTTACTTTCAACATCTGCATTATATTTTGCATAAGAAGAGAATAAAGAGTGTTGGTGTATTTATTTTAATGATCTTGGTCTGACTAATTAGGGCAAAAAAGAAATCTTGTAAGCATCACTAAAGATGAAAGACACTGTGAATTTGTTGTTTTTAACTGGGAACCTATTTTTTATGTATATTCAGGTGCACAGCAAATATGAAAAGAACACACAGTAGTAATCTGAAACACTTACCTAGGGTTTGAGATGCAAAACAAGTCATGGCACTCTGCAGCCGGTCTGGTCTGACAGCCTGAACCAATAACAGCTGGAAAAAAACAAAAAAATCCCCACAAACCAATAAAACAAAAACCTTATGTCAAAGCAGTATGCGACATATTCCAAAGAGTCAGGTATTAAAAAGTAATTCCCTAAATTATTCATAGATCCACAGTCTGACTCACAGGGTGAGGGTTTGAGATCTTCTTTTTAATATATTTTAGAATGAAATATATATGCAAACGAGTATGTCACCTGCATGTAATGCATGTATTTGACTTTACAGATAAGTGGCTTCCAGTGTCTTTCTTTGTCTTGAGAATGGGTAATTTTTTTTATTCAATCTGGAACCAGGTGGGGAATGGTGTTTTTTTTTTCTTTCTATTTGACCATGGATTAAACAAAGAAAGATTGAAGAATTTTTTTATTATACTAAAAGAAATTAGAATAGAATAGAATAGAATAGAATTCAACTTTATTGTCATTGCACATGCACAGGTACAGGGCAACGAAATGCAGTTTGCATCCATCCAGAAGTGCTTTAGTGATATAGATATATTACAATATATATTAGCAATAATATAGATATGTGAGTATATTACAGAAATGGGTCTATTATGGTATGTTATAATGTACACGGTATGAAGTATGTTGTGAATATTCTATAACTATAAGTATGTACAGGCTGTAGTGAGTACAAGCTATGTACAGGATATGAACAGGATATAAATATGAAAAACTATACAGAATATGAAATAAATAACTTTACAGAATCTGGGATATACAGCTATACAGAAATGGGAACTATGCAAGTTGTAAACAGTTGTAGGATTAAAAATTATCGAATGTACAGAATGATTATTTACACAGAGCTATACAGTAGTGCAGTTAAGATAAGTGAGGGTGTAGATAGTTTCTACAGAGGCTATATAAAGTGCTAGTGGTTGTGAGTGGTGGTTCAGTCCATGTTATTATTGTGTTTGAGGGTACAGTTGTCCATTGTGGGTGTGTGTATGTTCAGTCCATGAGTTTAACGTGGGTCAGATGTCAGGAGGCAGAGTTCAGGAGTCTGACAGCTGTGGGGAAGAAGCTGTTCCGGTACCTGGTGGTCTTAGTCCGGAGGCTCCTGTGGCGCCTCCCAGAGGGCAGGAGGGTGAAGAGTCCATGTGATGGGTGACTGGGGTCTTTGATGATTTTCCCAGCCCTTTTCAGACACCGCTTCCTGTAGATGTCTTTTATGGCAGGAAGTGGTGCTCCGGCGATGCGCTGGGCAGTTTTCACGACCCTCTGCAACGCCTTCCGGTCCGAGGCAGAGCAGTTCCCGTACCAGACTGTTATACAGTTGGTCAGGATGCTCTCGATGGTGCAGCGATAGAAGTTCACCAGGATGTCTGAGGACAGGTGGTTCTTCCTCAGAGTCCTCAAGAAGAAGAGGCGCTGGTGAGCCTTCTTGACCAGCTTGGAGCAGTTGGTCGTCCAGGTGAGATCCTCGGAGATGTGGACTCCCAGGAACTTGAAGCTGCTCACACGCTCCACAGCCGTCCCCTTAATGTGGATGGGTGGATGTGGGTCAGCATTCCTCCTGTAGTCCACGATGAGCTCCTTGGTCTTCTCGGTGTTAAGCAGCAGGTTGTTTCTGTCGCACCACTCAGCCAGACGATCCACCTCCTCCCTGTAGGCGGCCTCATCGTTGTCACTGATGAGGCCAATCACCGTGGTGTCATCTGCAAACTTAATGATGGTGTTGGAACCATCAGCAGGTCTGCAGTCGTGGGTGAAGAGGGAGTAGAGGAAAGGGCTCATCACACAGCCTTGTGGTACAACGGTGTTCATTGTGATGGTAGATGAGCAGCGGTTATCCAGCCGGACATGTTGGGGGCGGTTGGTCAGGAAGTCCAGTAACCATTTGCAGATGAGGGAACTGATACCCAGGTCTGTCAGTTTCCTGATGAGTTGTGAGGGGTGGATTGTATTGAATGCTGAACTGAAGTCTATAAACAGCATTCTGGCGTAGGTGTTGTTGTTGTCCAGGTGTGAGAGGACAGAGTGCATTGCGATGGAGACTGCATCCTCTGTGCTCCTGTTCCGGCGGTATGCGAATTGGTGGGGGTCCAGGGTGGGGGGGAGACAGGATTTGAAGTGTGCTAGGACCAGTCGCTCTAAGCACTTAGTGATGATGGGGGTGAGTGCTACTGGGCGGTAATCATTGAGGCAAGATGGGTTGGAGTTTTTGGGTATCGGGATGATGGAGGTGGATTTGAAGCAGGCCGGTACCACAGCGTGGGCCAAGGACAGATTGAATATGTCTGTGAGCACTCCTGCAAGCTCCCCAGAACACGCTCTGAGAACACGCCCGGGGATGCCATCAGGGCCTGCAGCCTTGTGGACATTGATCCTGCTCAGCACCGCTCCTACATCGGTGGGGGAGAGAGTCATAGGTTGGTGGTCTGGCGTCATGTCTGCTTTGGTTGTGGTTGTGGGGTTCCCTCGCTCAAAACGAGCATAAAAGTTGTTGAGCTCGTTGAGGAAGGAGACATCAGAGGATGCGGGGGAGGGTTTGGTGGTCCTGTAGTCTGTGATGGTCTGAGGGCGAGGTCCTCATCTGAAGCTGCCCAATCACTTTGGCTACAGTCACACAGGCCCAGAGAGGGTTGGCAACCTGCTGGCAGCCACTGGTTGCAAGGAGTAATTTGTATTCCCCAACTGGTTGGTGAGCGGTTGTCTGAGGTTTTGGGTAGTTGCAAAGGGAAATTGGTCATAAAAAGGTATAAAGGTGCTGCACTGAACATTTCCCTGTGATTGGTGCTGGAAGTTGCCTGTAGTTTGCATGCAAGATCGCAACTTGTCTGCAAGTGCTCAGCAACTATATTCAAGTAACAGTTAAATTGTGAAAAGTGTGTCGCAAGCTTGAAATGGAAACTATTTGCTTTCACAGTAATAGCTGTATCTGTTAAAACATGTTGGTTTTAGCAGTGAATCACACCTTTTACTTTGAAGTTCCCACTGGCCTTTTTTAGTTTTCTGGTGATCAACTGGCATTTGGCAAGTGTTTACAGACAAGTCAGCATTTTTCATGCAAACTATGGGAGAGCTCGGCAATCTGCTAGTGACCAAAGCATTCACAAGGCAGCTTTTGGTGTAGCAATCACTTTGTGACATTTGTTGACAGTCAGCAACCTTCAATAAAAACCTGCCAACCTAATACACATTTTTCTGGGGTCCTAGGTTTATGTAACCTAGATCTTAAATGTACTGTATGTATGCAAAAGCAAAAATCGATTACACAAACAATTACATCTATAGCCAAGTTAATATACATATACATAACTTCTGTACCATAATATTATGTATTTGTACATATTATCCTTTTAAGTAATTATGATAATAACTATCAAAATAAGAAGAAGTAGATACAAATTATATCTGGAGGGTAAATAAAAATGTTTAAAATAGCAGGCTGTCTGTTGTTGTAACAGCAATCAGTTTCTAAGCAGAAACAGGAGTGACCTATGCTGAAAGGTTCATCTTGAACCAACAAATGCGGGTGTTCAATGATTCTGTGGCTCACAGCTAAAGAAGTTGATTGAAAGCTGACCTGTTGGAAGGGAGTAATCTTCTTGGCAATGGAAGATGGGATTTCTTGTTCACAGTGCGAGCTCTGCAAGAAGGACAGCCAAAGGTCTGAGTCACTTAAACAGAGGGTCTGGTAGAGAGCCGGGAACGTAGCCTGCAAAAGAGAGGGGGCAAAAGTTAAAAGGGTGAGAGATGTAAGATGAATAGATCCAATCTTTAGCTTGGTAAGGACTGGTTCACTGGCAATCTATTTAAACACCTTTAAAAATGCATTTTTCATGTCAGGAGGCAATATTCTACTGTTATGTCTGTGCTGCATATTGCGGCAGACGGTAGATGATGTTAACATGGAACTTTTAAAAGAAAATCCATTTCTATCCGAGCTGAGCATGTATGCTTTGTTTGCTATTTTCAATATCAGTGCATTTACTTTTAAAATGGCCACTGCTCCGTGCCTCTCCTGATCAATCCAAGAAGGGAACTCCTACCAAGACAGGGGAGACGTTAGAGAGACAGAAAAATATGTGGTCTTCTTGTTGTTACAAGAAAAAGTTGAATTCTTACCTCTTTCTTAAACATTTCTCCTACGATGGACCCAGTAAAGACATCCCATTCCTACAACAAGCAGAAGAGTTCAGATTAACACATTGAAAGCTAAAAAGCATAGCAATCGATTGTCATTGGAATAGGTAATAAAATCCTAAAAATGAACAAACAAAATGACTCACGTTCTCGAGGAAGAGTTCGGGGTACATGCCTTTCACAAAGTGTATAGCAAACATCAACTGGTCAGCCTGCCACAGATGTAATGAAAGGAAGTGATAGAAAAGGAGAGAAAGAGAGAGAGAGAAAGGGTGGGAAAAAAAGGGGTTATTTATCACTAGTGATAAAAGTTGAGTTCTGACATGTACAGGGCTATACTTTCTGCTCAGATTCAGCCAAATGCTTCAAAACCGACGAAATGAGCCTTCAAAGTACAAATTGTTATTTTTCAGGTTTCAAGTTTCAAGTTCCCCCTTGTGTTATTTTTGTCTAATATTTAAATTTTAAATATGAAATCAGGAAGGGGGCGAATGCTTTTTCATGCCACTGTAGTACACACTAGATGAAGGATGCACAATCACCTTCTTTTAAAGTAAAATAGGACAATTTTTAACAAGTTTAAAGCCCTCTATGATAAAAGTGAAAAAATAACACTGAAATATATTCTGTACGTACATAAAGGCAAATAGTAAAAATACATGTAAAATTAAAAAAAATAAACCAGTTTGAAATAAAGTAATTATAGTAACTTAGTTGCACCAGTAACTCTCAAGAAGTTCTTTCATTTCGAACATGCTTAATGTAAGACTTCAATGAGTCACGACTTTCTAATATAGCTCACATCTTACGTCTGTGGTGGTATAAATGGCCCATAACTGGCATTATATAAATCTATTGATTCTACTGAATTCTCATCATTTGCATGTAACAGTACCACAGTACTCAATAAACAAACACACAATGCACCTAATAACATTCACAGTGGAATACACCCACATTGCTTCTGTGACCGCCACACATATTTATGTTAATCTAATTTCATGCACTTAACAGCTGGCAAGGGCAACCACATTAGAATTAGCATGCTTGTCCGTAATAAGTCTCAATGCTCTATAAAGTGGGCAAAAAGAGGTTAAATGTGTTAATCAATTCAGCCGGGTTATTCATAGAAGCTGATGTCACTGCTATCAGATGCAAAGATTGTAGTCTGTCAGAGAACAGCTATTCATCATTTGGGTGTATTTATTGGATGATTATCTAACGCATGGTAGCAAAAGAGGAGGTGCACACAGGGCTCCAGAATCTATTTATAAATTAATTTGGGTGCATTTTAAACTAAATGGTAAATGGCCTGTATTTGTATAGCACTTTATTAGTCCAAGGACCCCAAAGCGTTTTACACATCCAGTCATCCACCCATTCACACACACTGGTGATGGCAAGGTACATTGCAGCCACAGCCACCCTGGGGCGCACTGACAGAGGCAAGGCTGCCGGACACTGGCGCCACCGGGCCCTCTGAGGGTTGGACAAAGGAAGAGCACCACCAGTAGGCAACAGGTGAAGTGCCCAAGGACACAACGACCAAGACTGTCCGAGCCGGGGCTCGAACCGGCAACCTTTCGATTACAAGACGAACTCCCAATTCTTGAGCCACGATCGCCCCATAAACTAAGCACCACTGGCAACAAAACCAGAGTTATAGTGAAGAAATTATATTATACAGCGCTTTGTTTTGTCAGGACCAAGTAGTTGTTATTTATTCATTTGTCGCTCCCAAAGGGGCATCCACACAGGAAGTGGCTGGCAGTGGCAACCAGAGACAATAGAAATGCATTGTGACCTATGGACAGCACTGAGCAACACAAAGTAAACTTTTCTTAACTTTGAGGTGAGAGATTGAAGCGACTACCAGTAAGAGAGCAGCATGAAGGATAATCTTAGTTGATATTTGACAGGTTGTAAATAAATTAGAATGTTACCTAGGTAACCAGAGCCTGGTATGTGTGTGTGTGTGTGCGTGCATCTGTGTACCATGTTTACATATCTTTGTGGGGACCAAAAATTGGAATGTTACTATTTTTATCGGGACCAACAGCTCTTATAGGGACAAAAAGCAATTAGGTTATGGTTAAGGGCCAAGGATTAGGGGAAGCGGCTAGGGAAAGCATTATATCAATTACATGTCCCCACCAAGATATGGCAGGATATCACAGGTTTACTTTCCTGAGAGCTTCCTGGTAATTACAGGACTATTGTGACTGAGTTTCACTTTGTTTTGTATCAGATGCAAGTGTTTTGTTAGACACAACACATCCACACGCCCCACCTGTAAATAACCTAAATAAATCAAAAAAGAAAATGAAGCATTTTTACATAGTCCACATCTTCAAAAACCTTCCTAACACATCTCTGCTTGTCACCTACTATATTCTGTACTTTTACCAACCAGATGATGACCCAGCTTGACGTGTAGCAAAGTTAATTTTTCAGGTTTAGACCAGACATCTAAACAGCCATGACCTCTGTCCAACCCTCTCTATGCTTCATCTCTTCATCCATGTCTAAGTGATTTACCCCAAGCTGCAAAGTTCAAGCCCGTCTACTGAAGTGCTGCAGCAGTGGATACTGTACAGCTGTGCACACACAAAGTTGAAGAGTAAAATGACTGATTACACAAAGCACAAAAATGTGCCACATTTCTGTGTGCATGTGTCAATCTGTGTGTATACATGTTTTTGTAGTGTGTGCTCTGAGTCAGAAAGAAATGAAGCTGAAAGAGTCTAAAACCATAAAAGTCTCTTACTAGTATAGTATATACTAGAATAATAGCAGGTAAAGACCCCGGGTAGACTGTAAAACCTTGACTATATGTCATATATGCTACTACAAGTGAAACTAGTGCCTTGTCCAAGTCAAGAGATGTATCTAAATTCTCACATTCAGAATAATAGAACTAGAATACAAACCCACATTCATAATCTGTTCATAAAGTCAATTCATTCTACAGTGGAATTTAACTAGATTTCAGTAAGTAAAAAAACTAAGCAAGTCATCACACAATATATATTTAATATTTTATGACCACCTGTTAGCTGTCTATCTATCCATCCATCTTCTTTGAGCATATTTTGTAAAAACCATGAAAACATTAAATAGCTAAAGGAGGTCAAATGGCATCATAATATATTAATTAATTAATTTTAGTATTTTAACACCTTAGTACCAACAGAGCATCATTTAAATGCCACAGCCCACATGACCATGTCCATTTGTTTTATATATTACCCACTGATAACATACAAATCACCAAAATTACCCAAATAAATTATCCGAACAACGTTTGCTTTGTAGTTCTGTATAAATATGTGCTTTACCTTGAAAAGAGACCGACAGACATACTCATAAACCATATTCTTCAAGTTGGCTCCTAATGCCGCAATCCTGGCATCAGTATTCTCTTCTTCCTAAAATGTAAAACAAACAAACACACAGACATAAATAAGCTGAAGAAGAAGACACTGGACATTAAAGAGGACAAACTCATGTTACAAAATGATGTCGTGTCACAAAGTAAGTTTTTATTAATACCAAGCAGGAAAAGTGTCTGTAACTGTATTTTATAATAAATAACTGTGTCCTAGATGTACTACCAAAAGTAGAATAATTGAAAACAGCATTTTTATTTTAGTGTGTTCTTTTTTTCTGTCATATCAGAGGAACCCAATTGTCTCAAGGCTATTCTGGAGTGCATGTGCAGCAATTACACCATGATAATAACACATATAGAGAAAGACACAAAAGAAACAAATGGAAATAGTACAAATAAATAAATAATTTAAAAAAAAAATCCAGATGGACTTATTATAATAATAATCCTTTCTGTCATCGTTGTATTTTTACTCAGTTGTATATAGTATTTGTATTTGTATTCTATTTTTATCTTATTGTATATTTATTTTATTTTATTCTACTGTATATAGTATTTTATTTTATTCTATTCTGTACAGTTGTGTACTGTATTTATTCTTATTGTATTCTAATTTTTGCCTCATAACTTTTGCACTGTCCACTTCCTGCTGTGACAAAACAAATTTCCCACGTGTGGGACTAATAAAGGTTATCTTATCTTATCTTATCTTATCTTATGGACTCTGCCCCATCTGTTTTTCTTTCCATGTATGTGTCCTTCTGCCTCTCCTATCTAAATCTCTGCTGTTTTAAACCTTTGCAAAAGTGAATCTAGGCTTCGTAACCTGCTTCCACTCAAGGTGTGTGTGACATTTTTTTTTCTGTTATATAGTTATATTTGAAAAAAAAAACTCTTTTTTTAAAATATAACACAAGTCTTTCCTGTTTCTTTTCCACATGGGTATGCTTGTTAAAGTGTGACTGTGTGAATCTACAGAGAAGTGTGTCTGTCAGCCATGAGAGGGCAAAATTCTCTTGTTAGATTTCAGAAGCCATCTGCACTTTGTGACAAATTAAACTTGCTTATTCAACACACAAACCAATGGATGCAAAGATAGAGAGTCCATGAATCAGTGCACTATTCTGACTATACTGCTGACTGTAAGACAACATACACACTCATACGTAGAAACATGTAAGAGTAGTGACCAGCTGCTGCCTGGTGACATTCTTGGATGGCAGCACTGGCTCTAACAACCCACACAGGATTTGGGAGAGTTAGTGTTCAGTCTCTCAACCCACTCTATGTGTGTTGGTGTGTATGTGTGTGCACATGCATGTGTGCACTCTGGTTATCAGACAGTGCTTAGGGCTCAGATGGGAAACAGCAGTGTGATACATGCACGATGTGCTCCAGCTGTACAGGTCAGGCTGAAATACTCGGTTGCAGAAGAACACAAAAATGATCCTTCAAAAAATGTAACAAAGTAAATTAAGCTGAATTTATCAAAACTAAACTGAGCTAGACAAAATATTCTTAAATAACTACAGACACCATATATCTTTTGCAGTCTGCTTCAGTGTAAACATATTGTCTTGCACTCATGCTTGTACTGATGAGCAATAAATGTATTAAAAAAAATAAGCAGTAGCAAAACTGCTTTACTCTGGACATGCCAAAAACAGCAGTTTATATTATTGTGAATAAGTTTGCAAAGCAGTTTTTTTTTAAATGTATGAAACACTGGGGGGTCTACCTATCAGATGAACAGTGGATGGATCCCAGAGTCCTCCAGTCTGATTGGTGCCTTTGGGCAAATTACTGAACCCCAAGTTGCCCTCTGATGTGTGTAAATACTACAAAGCGTAGATAAAAGCGCTGTATGAATGTGTGTGTGATTGGGTCAATGAGACTTGCAGTAAGAAAGTGCTTTGAGTGCTCAACTGAGTAGAAATGCATTACATAAGTACCACTTTTTTTTTACCATCAATGTAAATTGAGCTGTGATGGAAATTAAGAAAATTAGACCTTCCCGTATAGTCTCTTTCCCGATAACAGTTTGTAAATGAATTTCTATGTCACAGAACCAGCCTTTCCCAGAAGATCTGTAATGATGCGACGCTTTTTTTTTTTTTTTCCATCTTTGAGGGTGCGTGCCTGATCAGAACAATCGAAGAGTTGCTCTGCTCTTAGTGGTTGTTACGTCATTAGACTTGCCCAACAACCGCCTGGGCAACGTATGAGGCTGACTAGTCGAAAGGTAAAAGGCCAACTGAAGAAAGAAGCAGAACTATCTGGTCAGAGCACACAATGCACTGAGCAGAACTGTTATTATATATTGGAAAAAAGTGAACAGGCTTTTATGAAATTTCCTTCTACGTTTCTTCCCAGGCCACTTTGCTAATTTAGAGGTTTAGGCTATCGCTTGAACAGAGCTAGCATTGTGCATAGCTCTGCCCAATAGCTGTGTGCATATATATCTATTGTGTATGAGCAGTTGCCAGGCAACCACAGAGACCCTCTGTTAAAAAAAACTTGTTAATTAGCGAGCAGTTTAGAGGGTTGGTTTTTTTTTTTTTACTGCTGGACAGAGTCGGGCTAGGACAGTTTCCAGTCTCTATGTTAAGCTAAGCTGATGAGCTGTTGGTGATAGTTTCATATTTAGTTGACAGAAAAGAGGAGGTGTCAACTTTCTCACTCAACTCTTTGCCAGAAATTAAATAAATGCATTATCCAAAATGTCCAAAGCTATTCTTTGAAGCTGAACTTATACTATTTCATCCATACACACATGGTCCATCTCCACTGAAACATCAACTACACTAAACTGCCTAAGCATCAATTAGCTGGTATATTAATAAAAAGCCACGGATTGTCCATATATCCAATAATACACAATGCCACGACTGAAAACACATGAACACACACTGAAAACAGTCAACTGTTATTTTAAACAGTTTAATTTTACGCCCTGATTGTGAGACTATTTGGAAGTGTGGGTATTAACCTTTTTTTAATCCGTTGAACTAATTTTTGTTTAGTCACAAGGAGATGTTTTGTTGATGCTGATTTCACCTCAAGAGTTTATTAAACACAATTATTAAAAGTGTCTTAAAACATGAGTGAGTACTGTAAGAGCTGTGAGGAATTTCTTGCTGCATTGTATACATTTCTGTATACATATTTTTTATTTGTTGTATTGTATGTATGTATTATTTATGTATGGTGATCTGCTTGTATTTCTTTTACCGCCAGTGTGGGACAGTACTCCAATTCCATTGTACTATTGTACAAAGTATGACTGTGCAGTAACAATAAAGGGTTAGAGCTAAAGTTAGCTAAAGTTAGAGCTAAAAGTATTTAGTTACCTTCTTGGCCTGAAGAGCTCTTTGGAAGAGGCGCAGAAAAGAGGCGAGGCTGAAGCGGTACATGTTGTTGATCTTTGACAGGTCTGTGATAACAAAATACATCTTGCTAGCACTCTCTGCAAGAGGCAGGTAGGCATCCCGTTCCTAAAGTAAAAGCAAAGAAAAACAGAAAGAGAGAGAGAGAGAGAAAACAATGTCAAAAAGAAATAAGGGACAAAACAAGGAAACAGTGAAAGAAGGACCACATATGTTGTGGAGTTACAACAGATGGATGGATGAAGACAGAAAATTGCACTGACATGCAGAAAACATAACATGCGCGAAAAAGCAATTACAGGTGTTTATTTCAATCAAAATGGAAGAATAGAGGGATAAATTAGGATGGACTCAATGACTTGTAATGAGAAAGGAGCTGTGAGAGAAAAAAGAGGTGCATGGGACCCGGGGAGAAATAATAAAATACACACACACATAAAAAAAAAAGAAAAAAGAGTAAAGTGCAAAATCAGTTCTGGTATAACACTGCACCCTAGAGGATGAGTATATAATGCATTTACAATGTGCCTACACTTTTACATATGTGCAGTCCGATGCCTGCAGCATTATATTGCTCATTTTATTACATTTAATATACATTTGGCTTACTTGTTTAGGTACACATTCTGTGAAATTGACAGCATGTTACATCTACCTAAATATCTTGTTTTAATAATTAATTAGCAACTGTTTTACAGGGTCTCAAATCATTTATTGGAAAGTAGAACATATCTCAGCTAGCGAAGCTTTCAGGAGTCATCTGTCAAAGATTAGAAGTTACAGTCTTTTCGATTTTCACTTACAGCCATTTGCACTATGAAGAGTCAGAGTTTGCCTCACAAACATCAAGGTATGACATCCGTGTAGAAGGCCAACATAACTCATACTGTTGATTCCCAAAGTGTTACTCCTTTTAAAACTGAACCCCAAAAATGTATTTAGTATATAGGATTTTCATGGGTTGTGTGTGTGTGTGTGGTTGAAATACCTGGTCCAAGGAAGCCTGCAGCCTATGTGATTCCAGTAGTGACTCCTGGATTAGGGCGCTGCTTGCTTTGGTCTGGTTTAGGCTGTCTATTAGCTCCCTGTTCTCCAGAATATTCCCCTGAGCTGTAGCCAAGGTCTGACAACCAAAAAAGGACAAGTTGCAAAAGATCAGCAGGAAATAAGGAGGAATTTAAATTACATAGAGAGAGTTCAATTGGATAAAATCTTTGATCTGCTAAAAGTTGCAAGGAAAAGACAAGTTGTTTGCATCATGTGGGATTTTTATTTATTTTGTTGTATTTAAGCATTCATTGGGTGTCAAGAGTCTTCCACTAAATCCTGTGGAATCTATTCTCTGAAACCAAGTGATAAAATGTATTCAAATAAATTCAAATACAATAGATGAGAAAGCAGCAGAGCATGGAAATGTCAAGTCAAATATGCTCCTACAATTCAAGAATAATTATATGTCTAGTACCACTGAAGCACTGACATCTTGGTATGTGTGTGTGTGTGTGTGTGTGTGAACAGATTTCCCTTAGACAAAAAAAAAAAAGATCATTAGGGTGAATTCCACAATGTCCATCGCTGATGTGTGCACGTTTCTCTGACTGTATACTGTATGCATGAAGCTTTTGTTGAGCTGTTGTGTGAAAAGTAAAGAAATGAAGGAATCTTCATTGGAATGAAGCACTTGGCCAGGAAGAATTTGATGTTTTGCTCTATACTGTCATTACAATATGTGTAAAATGACATGTCCACACAATGCTCACCCCCTCTTATGGCTACATCTTCTTAAACCAGCAGTCTTTATGAACACACTCTAGCCACTTTATTAGGTACACCACATGGGACAGATTCAACAAGCTGCTGAAACCATTCATCTGAGATTTTGATCCATGTGACGTGACAGCATCAAACAGTTGCTGTAGATTTGATGGTTGCTCATTGAATCTCCTGTTCCACCACATCAACGTGCTCTCTTGTAATGTGATCTGGTGACTGTGGAGGCCATTTCAGTACACTGTCATGTTCTAGAAACCAGGATTAGGTGATTTGAGCTTTGTGGTACCACTGTCAAGACATCAGCCACAGCAGCGTGGAGAGTCTGGGACAGAGCTGAAACCACATGGGAAGAAGAGTTCCCAATATGCCCCATGTAAGTCGCTATAGTATAACTTGTGGTAAGGAGATTATCAGGGATTCTAACCTGTGGCCGCAAGTAATGCTTATTGGGACTGAGGGCTTCATCTCGAGATATTATCAGTAGCAGCATGGCCTTGAGCAAGCTTGTGGTGTTGAGTAGGTAAAGGGGAGCTACATGCAGACACCCCTGAAAAAGGCAAGTCAGCCTCAGTAAAGTATTGTCAAACCAGGCCAGCCTCGTGGTCCTCTCAGTTAATGGCATACAGCTGGAGTTGATGCAAACATCATCTGTCAGAGCCTGCCTGAGATATTCAATGCCAAGACACAGTGGACATCTGTCATGGCCATCCTCCTGGCTTAGAGGGACCAAACATGCCTGCAGGATAGAGTACCTGTGCCAATTTCAATAAATGGTGTAGCAGTGAGGCACAAATCTAACACAAGCAGCAGGTATAATGCTGCCAAATTAGCAATGTTGAAGAAGAGCGATGAGCATTCAGCCTAGTAGTTATTTGAGTTACTGTTGCTTTTATGTCAACTCAAAGCAGACTGCCCATTCTCCTCAATGGATATTTTCAGTTTTTTAAACTATGATGGGATGATGATGATGATGATGATGATGATAGAAGGTTTGTTTTCTGTTTTTAGTCTTTATGCAGTTCAAGTAGTTGGACAGAAGAAGGTTTGAATGGGCTTTGGCTGTAGCTATTTAAATTATCTGTGTTGAGAACAAAATGAACACGCTGTGTTGTCAGTAATTGTTGTGTTCATATTTGTCTGCAATGACGAGAATACAGAATAACTGGCCCAGTTACTGATGATTAAGATATCACTAGTTACAGAGGCTAAATCATCAGAAAGCAGCCCCTCCAGTGGATACATTGTATCCAAAGTTTTCCATTTGGTCAGTCAATTTTCACAGATTCATTGAACTAAACTTCAGTACTCAGCAATAACAGCTTCTGGTTATGATGAAGTGCTCCATCAGACATATGCGTCAGCGTTCAGGGGAGGGAAACTGATCGCGACAGCAGCAACTCCTCCTGCTCAGTCTGTACACACCGTTCTATTTTGTCTACCATACCCTCCTCAGGCTTAGTCCTCATCAGTGGGTGGGAGCAAAAACAAGATCTGCAGTGCAGAGAAAACTGAGCATTCACACTGGAAGAAAATGAGGTTTCACCAACATGAAATCATCATCTCCACATTCAGGTCCGCAGGTATTTGGGCTCTGACATAATTCTGAATTTGCTTCTGCACACCACCAAAGCAGATTTGGTGCGAAGCAATCAACACATGATTTGAATGTAGACTTTTATCTTCTATTCGGGTGATTTTTTTTTTCAAATATTACTTCTTTTTTTAGGAAATATTCAATGGCCAAACTAAAATAAATTATAAATATCAGAACAGCTAGGAGGATGTTTTTGCCAACATCCAAATACTATGAACTCAACAACCTATAGCTTTGTACTCCATTATGTACAGGGTGGACCATTTATATGGATACACCGTAATAACATGGGAATGGTTGGTGATATTAAAGTCCTGTTTGTGGCACATTAGTTCATGTGAGGGGGAAAAATCCTCAAGATGGGTGGTGACCATGGTGGCCATTTATAAGTCGGCCATCTTGGATACAGCTTTTGTTTTTTCAATAGGAAGAGGGCCATGTGACACATCAAACTTATTGGTAATGTCACAAGAAAAACAATGGTGTGCTTGGTTTCAACGTAACTTTATTCTTTCATGAGTTATTGACAAGTTTTTCTTTGTTCACAGCGATTGACATGTCGAAGGGGTTAACACATGAGGAGGGGATCAAAGCAAGAGCCCACAGCGTGGCACTCGTCGCATGTCACTGGAGAGTGAAATTAGTCGAACCTTCGGCAGATATTAGCTACTCACAAATGGCACCCTTACAAACTCCAGCTACTGCAGCATCTCAACGAGGATGACCCAGATCGACGCACAGAATTTGCAAAATGGGCAAAACAAAAATTGGAACAGGAACCTCAGTTCACGCAGAAGATTTTGTTCAGTGATGAGGCAAACTTGAATGTGAATGGTGAAGTTAACAAACAAAACCACCGCTATTGGTCTGACACTAACCCACATTGGATGGATCCCTCCAAGACTGTTGGAACAACAAAAGTGATGGTTTGGTGTGGTACATGGGGTACAACGACAGTGGGTCTATTCTTCATCAATGGAAACCTCAAGGCCACTGGATATTTGAAATTTCTACATGATGATGTGTTTCCCTCTTTGTGCACTGAAGCTGGTACGTTCCCTGAGTTTTTCCAGCAAGATGGTGCACCACCACATTATGGGTGCCAGGTCCGAGCATTCCTAGATGAACAGTTTCCTGGAAAGTCGATTGGTCGTCGTGGGCCAGTTGAATGACCCCCAAGGTCTCCTGATCTGACCCCCTTAGACTTTTATCTTTGGGGTCATCTGAAGGCAACACAGAGGTATCGAAACACGGGGGCAAAAATGCTCTGGCCACCGTCACCGCTGTCGTGGACGCCAGGGGTACCGCCTCCGGCCACCTGGTCGTGCGGTCCACCACAGTCAAAAGGTGCGTGAAACCCTGGGACTGCGGCAAGGGACCAACCAGGTCCACATGAACGTGATCGAAATGCCTATCGGGGACACGGAAAGGTTCGAGGGGTGCCTGCGTGTGCCGGTGGATTTTCGAGCGTTGGCATGGGATACAAGCCGCCGCCCATTCTTTCACCGTTTTGCGAAGGTCCGGCCAAACAAACCTGGCGCTGACCAGCTTGACCGAGGCCCGGACACCAGGATGAGAGAGGGCATGCACCGAGTCAAAAACACGACGACGCCATGAAAGGGGAACCACTGGTCGGGGGTGGCCGGTGGAAACGTCGCAAAGCTTCACACACCCCCGTTCTCTGCTAGCCATCGGGGTGGGGGGGCTGGGAGGAGATGTTGGCTGTCCGATTGGCCTCTCTGCTGCTGCGGAGCCTGGGACGGTCTGCTTGCCTCCACCCCGGGGGGAAGGGTAACATCTCTTGGGTCTGGGTTCTGTTTCCCCCTCTGGGGGCGAGGGTACCTGGACCCAGGGTATAGAGTATGTTTGGGGAGTGTGATTGTGTGTACATGTCCATTTATGTCAATCCTTACGTTGGGTGAGTGCTGAGTGTTTGTATATGTGTGCATGAGGGTGGGAATGCATGTTTGTGTCTGTGTGTGCCTGTTTGTCTGTGTCTATATGTGAGGTTGGGTCTTAGACTCCACCTCTCTGGGAACTCCCAGGCCCTCCAAGGCCTATCTCCCCTCACCACACTCCCTGCCGGTGACTGATGCCCTCAGGGGTCGGTGCATTGGTGGTTCTTGGTGTCCGGGGCTGGGCGCTCAGGTATGTACCAGCTCACTCCCGGTGGCTACCTGGCGGGGCCTGGCGGCTGTTGCTCGGTCAGGCCTCCTCCGGGGTGCGGGGGCCCTCGGGCCTCCAGCCTCTGGGCCTGCGGCTCGGTTCACTCTGGCACAGCTGGCTGCTGGCAGAGCCGGTGGACACACCGATGCAGCCCCCTCTAGCTTCTGCTCGGTGGCTACTGGGTGACGCCTCGTCTGGGGATCCTCAGCCCTTCCCATGAGGGTGGCACGGATGCCCCTCCAGTGGTCCTCCTTGGGCTCTCGCACTCTGGGGCCTCTGGATGTTTTTTTTTTGGGGGGGTTTTTTGGGCCTCTGGATGTCTGGGGCCTGGATCTCCTCCATGCCTGCTTCATGCCCTGGGGGACGGGGCTATGGCTCTCTACATCCTTTTGCAGACCATTACATGTGGAAACCATTTGAATACAAGCACGCTGATCCACACAGGTGTGCACACGGGTGTTCACTGTTTGTAGACTTAAATTACACCTTTCTTGGCTGCTACTTCAAAGCACATTGTGCGCTGTCTGTCCTGCGTGCTGCACAGCAACATTGAATATTTAGTATTTACTGCTGTTTACACTTAGCTAGATTAATGCGATGGTGTTGTGTTTAGTATGTTGCTTTGGGGTTTTTTTGCTTGTTTTCTATTCTTTTTCTCTCAAAAGGTGATCCAGGAGATTTTTTTTCTCCCCCCTTTCTCACTGTCCCTCTCCCCTTCTGTTTTTCTTTTCCTTCCTCTTTCTTTCTCCCTTTCCTATCCCTCACTCATGTCTGTCCCATCTGTAACAACTGAAAATAAAATAAAATAAATAATAAAAACAAAGGTCCATCAAATGGACCAATACGGCAATGCCACGATGATCCATTTGGCAAAATAAATCCATTGGGTATCCTTGTTGGTCTTCAGACAACAATTATGATGGCTAAAGAACCAAATGGGACAGACAAAAAAAAAAAAAAAAAAAAAAAAAAGGAAACGTCGCAAAGCAGGTGCGGACCGCCGTCCCACACAGGGGTGTCCTCCAGCACGTGGCCAGTTTTTGTTGACTGAAGGGCAAGGACGTCCGGGTCAGCATGTTGCTCATGGCAGCGTAGTCCACGCCGACATACACCGGAGAAACCAACACGCGTGAGAGACAGTCAGCGACGTGATTGGACTTACCAGCCACATGCTGAATGTCTGTGGTAAACTCTGAAATGGCCGCCAACTGCCGCTGCTGGCGTGCGCTCCATGGGTCAAAGACCTTGGACATGGCAAACGTCAAAGGTTTGTGGTAGACGTATGCAGTAAAGTTGCGACCCTTGAGGAAAAAACGAAAATGTCGTGTCGCGAGGTGCAGGGCCAGCAACTTCCTGTCGAAAACACTGTACTTGTGTTCGGCATCCCGGAGCGTACGACTGAAAAAGGCGAGCGGTTGCCAGAGACCTGAAACCCGCTGTTCCAACACGGCACCCACTGCCACGTCAGACGCGTCGGTGGTCAACGCGATCTCCGCCGACGGAAATGGGTGGGCCAGCAGGGCGGCGTGGGCCAGAAGGGCGGCGTCAGCCAGCGCAGACTTGGCTGCGGAAAACACCTGGACGCGTTCGGCAGCCAGTCAACGGGATCTTTGTCTGTTTTACCTTTTAAGGCAGCATAGAGCAGGTGGGCAGCTCTGGGAAGAAAGCGGTTGTAAAAATTTATCATCTCCAAGAACTCCTGCAACGCTTTAACCGATGTGGGACGCGGAAAAGCCGAAATGGCCCGGACTCTGTCGGGCAATGGAACCACACCTTCAACGGAAATGCGGTGCCCGAGGAAATCCAGAACAGGCAACCCAAACTGGCACTTGGAAGGGTTGATGATCAGGCCGTGCGCTGCCAAACGCTGGAAAACCTGGCGCAGATGGGACTCGTGCTGGCTCGCTGAGCAGCTGGCCACCAATATCATCCAGGTAAATAAAAACGAACGGCAGCCCGCGCAAAACGGAGTCCATCAGCCGCTGAAAGTGGGCGGCACCTTTCAGGCCAAACGGCATGCGCAAAAACTCGAACAAGCCGAAGGGGGTAATGACAGCGGTTTTAGGAACGTCTTCGGCGCGCACGGGAACCTGGTGATACCCCCGCACCAAGTCAATTTTAGAAAAAAATCGAGGTTCCGGCGAGATTGGCCGAAAAATCCTGAATGTGGGGAATGGGGTAACGGTCATTCTCCGTGGCATTATTTAAACGGCGGAAATCTCCGCATGGCCGCCACCGACCATCCGATTTGGGTTCACCATGTGAAGCGGAGAGGCCAATACACTGTTTGAACGCTGTACAATGCCAAGGCGCTCCATGGCTACAAACTCTTCCCGAGTGATGGACAGTGTCGCAGGGTCGAAGCGGCGCGCACATGCGAACACCGTGGGACCGTGGGAATATAATGCTCCACCCCGTGTTTCGTTACTGTGCTAGAGAAATTAGGGACAGACAGCTATGGAAACTCTAAAAGCAAACGCTGAAAAGCATCCCCGGAGGTCACTACATTAGCCCAAATCAGGGGCTCGGCGGCCCGAGTAAAACAGGGTAGCGAAGAAAACGAGAGAGCATCAATTAAACGTCTGTTAGCAACATCGACAAGCAGTCCATGAGCACACAGAAAATCAGCACCTAAAATAGGTACAGAGCTAGTGGCAGTTTCAGCGCCACAGCTGCAACCGGAGGCGGAGGACCGGCGGCCGCTGATGCATCCAAAGCGGAGTCTGTGTTATCTTCGGCCCGTAGCATGCTCGAGTCAGGGGTCACCAATGTGGAGGTAAGTATGGACAACACAGAGCTCTCAGTTCTCACTCCTTCTTTATTCCTCTCCAACATCAACTGAACACATCGTGCCACAAAACACAGCAACACACTTCCTCAACACTGGGTGTGAGTGGAGCCCTCTAGTGGTCCACCACAACATTACCAATAAGTTTGATGTGTCACATGGCCCTCTTCCTATTGAAAAAACAAAAGTTGTATCCAAGATGGCCGACTTCTAAATGGCCACCATGGTCACCACCCATCTTGAGGAGTTTGCCCCCTCACATATACTAATATGCCGCAAACAGGACTTTAATATCACCAACCATTCCCATGTTATTACGGTGTATCCATATAAATGGCCCACCCTGTAGAATCCTTGTCTATATTTCCCTCACAGTATATGTTAGCATGAGTACCTCCAATAATGATTCTTCCAGCTGAGCCAGCTGTATCTTCTTGTCTTCCTCTTGTTGTAGTAGCCTTGTTTTCTCAGTCTCCAGCTCTGGCTTTTCTTGCTGGATGGTCAAGGCTAGCAACTAACATACAGACACACAAATAAAGAGCCAGTGGGCACACTGTATGGCCACATCAAGTATATATCCCATGTATTTGTGTTATTAACTTTAAAGTTATTATTGGACATGATTATGCTCAATAGGTACATTTTAAATTACTGGCATTGTACATTTTATATGCATTTGTATTTGTGTGCTGGTTGAATGGGTTACCTGTCCCCGCAAGCCTGCCCTAGTTGTTGTGAAGTTGACCTCAGTAACCACTGAGACGGCATCAGGAGGGATGAAGGGACTGGGATTCCGTGTTGCCAGGAAGAGACGGAAGTCCTCATTGTAATCAATAACCTTGTCTCCTATCTGGACCACATATCTAGGACCTGCACATGTGCAAATGTGTCTCTTAACAAGGTACCTTGTTTCACATCAACTTTTATCCTACCTTCCGTCCTTTTACTTTTCTCCCTCTACTTTCTTCCCCTTCTGTCGTCTAGATGTCCGCAGTGCAGAACTGTCAATTTTTTTGTCTCAGCACTTTTTTCTTTCTTGTTCAACACTACTTTTAAGTGGATAACTTGCCCTTTCACATACTGTCTCTGCCCCCGCTCTTTCCAATTCTGCTTCAAATAGCGAACCGCCTCTCCCTGGATGATTCAGAGCCTTATGAATCACACATCATTTTTACAGGTATGTTTTCAACCTCTGTTTTTTATATATGTGATTGGAATGCAACTAACTAAAAGGAGAAACTAAAGTATTACTGGCTATAGAAGACGCTTCAAAAACCAGTCGTCTATGAATACACGCTGTATTTGGGGGCTTTTTTTTGTCCAATTTTGTAAGACAATTTCAAAGAGTATTCATCCATAAAATGGAATGACCAAAGGACTGCACTGCATGTTTTTTTTCTATGGACAATTTTAATATCCAACAGCTGCAAAGTATTTGAGAAAATTAAGTGGATAAATAACTACCATTTTGAGATTTTGAGACTATTAATTGGTGATATTTTTACTACATAGAATTCATTAGGCTTAAACTGAAGAAAATGGGTGGATGGATGGATTTTAATATCATATTATGTACATACAGGCTAGTCCTTGTGTAAAATAAGAGATATTTATGTCTAGTGAATGCATGTTTCTCATGTGTGAGATTTGCATAAACCTATGGACACTAAATGAGACAACACCAGGGTTCTACAGCATCTTATTCTCATGCATACAGAAAAAACCCTCAAAACTGAAAAGTCTAATGTGCTCTTTCTCTTTGCTGTTTCTCTTGCCTTTCCAAAAAGGCAAGGAACAAAGACTAGGTAATTCAAGGAAAATCAATAAGTGAGCTCCTACTGAGAAACTACCACACTTTACCTGAAAGGTCCATTTCTGTGATTGTACAAATAATGAGAAGTGACACACGGAAAGCAATTACTTCTTATGTACCACAGTGTGATAATGCAGCAAACCTGTTTTCTTTTTTCACTTATTGTTATTTATCCACCGTCTCCTTCGTTCACACTTTTCTTTTTCATTTGTAATGCTCGCCCACAGTATGCTCATTAATTCTTTCAAATATAACTAACACTCAAAATAATGGACATGGTACAAAGTTTCACAGGCGTTTGTTGAAAAAAAAAAGTAAGTCAGGAGCAAGTTATTAATAAGTTATTAATATCACTGACATCAAGACTCACTATCAAAATGTAAGGCTTGAGACACTAATTTGAATCTATTGGCTTTCAATCATTATCTACAGTTTGGTAAAAAATTAAGTACACACTATTTAAATTCTAAGGTTTTATGTATGGGGACATAGTAAAAACAATCTGATCCTTAGCAGGTTTTACAGCTGGCAACATACAAATTTAAACAAACTACAACTGCTTCCACAGGAATTGAGGGGGATCAAGATCTGACGGTACTTTTCTATGTTTGTAAATCCATCCGCTTTGATAAGATCCACAACACCACTGGCTGAAATTCAGCCCCAAACCATGACAGAGCCTCCACCATGTTTTATAGAGCTGTTACCACTGATTTCTGTCCAGCTCTTGAGTAATTCAGCATAGCTCAGCCTTTTCTCCCCTTTTGCCTTCCTTGAGAATGGCTTCTTAATTGCCACCGTTCCAATGGGACCATTTCTGCTGATGCTTCAGTGAACAGTAGATGAATTGACTGAAGGGCCAGATGCATCTCTGAGGTCCTGTGTCAGGTCTTTGCCGGATACTTTTTTCTATTTCTTGATGACATGACTTTATGATACTGCTCATCTGCTGTAGGCTGTTTTTTTAAAGCCTGCCACTTCATCTTTTGTGACCAGCTTTGTAGTTTCCTCAAATTGTTTAAGGACAAAGTCTACACCATATTGATATATGCCATGTTTTCAGCAAATAGCTCTTCAATAATCACCTTTTTTAGCAGAAAAATATTATTTTTTATGCCTGTAAAACTATTTTATCTTTTCCATTTTTCATAGATTAATTTCATAAAGGCAGACATAGACATTTTATAAAGAAATGTAAACAAATGATGTGTTTTTGCATCAGGCTTCTAATTGGTTCTGTATCAAGTCATCTGTAAACAATTCACAGGACAGTGTTAAGCAACCGAACAAACAAAAAACAATGGTAAGACAGAAGGCCTGAAAATGAGTGGAAAAAAAACATGTCCAAAACTAAAACACTGAAGACCAATTAAAACATATTAGAAGTCTGGCAACTTTGAAGTAAATTATAGAGAAATGAGGGGTGCTTCTGCATTTTGGCTGAGTTCTTTTAACTTTCCCTTTACTGTGACTGTATTGTGGAAAGGTCTTGTCTGAATATAAAATAAAACATGAATAGTCAATGTTTAACCATTTGATTTACTTAATATTTTACAGAGTAAGGCTTTTGAGAGTGAGAAGAAGTACTGTGATGGCCCAATGCACTAGTCAGGATTGGTTAATTAAACTTTGAGGCAATATCCCTCAGAATGGGATTTCACTACGCTGCAGAAAAGTAGCCCCTGGATAGAGGTGAGTAGTCAGCAACCTGAGGTTGCTTAAGCCTCTGAATTATGCCCAAAAGAGTTCTTCAGCCCAACTTTGTATGAAATTGGTGTTTGTGCTTGTGAGAATGTGTGAGTACCCTGTGCTATTAGGTCTCTCCTCAGCAGCGGATAGAGCACAGGTTCAACTCCATCCATCTCTTGGATGATAAGGGTTTTTCCAAATCTGACTGCCAGCTCTAGGGATGTCATGAAGTTATTATCCTATAGAGAGAAGCCACACAGACACCCAGTACTAAGAGATTACATTAAATTCTAGAGGTGGATGGTAACACAGTTCTCTCGTGTATCTGGTGGATGGAAGAGTAATTATAGTTGTAGTACGATTACGATTAAAAAAGAAAAAAAAGAAAAAAATTACAGTTGGAAGATGAATAAATCTTATATTTTCTTTCTAAACAAAGCATTTACATCTAGAGCATCTAGAGAGTTTTAACAAGTTATTAAGCAAAAACCAACCAATTTAAATACATATACAAAAAATAAATAATTAAATGAGTGTTTTCAGTGTACCTGATGACACTAATGCAGTAATTAATATGTAACAGTTAAGTGATAAGTAATGGACACCAGTGTTACTTAATGTAATCATCATAACTTTTTGCTAAAATCATTACCTGGACCGATCAAAGTATGGTTAAGGCTTGCTTCTAAATGATTAAGATATTCTAGTAAAGAAGAGAAACTTGGATTCATTAGACAAGAAGAAACTGATCAGTCAAGAATGTCTAACGGAAAACTTAGAAAAAGAAGAAAGAACGGGTTAGAATGAGGGTTAACTGAATTAAACAAAGCACATCACCAGTGTGTGCACAGGATTTTGCAAAATCTAACAGATTAATGACCCTCCATTCCACGACACGTTACTGATTGTGTGTTGTTACCTGCTGGTTGATAACCTCTAATCTGTGCTGTTTGAGATGTGTACATAGCCACTCTGTAGCTCGGGATGATGGGTCGATCAGGAATGGACACGCAACACTCTGAGTCAGAAATGAGGAGAAAGCAGGACATTTCAGCTGACGTTGTTTTAGGATAGTTTTACTTATAAAGCACACAACTCACCTAGAAAATGATGTGCACTGCATGTGTGTATGCATATGGTTTAGCCCCGTCACAGTGCTATCATACTTACCACCTTCCTATATCAGGCACAGGAGTCTTTCTCTCGCCGTCTTTCTTACTCCCTCTCACATACACACCAATGATTACAGTTTGTTTATACAGTGAAAGCTGAAACCAGTGTTTTTGAAATCTCTATCCGGATAGGGTCCACTGTTCTTGTACCAGCTGAAGTGTGCAGCAATATAAAAAGATCTCTAATGCCTTTAGGAAAAAAATGGTTGTGAATGCTCATGAGCCTGACAAATCAGTTCTGAGGCAAATCATCTACAAGTCTTGTACATGGAACCACTGACAATTTGCCCACAAGTAGTTACGGCACATTCAGCGAGAGAGCGGACCATTTGATGTCTCCAAGAACCCCCAAAATTTTATATGATCTATGTCATTTTTGCGAGAGTGTATGCGTACATATACTCCCTAGACACTTTATTGGGTACACCTGTCCATCTGCTCCTTAATGCAAATTTCTAACCACATGGCATGAACTCAATGTGCCATGTCAGAAAAGTCAAATAATCTCAAACTGTCTCATTGTTATGTTTCTTGAACATAACAATGAGTTCACATGACTGAAATGGACTCCACAGTCACCATCCCAGTCCAATAGTGCACGTCTGGGATGTGCGAGATCTATGCCACGAAGAATTAAGACAGTTCTGAAGGCAAAAGGTGTCCAACCTGGTACTCTCTAGGTGTACCTAATAAAGTGACAGCACATCTCTTTCTCACTAGTTTCAAGGCAAACACAAAAGCAAAAGAGAAACAGAGAGACAAAGAAACACTAAATAAATAAACTAGCTATGTAGGAAACAGCTACGAGGATGAATGATGGACTTCTTACCTTCAACTTGAGTGCATTGATCTGGTGGTGGCGATGATAAAAACAACACACAAACACGATACAACCAAATGGAGCACAGACGTATGGCAACAAGGACACAACTTTCGGTACAGCTAGACTTGTTTTATCATGTTAATGCTGGGTTTGTATTGTACTTTAATGTCTTTTTAAATATTTTATACAGTGATGTGAAATAAGCAAGCCAATGCATAAATAGTATTAATAACATCCTTATATAAAGTAGGCAAAAAGAGACTGAAATTAGTGTTTATATTTAGTAAATCCCTGTGTCACGTTGTAGATGCAGATTTGAAATATTAGTCTAACCTGCAGTATAACCAGTGCATTCTCCATTGAGAGATCATCTGATGGCAGCCCTTGACTCTTCCAGATCAACTGTTCACTCTCCGAGCACAGGAATGATCGCAAGTCAAACTCTGAAACAAGCAACAAAAAGGCTTGTGTCTTTATTTGTATTTATTGTCACCATACCTCAGTTTAAATATCACTGAGATAATAATTAGTGCTTTTCATGTACAATTTCAATGCATTTATATTAACGTAAGAGGAGATCAGTTACTGGGGTATTGATTATTGATGTAGTATCATATCATTAAAAAACACAAAGTCACAAAACAGGATTATCAAGTACTGTGATGCTTTCTGAGCCTGGGATTAAAACATAACATCATTATAAATTAAAATTAAAATTACCATTTATTTAGTTAAATGGCAAACAAGCTCTTCGAGAAGACCCTGGAGCTGTAACGTCTGTATGTTCCATGTTGTAACAGTAGAGTCCGTTATGTTGTGTGTGGGCAGCGGTGTCTGAGTAGGCTGCTTGGGACAGGACTTGCCATATGCTGTTGCTAGTGTGGTAAAAGAACTAGTGATATATTTACTCTGTAGTCCAGAGTGAGCCATCCACGAGTCCAGACACTGTCGTCTACGGTCTTCCGAAGCTGCAGACAGGTAGGTGATGAAGGCTGCCGCAAGCAAGGCTCTAACAGGGAGCGTATCCAACTCATTCTTTATCTCGGACATCTAGGACAAAATACAGGTAGGTGAACAAAGTATAAAAACTAATCACATTAGAGTGACGGGCAGTATCGGGAGAAAAGGCGTGGATGTGAGAAAAGAAGGTGGAGCAAGGAGAGAACTGAAGTTGGTACATTGCTCATATGTTGCTAATATGGCCCAGTGCAAAACATGTTTGGTTTTTGTTTGGTTTTCTTCCTAATGACTCTTTAATACTAAACACAGTTATAAATACCAAATGACCACATAAAGTGTTTAACTAGACGAAAAAATGCTAACCCACAAGTGCAGGACCTGGAACACACTTGCTGTTCTGCACCGATTTTACTGACACAGCTGTAAAGACTTCCAGGTTCATCAGGATTCCTTTGAGGTATTTTAATAGCATGTCAGGGGAACACGGGCGCACCCGCACATCTCTGTAAAATACTTAAACATCAGGCTTAATTGCTAACCCTTTTCCCCACTTATATCCACATCTGAGGTTGCAAGTTTTCATGACCTTGAGATCTCTAGTCTACTGCATTAATACATCCTACTTAAAAACTTGCATCTGTTTCACTTACACTGTAGCTGTGTACACCTGACTCATTGGTTTTCCCTTCCTGAGAAACACTAAAACAGCTTAGAAGTATTGATGTATAGTGACCTACAGCTACTGTACAGCGTTGAAGTGAGTGTATGTGTGTACACGTGAAAGTATATGGTAATACGTGAGTGGAGAGCAAACTGGCTCTCTGGTGTAGTCCTTGAGGGAGACGGTGGGACTGAGGGTGTGTGTACGAGCGAGCGTGTCAGGAAGAGATTGAGTGTTTTAATTAAGGTGCAGACAGATGCTGTGGAGAGGAGTAAAAACAGCCAGAAGGGACCCAAGACAGCGGGATCCATCCCCCCTGTCATACACACACACACACCCACGAGCTCTTAGACACTCACGGCTCCTGTTGCTCTTACATGGCAAATGAGCCTCTTTTTGAGTAAATGTGTATAACCTCCCCCACCAATACATATATCATCACAGCCATACATCAAACTACCTGTGCATTCCAGCGTGTGTGTTCTCCGTCCAGTTGTGATATAAGCTGCTGGGCAGCAGTGATCGTGTCCTGAGCTTTTGACACATCGGCCTCCAACTTAGCTGCCTCTGCAGTGTGACACTGAAACCTGCAGAGAAAGTAAGGAGAAAGAAAAGCCAACCGAAAGCAGATGTATTGTAATATTTACCCAAGACGATAAGATGCACTGTAAATATAACAGGTGAGGCTTCCTCTATGACATTTACAGCAGGTAGAGTCATATAGAAAATGAGTGTAGTGAAAGTAGGACATCTTTCAGTTATAAGATGATTGTATTGTATGATTGAACATGGATGAGGAGGAGGAAAACTGAAGACTAAAGAGGACAGAGCGCAGGGAGCTCAGTGACACTAATGTAAAGTGTGAAGTTCGACCCTTTGTTGTGCTCTGATGTCGTAAACACTGATGCTGGTAAATGTCTGCCCATGTTTGTTGCTGTTGTTGTTCATTTTTAGGTGGCTCATCATCGCATCAACAAATCAACAGTTCAAGATTAAAAGAAACTACAACCCTAATCTCAATTTAAGACAACAGCACGCAAAAACCAGAAGCAAAACCCAAACTACACAGTATAGAAGGATTAATTGGTGAAGGAAGGATGCATACTTCTCTTTCAACTCATTGACTTTGGCTCCAACAGTGCTGAGCTGGTCTTCTAGTTTATTCTTCCTACTCTCAGTCTTCCTCAGGTTTCTGGACACATACAACACACGCATTGATTTATTGACTTACTTTATGTATCATTTATTGCATGTGTAGCATCGAGAAACTGAGCGTGAGTTAGAGTTGAGTAGAATTAGATGAAGTCAGTGATCACAAGTTTGTTTAAAATAATACAATCTAGATCAAAATTACTTCACAAAACTTAGCAACTTTTTAATTTTTTTAATCAAGAACTTCAACTTTCTTGTTTTTTGTTTTGTTTAAACATACAGCGTTTTACAGGTTGAAAGCATTTTCGGTCTTTTATAGAGTTGTGTTTGTGTGTTTTCCTACTCCAAAAGTCCAGCCTGTTCTCTTTCCAGTGGCTCTATCCTCTCTAGGACGCGGGAGTATTGGACATTGGCTTTGACCCAGGCAGCCAGAGGAGCAGCTGCTGCACTTGCACGCTTTGCATTCTGAATGAAACAACAGTAGCATTACAAATCAGTGAAACAGCCATAATAACTTCTTTAGAAGACAAACACACTAACAAACCAACAACAACAACAAAAAAACAATCAAGCTGTAATAACAACCTCCAACAGTACATCTAATTCTGATTCTGCTACTATGGTAGGCAGACCTTAGGGTCGAAAGAAGCCCTGTTCCTGTTGAGTAGCTCTTCCACACTCTGGCGAATCTCAGGAGTGATGTTCCTGGCTTCAAATGTAGCTATGTCCTCCCTCACACCACGTTTAGCTAGAAAGCTAGAGAAGAGAGGAGTTTTCATGTGTGAGTTCAACATTAAAGCCAAACACAGATGAAATCATCAGAAAGAGATCAAATTAACCCATAAAGCAGATAGTTTAATGTTAATTCAAGCCTAAAATATGAGCCTTTTTTTCCTTAATTAAGCATGAACAGTTGCCCCCCCACCCCCAGCACCACCCCGCCCAAATATACGCACACAACCTACACTCGCTCATTAGCAGTGCAGAAAGGCTTTGTTTATCCTTCCCTTTTCTTCCTCGTTTCCCACCCATTCTCTAACACCTCATCACCTCCTAATGCCTCTTTTTGCTAACCCGAGAGGTGTCGAAGATCCTCATCAATTTAATTACTCCCAACAGGGTAACTCTTCATCTTCCTATCCATCCCTTTACACGTTCTTCCTATCTCTTTTCTCTCACCTCTTCATGCTGACCCAGGAGGTGTCAAAGATGCCCATCAGCCTCAGTACCCCCTCCAGGATGTCTCTGATGACATCGGGAGGCATGCGGAGGGAGCGGATCTCAGACAGCGCTTCAGGCTTGATGTTTCCAACTGCACGCTTTGCTTCATCTACCAAAGGCTAGAGGGCAGCAGGGGAAAAGGCAGCGAGAGATGCACAAGTACGTGAAGGATAAGCACAATGGGGATTGCAAGCCTTGAAAAGGGGGGATGTTTTCTCGTAACTTACAGAAATGGGCATGCTCACAAAAACAGGCAACAAACCACTTACCTGTACTTCTTTCAGCTCGTCGTCGATTTTGGCTTTTCTCTCTTCAATTTTGGACACTTCTTGAGCCATTTTCCCTTTCAATTTTTCCATCTCTGCCTTCTGGTCACTGGCATTCTGGAAAATCCAAAAAATAAGGAAAATGTTCAGTACACTAGATTAAAAAACAGGCTTTTAGCATGTACTGAAGTTAGGGGAAAAAGGCTTAATCAGGATTGAAAGTAAGCAGCTGAATATATGATTTCTATATAATCATCTGTATTGTATTTTACATTTATAGGATTTTTTTAGGAATATTGTGACACTGATGATGAAAAAGCAGTGAGGACAAATGTTTGGCCGCATCATTTTCCAACAGGTCCTCTCTCTGACCTCTTCAAACCTGAAAGTTTTATCACATCACATTTTCATCTAAAGCTAATCCCAACATTGGCTTTTTTTCCCATCCCTATAATTCTTCCATAGTCAAGGCTCCAGGTCTTGCTATATGCCACATATATTCCCCTTTTCTGCTCCAAACCTTATTTTCATTCTTCCTTAACGGCTCTCTTAATATTTCCATCTTTGCCAAGCCTCAGTCAGTCTTCCATCTATTTTGTTTACACTCTTCCCATCGTTGTTCCAGTGTTCCTCGCTTCTCTCCCTGCTGTCTCCATCCCCACAGGCGACATAGCTACTACAGACCAAAGGGATGAGTCTAGTTCTTAATTATCACTCTGCAAAACTGACTCCTCTGACAGTTATTTCTTTTTCTTTCTTATTTTTGTTTCTCATCTCCTTTCTTCCTCCCGCCCTCTAACTCAACAAACCCAATCCCCACAGAGTGAAAGATAGAAGGATATCATAACTAATGAACAAGGTTCATCTCCTTTTCCCCCTCCACACATCTATCCAACCATCCATCCTCGAGACAGACCCAGCAGGAGGAAATGGAAATGGGGGTATCAGGAGATGAGAATGAAAGGAAAGTCACAAAACAAACAAATACACATACGTACACAAACTAAATAAATAGTGTCTTCACAGCAGGGAGGATATTGCCATGGGAAAGGCAGAAAGTTTTTTGTATAATGCAATGCAGATGAAAAAGAAAGCCAGAGAAGAGAAGAGAGGAGAGAAGTTGGATAGATAGACATAGAATAGATATAAGTTAGAAAAGACATGAAACCCTGCAGGACTACTGTCCTGAGCCACACACGTATACCCACATCCACCCATCCCAATACACAGTCACTAGCGGACAATGCACCAGCAGCACAGACATACACACCTGCATGGAGGTTGTGATTTCCTGCAGGGCAGAATCTGCCTCCTGTTGTTTAGTCCTCAGCAGTTCGCTCTGCTCTGCAGCCCGCCTCTTTAGTTCATCAACCAATGTTTTAGCTTCATTCAGCTTAGAAACGCCTGCCTGTAGACATAACATGTATTACTTTACAAGTAATGTCAAACTTGTTTCCTCTTAAAGATTCAATGGAATTTGTGTGTGCAATGTTTACCAACAACATTTACGGTTGCTTTGTAATTGTACTTTCTCATATCAGTGTGTAAAACTGCAGTAAAACTTTAAATAAAATACTACACAGGATGAATGCTGGGCACAAGCTCATCTATCAGGGCTGGATACAGTTCCAAAAACCAAATAACTTCTCTAATCCATGTCTTTTATTTGCTGTGTGTCGTTTTCACCGCAAGGCTCTTTTAAAACCCTTATCGTCACTAAAAGTCAAATCAAGAGCTATTTTATGTGTAGATCTATCGATTTTCAAGTCTAGGATAAACAATTCTCATCAGTTGTTCCAAAAATAAGTTGCTTCTTACGGAAGTAGTAAAACTCATACTACTTATAATTCTGTATCACAGGGTAGATTTGCAATTTTACCTGCAGATGCTGCTGTCTTGTAGTAAGCTGCTTTTGCTTCCGACTGTATAATGCGGTGTAAACATGCAGAAAGGCCATGTACTTGCTCGGTGTTGCACCGTGTTCGCGGCATGACTCATGGACCATCAAGAACAATCGGCACAGATCCCCCTGCCCAGACCCTCCTGAGAGTCACAGGTGAAAAAAAAGATGCACAAAGAGAAAAAGTTGATATAAAGTCATTCTGATTACACTAAAAATATAGAGCCATTAAATATGTCTAAGTATTATAAGCTTATGATACTACTACTATTAATAAAATAAGATAATTCATCTTAATTTATCACATGGTAGTGACTAAATGGAAATATGAGTAAAATAAAATAAACAAACAAATAAATAATAATAATAACAATAATAATAATAACAATAATAACAATAAAAGCCTTTATGGTAGACAGTTCAGATGGAAGCCCCTCCTCAGTAAGAGGATAGCCCACCTGGAGTTTGCCTGAAAGACTCTCAGACCATAGAAACAAAACTCTCTGGTCTGACAAAACAAAGATTGAACTCTTTGGCCTGAATGCAGAGTCTCATGTCTGAAGGGAATCAGACACCGAAACCCGACTGAACATCTCTGGAGAGATCTGAAACTGGCTATGCATCGACACACCCTCCCTATCCACCTGATGGAGCTTGAGAGGTTTTACAACAAAGAACGGGAAAAACTGCCCAAAAATAGATGCGCCAGCTTATAGCATCATACTCAAAAAGACTTGATTGCTGCCAAAGGTGATTCAACAAAGTGTTGTGCAGTCTGTGAGTACTATTACACTGTAGATAAATAGAAAATAAATACGAGACTGATTATCTATTTATTTGTTTAAACAACATTGACCAGTTCTAATTTTTTCGTTTTTCAATGTGATTAATCATGCCAACAGCATGAACAACTATAAAATGGCTCAAATGCACTTTGTCATCACTCCTATTTCAAAGTCACTCACATTGTGAAGGTGATAGCTTCGCGTGTATACAATTCTGCATTGGCATTTATCAGCTATCTGACAACATTTTAAGTCCAGAGATCATCAATCATTCATGAACTGTGACTTAATGTTCATGTGCTTACCTGAGCTTTTCCTCTTGCTGCCCTTTTCTCTTTCGGTCTCCTCCCCTCCCTGCTCAGTTTTTGCCAACAACAGCTCAGGTATCTGACAAGCAACACGTTTAGGTTTACCAGATTTGCAAATGTGACTATAAAAGAACTGGTGTGTGCACAAATATGACCGCAACACCTTGATTTTTAAAAATAACCTGTAAAGTAAAAAAAAAAAGTTTTCAATTTTAAAATTCCAACAATGAGAGAAAACCAATTCATTATTAGGGCTGCTGTATTAGGTCAACAGACATTAGTAGAGCAGAATTACACAGGTCTGTCTTTAAAGGTTGGAAGGAATGTGCATTGCTAATCTCATAAGCAACACTTAGCGTGAGCTTTATTAACAGCTGATGATTTAATGCCCATTTTGATCTTGCTGTTCTGATATTAACCTTTTTCATGCTGCTTTCAGACCATCCTTCCATCCACTGGACAGAGCACTTGCGGTAAAAAGCTGGGTTGCTCTCACAGTTGATGGTGAAGTTAGGGTTGGAGGAGTCCATGATCAGAACAATGTGGAGGTTCTGCTGGATTCCTGAGTGGGATGTGAGACAGTGGTGAAGGGAATTCATCGGGAAACTTTGATGAAAGGTGGACACGGTGTGGGACAATGACAGGCATTGGTATTATCACTAATAATACCAATATATATTATAGTTTTTAAGTATTTATCTTTCGTGATGTTGCACTGACCGGAGACATCTTTCAATTTCATTGTACTTGTGACAATGACAATAAAGAATATTCATATTCATAATAGCATCTTTATTAACTTGTATCTGGCAGAGTTGGAGAGAAAAGGTGAGGAGTAAGCTCTTTAGTGGTTTTACTTTGCCAATAATGGTTATTGATTTGATTCACAAGCAGCAACCTCTGTGACATTGCAGCATTTATACAGTACCAACAACAGTGCGCAGCAATGAAGCAGAAGAACACAGTCGGATATAATCAAGGAGAAAAACAGAAAAAACAATCTCTGTAACTAAATGTCACATATAATAGAGGTTTACAGTGAGAAGAGGCCCTAATGAAGGAACAATGAACAACAGAAAGACAGAGGGACCATGCTGTCAATAAAACCACAATACTGACTGTGAGAGAAATAGTTGTAGAGAGGTCCGGTGAATCCATCCTGGGAAGCACCATCTTTCAGTGACGAGAGGAGTGGCTCCAGTTCCTCAGGGGTATATAGACCTGGAACTTCACCTGAAAAATGTCCCCAGGATACATTAGAACTACAACTTAACTACAACAGAGAAAATTCTTGAGTGTATGATCCATATTCAAATGCACATCTCATATATAGTTTATAATTTTAGGAGACACACATTTCTTTCTTCTTCTTGCAAGAAGAAGAAAGAAATGTGTGTCAGGTAATCACTGAACATGTTCAATGATTACCTGATCTCAACCCAACAAGGCACACTTTTTCAGATGAAACTGAACATTAAAAACAATGCTCATATTTAAAGTTTTGGTAGTTTGCCCAGTTACTTTTGAGACTCTGAAAATGATTCCTGAACAGTAAATGAAATACTTTTGGTAAACCCCTTGAATTAGAGCTGAAAGTCATTTGACAAGACTTTGTACGCAAGATGAACAATATCACCCAATAACCACTCAGATCTGTCTGCTCAGAGTGAAGCTGGAGTGGGGGATGGTTGGATGGTTAGCCTAGCATGAAGTCTGTGAGCAGGAAGAAAATTCTGGTCTGACTAAACCCAAAGGTCAAAATAATTTCTTCTATCAGAACATAAACCCATCTAAAACCATAGTCCAGCTATATATTGCAAATACTGTTTAAGATTTGCAGTGTGACAATCGCAGTTTAAACATTAACTCTTAAATGAAGCTACAATTTCTTGAGTCCCAATAACTCACGTTTCTATAAATAAAAAAATAAGGCAAAAGCATAAATAAACACAACACATACCTGATGACAGCAGGCTGTTCACCATCTCTAAGAAAGCTGGGTGGACAAACTGATAGTCCTCTAATAGTAAAACCACCTGTTGGCCCTCCAGACCTGCCAGCTGCATCACCTAATCACACAGTATCCACACAAATATATTATATAGTGCCATCAGCTGAGATTACATAGTCTATGCTTAAACCTCCGCAAAGTGAGACATCTGTCAACATATGATAATGGGTACTGATTTAATGCATAAAAATCAACTAAAACGACAGAAAATTCTTTTATCAGTAACTATTCACTTTTAATGGTAATTATAGGTGTCACTCAGTCTGAAAAAAAACACACAAATGCTCAACAGGGAGTTCTTCAGAATAGGAACCGTATAGCCTGCAGGATTAGTGTGTAACGTGTGATTATCTCTAAGAGCATTTTGCAAATGCAATTTATTAAAGTATAATGTGAACCAGATAAAGAGATAAAATCTAATAAAGGAAATCCACTTACCGTCTTGAGATCACTGTTGAAATGCTTCAGGGTGTAACCACGGGAGATTTTTGGAGTAAACAACGTGTATCCGTGCATGTGTGACACTAGGCATGTGGCTGTGTGCCGACCCACTCCGCTGCGCCCTGCCAAAAGCAGAGACCCACCAGGTCTGCTTAGGACCCGATCTACCCTGGACACAAAGTCGCACACTTCCCAGAACAGGAGAAGATCCAGCTCCCTGTTATCTCGACTGTACAGCACGACTCCCTAGAGGAAAATGAGGAACAGACACACAGGTGAAGGAGGTACACAGCAGCAAACACAGTGAAGTGAAAATAAGAAAACAAAGACAAAGAAATGCAAACACAGAGTTAGACATGACGATGAAAAAAGAAGCACAAAAACAGAAGTTTATAAATTTACTAAAGCAAAGTGGCAGTACCATTTCTTTTACTTTAAATTAGGTAAAAAGTTTAAGCTTTTTTAGCAAAATATGACACTAGTGCAGATTATCCTGTCTAAAATGCTATTGATATACTGATGATTTATTGTATTAGCGCATTTGCACATAAGGACCATATCAGTGTTTTAGCTAAGAAGAATAAAGAGAAAATCCCTATAGTTGCTGTAACACTGTGTAGACACATCTTTCTGTCCACAGTTAATCCAACAAGTCTAACAACAGTCTCTTACTGCGTACCTTCTGTATAACTTGTTTTAAATCAGTAGAGTCCAGGCGTCCCAGTTGTTTGCCATGAGGAGGCAGAGACTGGCCAGGAGTGATCACAGCCCCCTCAGACGCTCCCCATGTCACATAGAAACCATCTGCAAACAGACAAAATAACAGACTATTAGTGGACATGTTAAATTACATGGAGGTTGTCTAAGAAAAAATAAAAGTGCAGCATAGACAGTGTTGTACTAGCAATCAACTGTGTATGAAACACAGAAGTGCAGAGAGTGCATCCACCATCAGGGCTAAATGGCCCATTTTGTCAGTTCAAAGAAAGTGATCCAGATCTGCAATCAGCTTTGATGGGTTTTTACTTTGCCCATGATTCACATCTTCACCAGATTTCCTAAAATGAGGGTGGGTAATTGTTGCACAATGTTGTTGACAAACAAACAGACATCAAATTGTATTCTCGAATGTAGTTTGTGCCTTTATAAGCAACTTGTGCACAAGAAATTTTTGTTCCCTTTCAGTCGATTCACTCGGTACAACACATAAGTATGGATATGGATATGGATATCACGCCCTCGCGTGTCCTGGCTGAAGAAACCTTTATTCACACCTTCAGGGCAGATGACGTGTGATGACATGTGCATGGTCCCTCCTGAGGGATGCGGTTTCTCTTTGCACGACAGCAAACAGCACGATGCCTACCCTGTCTGCCTGGGGGTCGTCCACACTAGGAGAGCGTTGACGGAGCCCAAAGCCTGTGCGTTTTGTCGCCAGCTCGGGCGCTTGACCCTGGAAAGATGGGTGATATTTGTGGAAAAAGTGCTGGGACGCTTGGCTGTCGCACGGCATGACCCTCTCCTTTCTGAGTCTGAAGACGAGGATTATCCAGTCGATGTCCTAACACTCTGACTCTCCCAAGCACAAACCCCCTGCACACAAAATGCCTCAGGTTGTAACTCCCTGTTCAGGTGTGTTAAATGTTCAGGTGACCACATCAAGTGTTCCTGCTGTTTTTCATTGTTGTGCCCCAGAAAAGGTGCATCCAACAAAATGTGTGAATGTACATGTTTCCATGTTACAGTCAATAAAGAGTGTTGTTTATTCTCAAACAATCACAAATGCTCAGCCTGCAGGCAGAATGAGCCAGGTCAGGCAGGTGGTGCAGTCCCCTGCAGACACACTGAGGGGCAACAACGCCCCGCCGTCAGTGCTGCAGGTCAGCCGGCTGGCTGCTCACTTCCCTCAGTGGCGCGCTTGCGCCCCCTCTCTGTGGGTGCTGCGAACCTTTGCCATGGGTTACCGGTTCCGGGTCAAACTGTCTCGTTTCCGGAGACTCGTAAACACGACTGTCGACACAGAGGCGGCCATGATACTCAGAGACGAAATAAACGCGCTATTGCAGAAAAGAGCAATACGAGTGGTCCCCACTTCGGAGACAGACAAAATCTGGTACAGCCGTTATTTTGTTGTTCCAAAAAAAGGTGGAGGGCTTCGTCCCATCCTTGACCTGCGAGTCTTGAACACATATCTACGGACGTACAGGTTCAAGATGCTAACACTCAGACAATTCTTGAATGCAGTCGGCCCGGGAGATTGGTTTGCAACAATCGATCTAACAGATGCTTATTTTCATGTGGTTATACACCCGAAACACAGGCAGTTTCTGAGGTTTGCATTCGAGGGCATAGCCTACGAATACCTAGTGCTGCCGTTCGGGCTGTCGCTCGCTCTTCGCACCTTTACGAAATGTGCCGAGGCAACGCTACCGCCCCTCAGAGAGAGAGGCATCCGCATCTTAGCCTACCTAGGCGACTGGGCTCTCATAGCTTGCTCCAGAGAGCAGGCGGAGACACAGCTGTCGCTGGTTCTGTCACACATTCAGACTCTGGGGTTCTCTGTGAACTTTCAAAAGAGCTCGCTAACCCCGAGTCAGCTGATTTCTTTCCTCGGTTTGGAAATATGCTCGCTTTCCAGCACGTTTGTCTGAGAACAGAGTGGCTGGTTTAATCGCTGCCTCGCTCAGTTTCAGCTGGGACGCAGACTGGGTTTCCAGACGATATTACATTTGTTGGGCATGATGGCATCTATGATTGCCATAGTGCCACTTGGACAGTTAAAGATGAGAGCGTTTCAACACTGGACTCTCTCTCACCGCCTGTTTGCATTGCGTCACCTCCGGAGCAGGCTGACGGTAACCGCATCTTGCATGCTAGCTCTCCGTCCTTGGAGGGAGCCCGGGCTGCTGCATCAGGGCTCTTGGATTGGGAGGGTGTTGTTTTGCAAAATGGTGTCCTCAGATGCTTCCCTAAGAGGGTGTGGAGAGCTGTGTGAGGGTGCATCAGTGAGAGGGATCTGGTCCGCAGCCCAGCACGAGCTGCACATCAACCACTTAGAGCTGTGTCTCTAAGGGCCACCTGAACCTGGGGCCAGACCTTCTCTCCATGGGGGGGGTCCTCCATTCTCTCTGGTGATAGAATGGAGGTTACACCCTTTAATGGTGGCTCAGATTTGGGATCTATTTGGCAAGGCACAAATAGATCTTTTTACCTCCAGGGTAAATACTCACTGCCCCCTGTTCTTCTCCATAATCGACCACGATGCACCCTTGGGCATGGACGCACTAGCGCACCAATGGCCAGATGTGCTCCTGTATGCATTTCCCCCAGTGGAAATGATATCTCCAGTTCTAAAGAGAGTGCGTCGGCAGTCTCTCTCTCTGCTTCTAGTGGCCCCTTGGTGGCCCACAAGGTCGTGGTATGCAGAGATAATCAGCCTGCTAGCAGCGAGTCCTTGGCAGCTTCCTCTCCGCAGGGATCTCCTCTCTCAGGCGGGAGGAGAAGTGTTTCATCCGCGCCCAGATCTGTGGCGCCTTCATGCTTACCTGCTGAGAGGTTAAACTTGACTCACAAAGGCTCCTCCCCTTTGTGAGTGTGGACGCTTCATCTCTTTGCTCTTGAATGCTTTGCTTCTTATATTGATTTTTATTGATTTTTATGCTGATTTTTTCCCTTTTTTCCGTGTGAGCTTACCTGCGATAACTTCTGGACACTTGTAGATCATTAGGACTAGAGTGTTCTTAACAGAAACAGCAACATTTTATGGTTACCTTGTCCTCAGCGCTCCGTGTGTCTGTGGCCTAGACACAGCTGAAGCCTGATTACAGCGTCTGGGCACCGAGCAGCCTCAATAGCCTGGAAAGGTGCTAACCGCTAGGCTAACTAGCAACAAGATGCCTTCCCTCTCCACAGATGACTACCACAGCCTCCTGCAGAAGATTGCAGTACTGGAGACAAAAATTCATCGCTTAGAAGTAAACGTGGAGGTAAATGGACTGTGTGGAAATGAAACAACCTTGCCTTTGATTCAAAACAATGGCGATGAGCAAGCTAGTACACAGCTAAGGAGCACAGATAACATGACCAAGAAAGTAGACTCTGTGCATTATTATAAATCCTCAAGTGATAATCCCCCCTTAGACTGTCTTGGTGCAAAACCAAGACATAAATCATGTCTCCTGGAAGGGGGAGGACGTATCACAGGCAGGGCACAGCGAGCTGAAATCTCTGAAACCGACTGGCCTTCACTTCCTACGAGACAGAGAAGCTCTTCTACCCCTGTATACGGGAGGAAACAGGACTGGACAACCGTGAATAGGAAGGTTAACAACAAACCTCCAAAACAACTGAATGTGAAACTGCAGAACAGATTTGCTCCACTATCAAAGGACCCTGGATCTATATCGGACAACCATCCATCTAAAAGCAGCGAAATAAGGTCTGAAAATCTGTTGAAAAGTGAAAGGCCACAGGGAAAGCTAAAGGCTAGGCCTGAAACTCTGATTGTGGGTGACTCTGCCGTAAAGGATGTACAAAGGATGTGCGGTAAGAACACTAAAGTCCTCTGCTTTCCTAACGATATGGTCAACAACCTGAAGGAGAGAATTCTTCAAATTGCAGATGAATATCCAACTGTGACAAACATTGTTCTGCATACAGGGTCAAACGATGTGTCCAAACAACAGTCGGAGGTTCTGAAACGGGACTTTACTGGATTATTAAATACTGTAAACTCTCTGAATGCAGCTGTATTCATCAGTGGACCTGTACCGCCGGTCAGAGGAGGAGACGAGAGATTCAGCAGGTTGTTTACACTGAATAAATGGCTTATATCAGCATGTGCTGACCACTCAGTGCATTTTATCGACAACTTTAATATTTTTTGGGAACGCAGGCATCTGTTCAAAGCAAATGGATTTAATTTTAACAAGTCAGGGGTGAAACTGTTCACCTCCAACTTGTGTTATTCCATACGTCATCCATCCGTGCTTGGTGCCAAGGCTGAGATAAACGAGGAGTTATCTCATAAAGAGGAACAAACAGTACTCCAAGAACAGACAAAGCCCAGCAGAAACCTTGAGGAGGAGCTCCATTTGCCCCCACCCGGGAAGAGCCTCAGAAAGGAGAGACATCCATGGCATCTGAGGAAGAGCCTCAGAAAGGAGAGACATCTAAGGCAAGAAGAGGGGTCCCTATTTGCCTCCAACTCTCTCAACAACACCAACGACCAGGACAAGGGACCACGACCTTCCCCAGTCCCCCAAACCCCTGACAGGCCATCACCCTCCTCCCCCTCCCTTTCTCCCTCCTCCCCACACCTGAAATTCACTGAGGAGATGATGGAGCGGGTCAATGCTGGGCTCAGATCTACCCCCCGTCCCAATCCCTTTTTGTCCCCCATAAACCCCCCACCAGAGCGGCCAAAGGTTCGCCATCGAGCCCCACCCTCAACAGAGCAATCGAAGTCACATTGCCCAGCCTCGCCCCCCTTAGTTCCTCTTCATGCCCTGTCTCCGCAGTCTGATGCGTGATGTGTGAAGGGTCCGGGCTGTGAGGATTATGGCAGTGATGACTTTTCCCAGGAGAAGCTGGGACCCTGTTTACTAGAAGGTTTTAAAATTTCTGTACTTTTAGGTGACAGGAGACATGTGGCCTGGTCAAAACACAGAGAGCTGCACTCTAAAAGATCTTTAAACATAGTAAACATACCTTGTGTGCCACAGACTGCTCCCAAACACGAGGGGACAAGTAATACCTCTAAAACACTTAAGTTGGCTTTATTAAACATTAGATCTCTAGCTGGGAAAACATTTTTAATTAATGATTTAATCACTGAGCACAGCCTTGATTTTTTTTAATGCAACTGAGCTCATCAGCACTTAGTTTTATCAGTGAGGTCAGGGCGAGCAGGAGAGGAGGAGGGGTTGCTGTCTTATTTAATGAATCATTTCAATGTAAGCAGCTATCTCCTGGAAGTTTTCAGTCTTTTGAATATGTGGCTTTACAGCTGAAGGCCCCATCCAAAGTTGTGTTTCTTAATGTTTACAGGCCTCCCAAATACTGCACAGACTTTTTTAATGACCTCAGTGAACTGCTGTCTGTGATCTGTGTTGATTTTGACTGTGTAATTATTGCTGGGGATTTTAACATTCATGTGGACAACCCTCAGGACAAAGGGACTAAAGACCTGAGTAACACTCTGGGCAACTTTGGGCTGACTCAGCATGTAACAGAGGCCACACATAATAGAGGACACACTCTTGACCTACTGATCTCCAAAGGCCTGAGCATTTCAAAGGTTACTGTGTCTGATGTGGGCCTGTCTGATCATTACTGTGTTTTCTTTGAAAGTAAAATCTCAGCCCACACAAATATATCAACAACAGTGATCACAAATTTAACCAGGTCTTCCCATTAACACCTGACCTGTCCAGAGGGTCAGTCAATGAGCTCGTCAATAGCTTCAATGCTAACATGTTAAATGTAATGGACACTATTGCTCCCATTAAGGTGAAGGTTATCTCTGGAAGGAAAAAGTCTCCATGGAGAAACTCCACACTGGTGAAAAATGAAAAAAGAGAGTGTAGGAAAGCTGAGCGCAGATGGAGAAAAACAAACCTCCAGGTTCATTATGACATTTATAAAGAGAAACTTCACAATTATAATTTACAACTGAGGAATGCAAGGAGGTCCTACTTCTCTGACATCATCACTAAAAACAGCCATAATGCTCGGGTCTTATTTTCTACAGTTGACAGGCTAACAAACCCCCCTGTGTCAGTGGCAGCTGAACTTCATTCGACCATGGCCTGCAATGACTTTGCCAAATTCTTCACTGAAAAAATCCAAAAAATTAGACAAGCAATTGGTACATCAACAGCAGATCCAGGATATGTACTGTGTCCACCAAAAAACTGTTTAAACACCATGAAACAGTTTCAACCTATTAACAGCAAAGACCTGGAGGACATCTTAGGTCAACTGAACTCCTCCTCCTGCTGTTTAGATGTCCTGCCAACAAGTTTTTTCAAAAAGGTCTCAAAGACTTTAGAGTCAGACCTGTTACAGATCGTCAACTTTTCTTTATTATCAGGTGTGTTTCCAGAATCACTAAAAACTGCTGTAATCAAACCTATACTGAAAAAGGACAATCTTGACAAGACACAAATGAACAACTACAGGCTGATCTCAAATCTCCCGTTTTTAAGTAAGATCATTGAAAAAGCAGTTTCTCAACAGCTCAGTTACTTCTTAAAACAGAATAATTGCTACGATGCCTTCCAGTCAGGTTTTAGACAGAACCACAGCACTGAAACCGCTCTGACCAAAGTGTTTAATGACATATGTCTGAATACAGACAGTGGAAAAATGTCAGTCCTAGTTTTACTGGATCTCAGTGCAGCATTTGATACAGTTGACCACAACATATTACTCAAACGACTGGAGAACTGGACAGGTCTTTCAGGAACTGTACTAAACTGGTTCAAAACATACGTAGAAAACAGGAAATACTTTGTATCAATAGGTAACTTCACATCTGAGCAGACAAGTATCACATGTGGAGTTCCCCAAGGTTCCATCTTGGGACCCCTTCTGTTTAACATCTACATGCTCCCACTGGCACAGATTATAAACAACAACAAAATAAACTATCACAGCTATGCAGATGACACACAAATATATATCACAATGTCACCAGGAGACCGAGGCCCTGTACAGGCTCTTGGTAAATGCATTGAGGAAATCAATGACTGGTTGTGCCACAATTTTCTCCAGCTAAACAAAAACAAAACTGAGGTAATAGTCTTTGGCGCCAAAGAAAAACGATTACAGGTCACCAGAGAACTTCAATCTATACATCTAAAAACCACAAACCAGGCGAGAAATTTGGGTGTAGTGATGGATGCAGACCTAAACTTAGAAAAACACATTAAGACAATAACAAAGTCAGCTTACTATCACCTCAAGAATATATCAAGGATAAAAGATCTGATGTCTCAACAGGACCTGGAAAAACTAGTCCATGCATTCATCTTTAGTAGGCTTGATTACTGTAACAGCATCTTTACAGGTCTACCTAAAAAATCAGTCAGACAACTACAGCTCATTCAGAACTCTGCTGCTCGAGTCCTCACTAAGACCAAAAAAGTGGACCACATCAGTCCAGCTCTGAGGTCTTTACACTGGCTGCCTGTCCGTCAGAGGATAGACTTTAAAGTTCTGATGCTGGCCTATAAAGCTCTGAATGGTTTAGGACCAAAATACATCAATGACCTCCTGACCCAGTATGAACCATCCAGATCCCTCAGGTCATCTGGATCCGGTCTTTTATCAGTTCCCAGAGTCAGAACCAGACACGGAGAAGCTGCATTCAGCTTTTATGCTCCTTATATCTGGAACAAACTCCCAGAAAGCCTCAGATCAGCTGAAACACTCAGTTTATTTAAATCCAGGTTGAAGACTCACCTGTTCTCAGCTGCATTTGAATAAAGCACCAAATCCACACTTTAAGCTTAAATTTCAAAACTTACATTTAACTACTGATTTTATCTACTGTTCTGATTTTATCTGTTTTGATTTTATATACTGTTGTTTGTTTGTTTGTTTGTTAATTAGTTAGTTAGTTTATTTGCTTGTTTTAATCAATTTTAAATCATGCTTTTTATTTGTTCTTGTTTCTAATGTCTCTGTAAAGCACTTTGAATCACCTTGTTGTTGAATTGTGCTATACAAATAAACTTGCCTTGCCTTGCCTTGCCTTACAACGGCAGGGAATCAAATCCCGCAGTGCCAGACGTGTTCCGCTGCTGAAGCCAGTGCATGTCCAGGCCCGTCTGAAGTTTGCCAGAGAGCACATGGATGATACAGCAGAGGATTGGGAGAATGTCATGTGGTCAGATGAAACCAAAGTAGAACTTTTTGGTATAAACTCAACTCGTCGTGTTTGGAGGAAGAAGAATACTGAGTTGCATCCCAAGAACACCATACCTACTGTGAAGCATGGGGGTGGAAACATCATGCTATGGGGCTGTTTTTCTGCCAAGGGGACAGGACGACTGATCCGTGTTAAGGACAGAATGAATGGGGCCATGTATCGTGAGATTTTGAGCCAAAACCTCCTTCCATCAGTGAGAACTTTGAAGATGAAACGAGGCTGGGTCTTCCAACATGACAATGATCCAAAACACACCGCCCGGGCAACAAAGGAGTGGCTCCGTAAGAAGCATTTGAAAGTCCTGGAGTGGCCTAGCCAGTCTCCAGACCTCAACCCCATAGAAATCTGTGGCGGGAGTTGAAAGTCCGTGTTGCTCGGCGACAGCCCCAAAACATCACTGCTCTCGAGAAGATCTGCATGGAGGAATGGGCCAAAATACCAGCTACTGTGTGTGCAAACCTGGTATAGACCTATAGTAAACCTCTGTTATTGCCAACAAAGGTTATGTTACAAAGTATGAGTTGTATTTTTGTTATTGACCAAATACTTATTTTCCACCCTGATTTACGAATAAATTCTTTACAAATCCTACCATGTGGATTCATGGATTTTTTTTTTCACATTCTGTCTCTCACAGTTGAAGTGTACCTCTGGTGCAAATTACTGACCTCTGTCATCATTTTAGGTGGGGGAACTTGCACAATCGGTGGCTGACTAAATACTTTTTTGCCCCACTGTATCTGGCATTTCAACCTTGCTAATGGAAAAGCTGGAGACTGAAGCTCCAACCATCCAGTTAGTCCCAATTTAAGGGAGAAAGAGCTAACTCAATGGTATAAACAGAGCAAAATATATTAGGTGCCCAATACACACAAACAATACTTATGTGGATCAAATTATTGTTGATTTTGGACTTTTCATTGGATTTGTTCATTTGTTGACTATATTACTCCATCCACGACCTACGAGAAGAGGGGATGCTGTAAACATGGCCTTGTTCTAACTTTTTTAGATGTGTTGCATTCATCAAATTCAAAATGGGCTTATTTGGTTTTTTTTAAATGGCACAATTTAAACCTTTGATATTTGATATATATAATAGGATATCGATATTTCTATGATCTATTGTGAATAAGGGTCATGAGGGATTGCTAGAAGTTGCCTGCTGTTGCTATTGCTTGTCACTAAAAGCTGGTAGTTTGTTTCAAAGATGCCAAATTATCTGCAAACACTCTCCAACCACTTGCCAAGCAGTAGTGAACTGTAAAGAGTGTGATGCAAAGCAGAATCAGAGACCTTTGCCTTCAAAGTAAAAGTTGCATGTTTTAAATGGGGTGGTATCAGAGGTGAGGCACATCTTTTACTTGAAAGATGAGGTGAAATTAACCACGGTCCAGTCATTGATGACTTTGTTCAGTGGTGTGAGGAGTCTTATCTCCAGCTGAACATATCTAAAACAAAAGATATGGTTGTTGATTTTAGGAAACAACAAAATGGGCACGGAGTCACTTTAATTAAAGGTCAGAAATAGAGCAAGTACAATCATATAAATATCTTGGGACAATAATAAATGAAAAACTGAACTTGATCAAAATTGCAAATCAGTTTGTAAAAAGGGTCACCAGCACCTTTATTGTCTTAGGAAACTTGTTCACTTCCACATTGACCAAAAATTTTTAACTTTGTTTTATCGTTCTTTTATTGAGTCTGTTTTATCCTTTGTTTGGTGGCATGGTTCGGTCAGACCTCTGTCACAGAGAAAAACTCTCTAAATCAGATAGTGAGATGGTCCAGTCGTCTGATAGGTGAGCCACAGTCTTGTTTAGCCTCCCTGTACTCTAAGCAGGTACAGAGGATGGCTTTATCAATCCTTAAAAATGGTTCCCATCCTCTAAGGGGTGAATTTCAGCTTCTTCCCTCAGGACGGAGGTTTCTATTTCCGAGATGTAGGACAAAGCGTTATAAAAATAGCTTTGTCCCCGTTGCTGTCACTGAATTAAATAAGAACTGTTTTTGATTCGAAATATACTATATATGTGCCACAGTGAGCTTTATATATTTACTAGGTATGTGTGTTTTTAAAGGGATGCCAATTTTTCATTTTCTGTAAAGCAAATTTACCTTGCCTTTGGGTATAAATAAAGTTACCTTGACCTTGACCTTGTTTGATATAGTTCACTAGGACTTTTTGAACCTCTGGAGATGGACTGGGCACATCTGTGGATGAGATAGTGTGCACGCTGTGAACGAAACTCCGTTCTGACCCAGAACGGAGTTTCTTCTCTTTTTTTTAAACTCCATTTTAATCCTGAAGCTGTGGACCCAGCTGCTGTGGACACATTCCTCCCTCTGACCTGTTTTGTAGGTCTCATCTTTGTTATCTCTGACCTGGAAGAAACCAGGCATGTGTATATTTGCAGTGTGTATATGAATGTGTGTGTCCAGCTGCAGCTCACCGTCGTCACTGAAGTCGTCCACCAGAATGATCTCATAGATGAGATGAACCGGGGTCCTGTTTAAAACACTGGAGAGAAGACAAAAAAAAAGTGATTTAAAATATTAGTCAGTTTGCACAATCATAAATAAGTATTCAAAACAAATGCATAAATGCATGGAAAAAGCTGACAAGTAAATGCCAACCTGCAGTGATGCAAACACACACTCAGGTGCTCATGAATCCATTATGTACGCAGCACACGCCATACGAAACAACATATTGAAAATGTCAGCCCAAATTCCTGTTATGAAAATGTATGACGTGTCGCCTCTAAAAAAACTATTTCATTAAAGAGGAAGATTGAAACATAAAAAATTCATAACTTTTACTGGAAGAAAATGAGAAAATGTGTTTTGTTCTGGGTGGGTTTCTGTTCCATTTTATTTCATTATTTCTACCGTTCAATAACCTCTGCATTCATCATGTCCTCTGGAGAAGTGTAAAAAAGGGAGAAAAGGAGAGGAGGATGAATGTGGGACAGGGAATGAAGAAATGAGAGGATGGAGTAGATAAAAAAAGAGGATAGAAAAGTGAAAGAAATGAAAAGAGAAAAATCAGGGAGGAAGAAGAGAAGAACAGAAGTATGGTAAGGGGAAGACAGGGAGTGAAGGTAAAAAGGTACAAGAAAGTACATGAAAGATGAACAAGTAGAAAATCGATGGCTGAGGATCACGGTTGAGGGAACGGGGCAGAGGAAGAAAGGAAAGATAAAAGAAAATATTAAAAAAGCAATAGGGAGAGACTGAAGAGTGTAAATGAAAAGGGGGGGAAAGGAAAGGTGAGAAGAAAGAAACCAAATGAGACAGAAAAAAGGTGAAATGGAATGAGAAAGGAAAGAGATCTGTTCCTTCTTCATATTTATCCTGTTCCAAAGGATGAAAATGAGAAAGAGATACAGGCAGGGGCGGAAAGATACGAGGATGAAGAGAGAGCAGGAATGGGAAGGGGAGTAAGTGGGGAAAAGGGTGAGAAAGTTTAAATGTGAAAATTAAAGGAAGACGAGGGAAGAAAAGAGCTAAAGGAGGGGTGAGCAAGCATAAAGGAGGGAAAAAAGGAAATCAAACTGAATTGACAGGTAGAAAAGGATAGATAGAGGAAAGAAAAACGGGGGGAAGGAGGAGGAAATGAGTAGGAGGGTTGTCACTTGATTGAGACTAAAAACAGGGAGGTACTGTGTATGGAGAAGAATGGCAGAGGTGAAAATTAGCAAGAGACTAGTGAGGAATGGATGGAGGAAAGGTTGGTAATGTAGAGGGAGGAGGAGGTGTGGAGAGAACCTGTGTCTCTGGGGCACTGGACCCCATCAGGAGGAGTTATGGATGCTTGGAGGTAGAGGGTAGGAGAGGTGGGGCGAGATAAAAGATAATGAGGGAGGGGGGAAAGAGAGAGAGGGGGTCAGGGAGAGATATGACAGCATAGTAAGGGAGACAAATAATCCTGATGCTAACTCTCTCTTGCTCTCTCTCTGTGGGCTGAGGGCCGATCAGGAGAGATGGATGAATGGATTGATGGATGAGATGGAGAGGAGGGGGAGGAGAAGGAAAGGTGTGGAGCAGGAAAATAAATGAAAGAGGGAGAGACGGGTGGAATCAAGATGGAGGGGAAAATAAAGACGGTGAGATGAGGTGATCAAGTAGAAAGAAAATAGTGCATTTATCGCATTAGTTCCCATTAAATCACCCTGTATCCATCTATGCATCTATCTATGAAACAGATATGAGTGAAAGGACACAAATCTCTTTTCCTTCTCTCGCTACAACTTTTCTTCTCCCTTTCACAACCTCCAATTCCTCTCACTAGCTTCCATCTACGCAAACACACACAGACACACACAGACCCACACACACACAGGAGTTCCCATTCTCTGGTTCACAGGCCACTAGCTATGAGGCTTAACCTCCCCTCAGGCGTGCTGAGGGAGAAGCTATCTTCAGCTCACAGAAAATATTATCACCGCTGACAATACCGCAGTCGGCTGCCACAGAATAGCAGCTCTATATCTGCGCCGCTCATTTCCAACACTCTATATATCAGTTTTAGCTGAGAATTTTTTGAAAAATTTTCATTACCTACAGCCGCCATTTGGAGGGTGCTTTCATCCAAAGTGCCTTAAGAGCATGCATTTTTAAAGAGTGGCAGGTGTGGGGCCCCGTGGGAATTTAACCCCACTCTCTGGCAGTGATAGCACTGATCTTAAATGGGTGCTACTGTATGACTGCCAGGGTGAGGGGTTCAATTCCCACAGGAGCCATGTATACAGGCTGAGAGCGTTCATGCTCAGAGTAGAGTGAGGCACTTTGAATAAAAGTGATAAAAGCTTCCTCTGAAATATCTGTGAAACAACAAAATGAAAACAACTGTTAAGCAAGAAGAGATATTTAATAAATTCAAAATTAAAATTACAATTTTATTTGTCACACACACACAACCATACACAGTATGACGTGGGGGTGAAATGCTTGTAGCTGTACAATGTCCGACCATTAAATGACAGAAAAAAAGGTTTTACAATATTTACAATTTAGAGGTTACTACAAAATTTACAAATTAACTTGGGAATTTACAGTAAAGAATGTGCAAATAGCAGAAGAGATTATAAAGATTATAAAGATTATAAATTATAGGAATTATAGGATTATAGGAAATGTGTGGTGGTGCGTGTGGTGATGTGATGTGTGTGAGAGTCCAGTCTTATAGTGACGTGTATGGGAGAGTTCAGTCCTACACCTGGTTCAGGGCCCGAATAGCCTGGGGGAAGAAGCTCCTTCTCATTCTCTCTGTTTTGGCCTTAAGGGAGCGGAGGCGCTTCCCAGACCTCAACAGTGAGAAGAGTCCATTGTTGGGATGGGAGAGGTCCATCATAATCTTCTTAGCTTTGGTCGCTTGGTGTAGATGGACAGCAGGTCAGGGAGCTCTGATTGAATGATGCGTTTGGCTGAGCGCACCACTCTTTGCAGATCTCGTCTGTCCTGCTTGGTGCTGTTCCCAAACCAGGTGCAGATGTTTGCCGTCAGGACGCTCTCGATGGTGCAGGAGTAGAGTCTCTAAGTCTTCTGAGGAAGAAGAGATGCTGACGGGCTTTCTTAACCAGGGTGTTGATATGACAGGACAGGACCATGACAGGTCCTGAGTGATGTGGACACCCAGGTATCGGAAACTGTCCACTCTCTCCACTGGCGTGCCACTGATGATGAGGGGTTTGTAATTCCTCGCCTGCTTTGTAGTGAAGTCCACGATCAGCTCCTTAATCTTGCTGATGTTTAGGAGCAGGTTATTCTCCTGGCACCAGGTCTCCAGGTTCCTAATCTCCTCCAGGTAGGCCGTCTCGATGTTGTCGGAGATCAGGCCCACAACAGCAGTGTCGTCAGCAAAAGTGACAATGGAGGTGGTGTCTGATGTGACTACACAGTCATAAGTGTACAGTGAGTACAGCAGGGGGCTTAAAACACAGCCCTGAGGCACTCCAGTGCTGAGTGAGATGGAGGGGGAGACTTGTTTTCCCACCCGCACTGATTGGGGTCTGTCTGTGAGGAAGTTGAGGATCCACTGACACAGTGATGAGCTGAGTCCTAGATCCGTCAACTTGGTGAAAAGCTTAGAGGGAATTATTCGTGTTGAATGCTGAATTGTAGTCCACGAACAGCATCCTAACATAATTCCCTCTGCCAGTGTCCAGGTGACTCAGGGATGTGTGGAGCAGGTGAGATATGGCATCGTCTGTGGAACGATTAGTCCGGTAAGCAAACTGAAGTGAGTCGATGGTGGCAGGAAGTGAAGAAGTGATGTGATCTCTCATCAGTCTTTCAAAACACTTCATCACAATTGAAGTCAGTGCTACTGGACGGTAGTCATTGTGGCAAGCGGGCTGTTGTTTCTTTGGAACAGGAACAATAATGGACTGTTTGAAGCACGTGGGAACGACTGCTTGGGCCAGGGAGAGGTTGAAGATCTCTGTGAACACCGGTGCTAGCTGGTCAGCGCAGGCTCTCAGTACCCGGCCAGGGATTGCATCTGGTCCTGCTGCCTTCCTGGTGTTCACCCTCCTGAAGGTGTTCCTCACGGCATGCTCTGTGATGATGAATGCATTTTCTTCACTGGTGCACTCCGAGCGCGCGCAGCCGTTTGTTTTAATTGCTGCGGCATCGAAGCGAGCATAAAACGTGTTCAGCTCATCAGCCAGTGAAGCATCGGCATTCATCATTGAAGAAGCTGGTCGTTTATAGTCCGTTATAGTCCGCAGTCCTTTCCACAGGCTCCTAGAGTTGCACTGTCGTAGCTGTGACTCTAGTTTTTCCCCGTAGCTCCGCTTTGCCTTTCTGACCGCACTGCGCACGTTGTAGGACGCAGCCTTGTATAGGTCCATATTACCGGAGACGAGCACTTCATTGTAGGCAGCGGTGCATGATCTCAGAGCGTCGCGGATGTTTTTATCCACCCACGGCTTCTAGTTGGGAAATGTTCGGATGATAGTTCTTTCTGCTGTCCGCTAGTTTCCCGATAAATCCCACAACCGCTTCCGTAAACATGTTGATGTCATCAGAGCTGCGCCGAAACATGTCCCAGTCTGCGTCATCCAGTGCGTCCTGCAGCGCGGCCACTGATTGGTCCGTCCAGTGAGCGACCTCCCTCCTGATTGGTGGTTGCTGCTTTAGCCTTTGTTTGTAAGCAGGCATGAGGAAGATGGCGGCATGGTCCTATTTACCAAATGCCAGCAGGGGCTGAGCCTTGTAACAGTTCTTGAACGGGGTGTAGCAGTGGTCTAATGTCCTAGTGCCCCGGGTGGGGCAGTTGATGTGCTGGTGAAGGTTGTGAAATGTCCGTTGAGATTCACTCTGTTAAAATCTCCCATAACAATGAGTGCGGCATCTTGGTGAAGTGTTTGTTGATGTGTGAGAGCCCCATGTAGCTCACATAAGGCAGTGTCCGAGTCCGCATGAGGCGGAATGTAAACAGTGCAGGCAATGACCGCGGTGAATTCCCGAGGGAGATAGAAAGGGCGACATTTAATGATCAAAAGTTCCAGATTG